TCCAGGCTGACTGAAACTTTTCAAAGTTACCTTTTAGGCCCTGAAATGATAAGTGTTTCATACTCTGAGTGGAGACTCACTTATGGGCTGTGACTTGTCACAATGACTATTGGCAGGACATGTCACATACAACACTTCTCTCTTTTAGCCGGTAAATAACCAAAACCATAACAGGTTCAAGTTTTTAAGGTCATCTATAAGAAGAAGTGTTTTTCTTCTTGACTCTTACTTTGAAAATACAAAAAAATCAAAAAATGTAAATATAAATACACTATAAGATAAGAAATGTCATACAGTGCAAATAAATAAAAAAATGTCTACAATACATAATAAAGAAATGTTGTTGACATATGGGTAAATGCTAAAGTGCAACATTATATCTTACTTTCTAATATACACAGTATGTCACAGGCGTATTTTTTTTTATGTTAGCTTGGCTTGCAAACTAATGCAGTTTAACAGCCTTAAAACTGTTAAACTAATGAGTATAATTTGAGTGTATATAAGCATTGCGCAAACTAAGGAGTTTTAAGGACAGCCAAATTCATTTTAAACACAGTACACCAATACACCTAATTGAAAGTATACACATTTTTAACATTGTATCCTGGTTCAAGCTCAGTACAATTACAGGCTTTAAACAAACTTAACTGTCCTATCACCATGGCAAAGAACCTCAATGTAAAACTGTAAAGCTTTGACGACCACAGCCATCCCTTAAATCCCTTTCAGCTACTGCCCTCAGCCCCCTGGGCAAAGAAACACATCAATAGGAAATCGTTTGTCCCTGTTGCAGAAAGTATCTTATCAGTACAGCCACTTTTTGAGGCCAGTCTGCTACCTTTATTTCTTTCTTAACCCTCACCATCGAGTACTTGGTACTACTTTTAATGTAGCCTCTGTTTGTGTTTTTATGTAAATGTGTGTTAATGCCTCTGTCTGGATGTGATGTTGTGTTTTAATGTACCTTTTTTAATAGCAGATTTCTGCATATGCAAGCAAAGGCAAAGTATTTTCTATTCTATTCTCTGATATATTGAGCCTTCACACCTGTTATCATGTATGGGAGAGGGTGTTTAGTTTGCTGCTTTTATGTGCATTGTGTGCATGAACTTAGCTGATGCTTTCATGCAGAACAACTTGCAATTAATGACAATGTGCAATTTAGATATGTTGCTTGGGACTAACTTCTGTCTCACAATGACTGTCACAGCCCATAAACCTGTGACCAAAATGCTCTGTAAGCACTAAATCAACCACGCTGTGTGCCTTCAGGCGTGTGTGTCTTTCTCACATCTCCCACAGCTCTGTCTCTTGGTTTTTATTAATGCTGGGGGAGCATTTATATCTTAATAAATGTTGTGTTTTCCCACAGGAGCGGCCAAATTCCTCAAATTCACCAGTGATGAAGTGGCAAATTAGTGGCCAGCTGTCAAATGCCGGTAACTTGGGCTTCTGCAGCCCATCGCTCCTAATCAAGAGCACCTAGCCCTTTTTAATATGTTGAAGATAAAGTAACAGACTCTGTGATAGTATTTCTGCTAAATGAGCCATTTGAAAGCAAGGCTCATTTTTCATAATCCTGGAGAAGTCAATTAAGGGACTTTTGGAGCTCAGGGAGGCCCAAGGAGACATTGAGGTGCAACGCTAGAAAAGAGACACAAGTGAGTTTTGGCCACAAGAGGAAGAGAAACAAGCAGTGTCTCAATGGAAACACAACAGGGAAATGTAAGAGGCAGCGTCTAAAAGGAGAAAACAAAAGATTGGGTTTACAAATGTCAGACACACTGACAGCAACACCAGTTTTCATCAGCCAGCTGCTTTCACAGCATTTGACAGGCAACAGCAACAAAAGCCAAAATACCCAAATTGCTTGTGGGTAAAAGAAAACTATTGTCTCACATTGTGTGGCTCCATCCTCTCCCCAGAGAGCTACAATACCACGTCCCGCACTGACAACGAGCCAGAGGAAGAAACTGGAATTGAACTCCTGCTGAAAGGCTGTTAATAAACAGTTAGTGCTGTGCCTGTGAACAGTAGGAAATGTATGCATCATTACCTTATCGCTCTCTGACAAGAAAACACAACCACCTCTTTTGTCCCATGCTTGTTGGGGAAGTTGAGTGTATTTGCTTACACCGAGGCCTCATCGTAAAATAGAGAAGCGTTTTCTCCTTAATAACATCCCTCTGTGTGAACGAAATGGCTCCTCTCTTTGTAGTAATTTTCCACATCAGATAAAACTGGATCCAATCAGGTTGGTGCCTCCTGCAGATTCTCTTTGTCTATGACATGAATTCAACTTCAACAGGTGAAGATTTGCTTTGGTTCACTCGAATATTTAAATGGTTCATCCTTCCACACAGATTTGGTTGCAGAATTAAAAGGGTAACTTAACTTTTTTGTTTAATTTAAGGATTTCCTCCAGACGTGTAAGATATATGTATGCATATGCAGTCTGCTTGGAACGATAATGTGTGTCTGGTGTGTTTTTTCTGACAAAAAGTAGAATTTCCGTATTAAAAATCTTTCAAAAAGGCATCTACTCCTTCTACCTCAAGAAAATTCCACAATATATGAATATGCAAATGTTTGTTTTTGTTTTCCTGCTAGACACAAGATGTCTCCTCCTTTGTTGTAAAGTCCATTCTCAGTGTATGTGCACTGGTGGCTTCTACATCACACTGCACAAGTTGCAAACTGGACCAAACTGTCTGTGATGTCACAAATCATGTTCCTAAAATCAGATTTTTACTGAGCATGGGGAAACTTTCCACTTTCAGCAGAGGAATGTGAAACATCCTTCTAGAGTCAAACTCTGCACATACATCATTCTGCACAGCACAACTATAGGAAGAAAAAAAACATATTTTTGAGTGGAGGGGGACTTTAAATCTTCCAGGACCCCTCTGGAATAATGCCACAACAATGGCTGTTTGCTCACTGCAACCATTCCAAATTCATTATAAAGTTTCACTGAAAAACAATACAAACAGCTCGGAGTGTTTGGCTGACGACCATTTGAAGCAACTCAACAACCTTTCCATGGGACCATTTCTTCTTCATTTCCAAACAAACAAACAGGATGAAATATATCAATAATAACTCTGTTTACTCTTTTGGCAGGTTTACATTGTTCATTTATGTGCAGAATTAGCCTTATTCTGTGTTACTTTATGTGTTATATTTTTGAGATTTGGGCTTTATCGCACTGCACAGAGAACACAGGGGACAGAGGCTGGAGGAGAGGAGGAAGCTGTGTCAGTAAACTTTTCTTTCACTGCAGAATTTGTGATGAACACATGTGACAGCTCCTCTAAAACCCACCAGATCGCCAGGAACCAACAGCAGATTAATTTTACATCCCTGCAGGCCTGGTTTAAAAATGCTGTGCGGTAATTCGAGGCACACCCAAGCTAACACAATCCAATCTGATTTTATGCAGGGCGACATTCATTTCCAGCAGCTATTTCTCATTTGTGAATTTGATTCTTGACAAAAGTCCTGGCTCAGGTCAGGAGTTCCTGCCAGCTTGAATGGCACCAGTTCAAAGTATCATGAACGGAACAAGTTTGTAGACGAGGTAAAATTAATCTTTTAGTTCACACACGCACAGCCCCTGATACAAATTGGAACCAGACTGAAGACTTCAACAGTCTGTTGCATGCAGACTCGCCCCAGAGACCTCAGCTCTTCTCGCCAGCAACAGAGCATGAGCTCATCTCCAGCTGGGCCACCAGGGGGAGGGGCCTATTACATGCAGGCACTTAATAGAGGGTTCAAAAACAGTGAGGTCATGCCTATAGGCCAATGTATGTTCATCCTGATTTTCATCAAAAAAATAGACAGAAGTAGGAAAAGCTTCCCAGAATGCAGGTGTCCTATGAGAGATTCCTCTGCTCTTGCCTTGGGACAAGTGAGAAAACATTTCCATGCTGCCAAAATCTCACAGCAAATTAGTTTAGGCCACACCAGAGCGTGATGTAATCTGCTCCTTAAAGGCACAGTGACTGATCCAAATGTAAACAAAACAAACTGCTCAAGACAGGAACCTTCCATCAATCTAAAATTCATGTCAGTAATATTGGTAAACAGAAGTAAACCGAGGTGTCAGTCAGCTTTATATTGGGAAACACAGTATGTTTGTGGTGTCAGAATAAAAGACTAGCTACAGATTTCTGTGATGCCAACCGGGGCTCCGGAGCTTTGCCAAGTCAGAAAAAAAACAACCCTGATGATGTGTGCTTACCCATACGAGGGACAAAAAGTCAGGATCTCTCGACCTCTGCTGCTTTGATTTGTTTCTTCCAACTCTATGGAAAAACAATATTAAATCAGTTACTTAATCAAGGAAGAATCCAACCTCAAACAGTAGCAAAAAAACACTGAACCTAAGCATAGATCGTGGTACGGGTAAGTGTCGGTTGCAAAGGAGCCAAAAAAGTAACGTTCGTAATCGTTGTACAAGTTATACAGAAACGTCTATGAGTGACCCTTGTGAACACTCAGTTGTATGACTGCAGCCTGTAGAGGCATAACTCCAGCTTCATATATTACAGAGCTTACATCATGTTCTTGTTATTTCTATTGCAGCTGCAAAATGTCTTCCACAGTCACTCTGAAAGGACTCCAACTTAAGCAAGACGCACATTTGGACAGTAAAACATTACTATTGTGTAGGCTCTGTACTCAAAAACACTTGACATGAGAGTAACTACGAGGTAAAAGCAAAGGACTTTTAGCTTTGGGAGTGTCTGAGGTGTGTGTGCACACTGGGTGAACAGTGTAGGATATACACACACCTCTGAGCAATGGGGGCAGGGTAATGCCCTCACTGAAAGGCTCTGATGGAAATGTAGGAGACCACTAATATAGGAACAAGGAAATGTCAAACAAGTTGAAGGATAGTGGCCATAAAAAAACAAACATCACAAACTTCCAAACTTTGGAATCACAATGATATTAAACTATCCTTCATTAGCTTAATAACAACAGCAGTGTTATTCTTAAAAGTTTTATTTTAATAAGGTGCTGGAAACTGTCACATTTGTACTTTTTCCTTTACACAAAACAAGGACATTTATAACCCAAAGCCCAGGAAACCACAGAGTGTGTGCTCTGGAACAGAAGAACATGACCTCCAACAATATATACAGATAATATAGTCACAGTGTGGAAGAGAGGGAGGCTGAACGCACTGCACTGGGCAATTAAGGCAACACGTCAAAAGGTAAAAGACAACCTTTTCTGTACAAGGAGAGTAAAAAATAAAATAAAAAGCACCAGGAAAAACATTATAAAGCCTCTTCGAATCCCCAGAGGAAAACACATTAAAACACTTCTTATAGCTTATGCAGAGACAAGGACACTAAGAGAAGAAAAAAATTGTCTGAAAGTGACAGATGTTTTTCATTTGCCTTGGTGTGTTTCATTGTATTTATCTCCCTCCAGATCTGGAGCTGGTTCTTTTTTGTCACAGCTCCAGTTTTATTAGTCAAGGAATCCAAGATAATCGTAACTTCCTTTTCCCTTCAGGTTTTTGTTTTTGTCAGTAAACTCTCAGTTGGCGCAGAGACACCTGCTGGTGCTTTGGAGGAGGAGCAGCTTGGCAATCACGCAACGTAATCCTCATCTCTGTAGAATTAAATAATCTCCCTCAGTGTGCCTCAGCAGGGGTTGAAAAATCATCCCAAAACATCCTGTTTCAGTGAAACAAAGTGTTAACTGTGTTAGTGTTGAGACATTTCCAATAAATACTGGCAGGCTACAGAGGAAAACAATTTTAAAAAAACTGTAAAAAACAAACTAACATTATTTAGTTAGATTAAAATGCTCCCAGAAATTGACACAATTAACCATAAATAGGCTGAACAACTTCTGAAATGTGAAGGTTGAAACAATTCAGATGACTCAGCTTCTTTCACATAAACAGTTCATTGGTGGGTGAACACAAGCGCAGGTTTATCCAGTCCCGGCCCACGTCTCTGGCCAGCATCCAATCACGAATCTGGTGGATCATTTTTGCATAATATTCGTCTTGAGAGGGCAATAAAACATAATATATAAGTACCTGCCTCTCAATGACAGGCAGTATCACAGGTCACGTAACAGTGTCGGGCCAGTTAAGCCTCCCCAGACGGGGGTTCGGAGCAGCACTAAAACATTGAGAGGTCACTCATTTAGCCCCGACTCAGCACAGCCAGGCCTGCTGATTGGCTGATGAAGCTGTCCTGTTATCACTCTCTACTTCCTTGTTCGTGGGTTGGGGGGGCCGACACCCTGATGCTGATCCAGAGTCAGCGCAGAATCCGTCTTGTAAGCTTTGAGTCAACGTCGAGTTAATTGAGACACTGTCAAAGAAGGGGAACCGAGCAGCCGCACGGGGCGACGCAGAACTTTAAATATTATATAATCTGTAAACAACAACTATTAACAGTCCATCGTGCCGTGCCTGGTTAAGAGAATTAAACCGTTCACAGGTTTGTTTACAAACAAAAAGACTGACAAATAAAAATAGGTAATGAACAGTCCTGTGGCATCGTGTCACTTATAAGAGTAAACATTGGTGTAGAGTCACTTCTTGGTTCTCTCGGCAGCCATACAACAGAAATCCATCACCACTGTATACCAATATATACATTTACATCTTAAAATCCTAAAAAAGTGTGGGCTTTCTACTTTCCCTTCCTCTCCCTTTTCTCCTCTTGGTTGTGCAAGAATAACGATTCAGTCCTTTATCATGAAGTTGTTTTTGTTCCCGGCGGTGTCACACAGAGACGAAGACGTCCAGGTAGAGGCGGTCGTACGACTCCCTGAAGAAGAGGATGAGGACGAGGCTGAAGAGACAGGAGCCGGTGAGACACCAGTTCAACCACGACAGGTCTGCATAAAGGAGAAGGAGAGAGAAACAGACACATTTGAGTTAGGCTGTAAGCGGTCGGACTGTTCAGCGCATATCCAGAACATGATACATTGGGTGGCTCAGGTAGACGTTTCACTGTCCAGCTCAAAGACACTTGAGTGGGTAAAAACTGACTCCACTATTGTTTGATTTACATTCAGCTCCTTTCCTTTTGTAGTGTAAACAGACATAAAATACAATAAAATAAATTATACAGCAGATGAAATCATTTGAGGATGCATGCACATACTGGCTGTTGCAGATACTATCACCTAGAAAACAAGACTAGGTCAAAGCCTAGAATATGGTTGGACTGTATGGTCAAAGTGATAAACTTTGGTCAAATTGTTTCGACTCATATCTTAAAAACCTTGATGTAAAAGAGAACTTATATGTAGCAGGAACAGAAGTCTTTAGTCTTCAGATAAAAGTATTCCAAGACTATAGATAGATGGATTTAGAATGAGCAGCAGTCAGTGAGTGGAACCATGATTGAGGACCGTTTGAGCCTCTTGAGCAATGACCAATGGGGAGACTCCAACACAGGACCGACCAATGGTGGACCTTGGCGTTTATAGGGCTGGTCCCTCTTTTCTGTGGAAGAAGTGCCTAAGCACTATGCAGCAGACCACAACATATGACCATGTGTCCCTTCATAATGAAATATGAGTCATCTGCATAGATTCAGAACCCTAATGAGAGTTAGTATGAAGTGACATTGAATAATTTATGAGTATCACTGAGGATACATGGCTAATCAATAAAAATTCCTGACATACCATATTGGAAATAAGAACAGCCTCCTGAGCTGTCTTTCATAATGATTCTGAATAATTCAATGGTATTGGCAGTGTTCCCCATTATCATTGACCTACACTTGAACCTAAACCTGGTGCAGAATGAGGTGTTCTATTTTCTCTGCTCTGTTCAGGCTCCATTAACCACAAGAGAGGTACTCTGACTGTTTGCAATAATGCTGAATCTGGAGGGCAGATGGGAAGCTTGCAACTGCACTGAACCGTTGGCATCTTAACCCATCAGCACACAGACAAATAACCTCTTCTTCCTGTTTCTCTGTGAAGCACACGCTCGAGATTTTAACCATGAACACGCGGTCACACCTTGACTCAAGTCCTGACAAAACCCAAATCAATAAACTCCTTCTTTTAAATGCATCAAGTAGCCCTCCTTGTGAAGCTGGTCCAGCACAGCTCCATGTAGGTGTTTGAGGTGTTTTGGCCGGAGAGCGACGTTAAGCAGAATCTGCGCTGACCTGTGCGGCGAGGGCCAACTTCTCAGCCAGGATGGAGGATGCGGTGGCAGCAGGCAGCTGCTCGGGCCCTGATAACGAGCCAGACTAAATATAGAGAAATCAGGTCGTAACGTGCTGCAGAGCCCTGGGGGCCCTGCCAGCACAATATGTCTCAACTCACACTGACCGGCTCCACTTCGATTCCAATCAGCTTTTCATAATGTCGTCAATCAGCCATCTTGGCCTAGAGAGTATCTGATCAATGCCTGAAAAGGGCCGGTGCCTGGACTGCATGGCGCTGCCTCTCTGTGGTAAAATATGAGTTTTGGCTGTAAGGGGCTAACCTTTGTGTGCTCCATGCCACACCGCTTCCACAGCGACAAAGAACGTGGGGTAAGAGGTGTGAGGATGAAAGCAACGGATACACTGAGGCGGAGGCGGGAGGTGGAGAGGGGGCTAGTGAGGGGAGGGAGTTGAGAGATTGGGTGAGGGTGTTTGCAGCGAGGTGTCGAGACTCCTGAAGCAGCCTCATTAATCAGGAGTGTGTGAGCCGGACAGCAGGAGACCCGGCGTGGAGGCGGGTTAATGGAGTTGTGTTTATCGGACCTGCTGTCTTCTCCATCTAACTCTGTCTCGCTTTCTCACATGTACATCCAACAAAGACTCGTCCATTTAAAGTTAGAGACAAACAGTCTGTGTGTGTGTGTGTGTGTGTGTGTGTGTGTGTGTGTGTGTGTGTGTGTGTGTGTGTGTGTGTGTGTGTTTGGGCCTGCAACCTTGAACGAATGCTAATGGGGAGCTCGGTAATTGTATAATTCAATCAGGTGATGTGGTAAAAATGGACAAGCAGCTCAATCGCTCCCCTCTGATCTCTGAGGACACGCTGTAGCTAAGTCTGGAGGAAACACAGTTAAAGTTTGGCTGAATGGAGGAGAACTGAGGAGGAGGGGGAGCGGGGATGAAGGGAGAAGATTAGAGCAAACAAGATAAAAGCAAGGAGAGAAGAGAGGAGTCGCTTTGCTCCTTAGTTTGCTGGTTTGCTTTAAAGTTGATTATCAGATTTTAATGATCACCGTTTAAAGGGCAGATATATTTTGCTCGAGCTTCCTATAATACAGCGTACAGCCACAGATTCTTGTTTTAAACTCCAGGCTTAGAACTAAAGGTGACTACTGGCTTTGAAGCAGCTGAGACTAACAAGAATCACTAGTATCTTTCTAATAATTTTCCTATACTTTTTTTTTTAAACCTTTGATAAATTATGTTCCTCTGTTGCGTCCTCTTGTTTTTACTTGTTTTAATTAATTTGATGATTAGGCTTTTATATTGATTGCTGGAGCACTTTGCATGAGTGAGTTGAGTTATTTAAGTGGTTGATAATTAAGTAGTTGAAGAGGAAGGGGGTGGATATTTGTAGGCAATTGGGCCCAAAGAGCTGGTAAACTATTATTATCATTATTTCTAATTTTCATCATTCTCTTTTTTGTTGCTCCTTTCCCTCCATCTTACCATTTTTTCCCCCTTTGGTCCTGATGGTGTTGCCATGGCAACCACCTTAAAGGTCAAACTTTTGACAATTAATTAACAGCTTTGGAAGTTTCATTTTTCAGACCCACCCAATGTTTTCTTGGGGAAATGTTTGCATTGATCATGCTATAACAAGTATAGAATGAAATTGACTGATCTACTGATTTTCTTTCATATCTCTTCCTTGTTTTGCCAGTATGGATGTAAAATAGGTCTTAGGTCTTGCATTCCTAAAGGTCTTTAAAAGGTCTTAAACGGTTTAAACCTGCAGAAAAAACTCAACGCTGGCAAAGAAAAGTTACAAAAATAGCAGATGGCAGGAGAAAGCGATGATCACTCAACGTCCTGAGTGATTCTCAAGTGAGTGAATGAGTTTGAACTGAACCATAACAACTGAACATCAGCAACAAACCACTATTCAATTGATCACTGGTTCACTGTGACGGTGTGATCATATTCAGGGGACATCAGTGTGAGCACAGGACAGTTCATCATATTAACGGCCTAGTACTGTAGCTGCAACCGTCAGCACATCGATGCTGCAGACAAAGACAGGAACGTGGGCCGACAGACATCTTATGGCCTTAATCAGTCTTAATTGAGGTCAATGCAGTGTTATAATGAAAGCAGCTCAGCTCTCCTTTATGACTGCAGTCTTTGTCTGAGAAGACCAGGGTCACACCTCAAGATACATAGACAGGGTTCACGTAAAGAACAAGATCATCCATCACAAAATGACGGCCACTTTCTCATTATGAAGCGAGTGGAAATATTTACTGTGGATCGACAGGTTGTTGAGCACACTCATAGTAGCCAGATTATTTATAATGGCTGCCAAAGTGTGTGTGTGTGTGTGTGTGTGTGTGGGTGTGTGTGTGTGTGTGTGTACTCTACTTAATGCACCGCTGTTCATTTACTCTGTCAATGTTGCTTCTCACTCATGATTTAAAAATTACAAAAACAGCAAAGGAAAGGGGCTTTTATTCTCTCAGGAACGACGGAGCTCTACAAAGAACGGCTGTTTGTTTTTTTCAAAACACCTCTACAGTCTTTACGGGGGGTTGAAAAAGTTAGACTGCAAAGGTATTTTCACTTCAGACGAGAATGCAAAGTTTAGCAGAAAGTTAAAAAAAAATACTTCTTGGGACTAAAGAACTGTGGCAATTATTTCTCTTTACTGAACAATCCCTGCTTCCCCACATGCAGGAGACTCTAACAACTCACCGCTGAACGGAAACTCCAGCGCCACCCCTCCCCTTCCTTCCCTTCCTCCTCTTCTTCCACCACAAAACCTTTGAGGCTCTTTTGCTCCACAATACCTCTCTGCTGCTTTGTATTCCGCCCGATACACTGCGCTAAATGACACAAACACACAGTAGATGAAATTGAAAAAGAGCGACAAGTGCAGATATATGGGCCGGAGGTTTCTGAGTCACGTGGTTCAGGGACTTGTGGGATTTTTTAAAACACGACAACAGAGTCAAGAGGCCAGGCAGGGCTCACTGAACCAAGACGGGCCTCTCATGGGATATTAAAATGGACAAGGAGGTAAATTCATAAACGCCTCTCCACTCGCAGGGAAAGGGGGCTATAATTCAGAATGCATAACGAGGCAGTGGGCAGCTGAAAGGAGAACCCTAAAATGAACTGTAAACTGGAAATAGATGGAAATATTTAAAGGCCAGGGTTGCCAGTTTTCACTATCATGAGGTAAAAAGGATTTTAAAAAGATGGGCTCATGCAGAATTTAACAGTTTTTGAAGTCTGAATATTATTTGCCACATCCATTATGGGACTACAGAGAGGAAATTAGAGTAATGAGTCGACCCACTAGAATATTTCCGAGGGGAATTTACATAATAATCAAATTAATCTTCGCAGGAGTGATCTCTTCAGGAGAACAGAACACAGCTGATTTCTAAACAGAAGAGGAAACGTGCACCTCAGTTCAGCCATCATGGACGAATTCAGTGTTTTCCCTCTCAGGGCGATTCATAATAGAGGTGGGTAAAAATCTGTCTTCTACCACAGTATATGTTATTTCATACCATGATAGCAATATAAACAGTATCTTCATACAGTTCATTTTGTAGATTCAGTTGAAAAAATACTTTAATAAAAAGATAAGAAGCACTAGGCGATAGTGAAAAACACAATGCGAGTCTGATGACTAAAGTACAATTTACTGTTCATTGTACTGAGAAGAGTCAGTTAAGCCCAGGCTACTCTATGACTTAACTATAACACCGCACTGAAGAGCTACAAAAAACAACATTTAAATAATGGATCGAAATTCAATAATAAATATAAATATTATCAACAGTGGAACCAGTAATGAATTGATCTAATTAACAATTATTGTCTGCTAGATCTTATTCCTCTGTGCCACTGTGCTCCATTGTTGTCCAGAAACACACCAATGAGCCACACTGGGTCGATCCAATGGGCACTGCAGCAAGGACTCCATTTTGGTACATGGGGTGTCAGCTCTACCAGGTGAGCCATCAGGATGCCCCATAGCTACTAGTCTTAAGTCTCCCTAACTAGGCAAGCTGTGGTTTAAAGAAAGAGAAACTTCTCTGAAGAAAATAGAGAATTAAATAATGTGTGGACAGATTTGTTTGCTTTCACCACCAATGGTGCTGGCTAACTTGTATTTATTAGGTATATATTAGCATTGTATTTAAGGCTCCAGCTCCAGACAGATTTTCTTTGTTGTTTCTGGGCAAAAAGGGCTCTTGTGAAAGTAATGGTTGCTAACCCCTGCTCTAAAACATCTCGCTTGTTTGATAACCAAAGGATGCTGAACTACTGATTTATCGCTGGCAGGAGCAGTAGACTTAAACAACTTTGTCCATATAGATGGTCGGTGGCATTGTACCACTCAGTTAGTTAGTTACCTACAAGCTCGCATTACGATGCCTGCAGCAGTGAGAGCTTCCTGACAGGAAAGCTTCGATGCATCATACACCATTAGACGACTTCAGGGTGGGAAGTAAAAAGAAAAGGAGCAGCAAAAGGCTCCATCATCTCAGCTTGATCTTCTCTCCGGCTGTTGCAGGGAAGTTGTCAGGATCCATCTCAGCACATCAGTCACCCTTCAACCCGACCACACACACAGTATACACACGTGTACACTCAAAAACAAGCACATACGTTCACACCCACAGAGGAGCAGCAACACACAAAGGGCACAGCTATACACAATACATGCAGTACATTCAGATGCACGCACACACACTCACACACGCACACGCACACACACACACACACACACACACACACACACACACACACACACACACACACACACACACACACACACACACACCAAGTAGTCAATCTTTCAGTACAGCAGAGAGAAGTGTCGAGCAGAGAATACATCATGTATTCTTTATGAGTCCGTTAGTGTGTGTGTGTGTGTGTGTGTGTGTGTGCGTGTGCTGGCCTGCAGCTGCTCTATCTATCCAAAGCTCTGTCTATCCACACCTGGTCTATTGCTGATTTATCACCACACTGGCACACTACCGGTTCAGACAATTCAAACTACAATACTTGGCACCCTTCAAACTCCACTTGTTGAACATTTTGAGCCAAACCTGAATCTGCATTGTATTCCAGTTGAGCATTGTCCTGACAAAAAACCTGAAACCAGCTCTCTGTGGTGGCAGCAGAGTGCTTTAGTCCTGCAGCAAAGGTGCACTTAAGGGCTCCACCTTCTTAAAATAAATCATTCCATTTATTTCAAGTCGTTTCTAAAATCAAGTGAATTTTTCCCCTCTTCAACTCTGCTGGGACACCGACGTCCTCGGCTGACATTACTGTCTTTCAGAGGATGTAGCAGGCTCAGTTTTAAGGCAAGCTTGACACACAGTGCGTGTGAGCTGCATCTCAAATGAATCTTCAGGTTCCTTTCTTTCAGATTATGCATACCACCTCAGTGTAGCATATACTTTTGACTTGCTGTGTCCCTCTAAAGATCCCCTGTCCCCCCCCCCCAAAACAAAAATAGGTCTATGGTAGGAAAGGGTAGAGTGGAAGATGTACTAGTACAGCAATTTGCCTCAAGTCTAACAAGATTTTAAATGTAACTATAAGAGTATCCTGCTTACTGTACCTTTAAGAAATCTAACAGAATAATTTTAAAAACAGCATTTGCAGTACCTGATTTCCTAAAATAAGATATTATGACTTTCTTGATTCACCCTGCTGTGGTTTGATGCCAACTATGTGCCAAATGTCTGCTTGTTGGCAGTCACTGGCAACTTTCTCTTCTTTACAAGCCACATTGGCAGGAAAACAATCGGAACTCAGAGTATCTCTACTATAAAAATCCAGCTAGGTACCAACAACACACAAAAAAAAACATGGTGACAGCAGCAGGTACATTTTGGAAACTAAATTGTTTCCTCACAGAGACAGAAGGTGCATAAATGAGGACTTGTAAGCCTATAGATGTGTCACAGTTACATGTTTCAAATAGCTGGGAGCCACCTCAACTCCTAAAACGATAGTATCACAATGGTATCATAAAATGACTAATGTGCTCATAAGCCCCACTGCTGACACATTAGTATGCAGATGGTTAAACAATAAAATGAATAACACCGAAATATTTATCAATTTTTATAAATATGTTGATCAATTTGTTGGTGTTGGTTGGACAAATAATACTATTATAAGAAGTCAACTTTTGATGGGCCCTTTTCATTGTTTTCTGGCATTTTATATGTCCAACTATTAATCATTTAGTCAGAAATATGATCAACAGATTAATCCATAATGTGGGTGTGTGTCATGTAAATGTTCGAGACCTGCTGATTTCAACAAGACAAGCTGGCTATTGTACTTGTTAGCAGGGCCCAGAGGCCCTCTGGGCCAAACGGCTGTTTAGGTCAAACATCATCATATCCACCTGCACCGGCTAGACAACTCGGCACAGAGGACCAAGATACAGTTGTCAGGTAGCAGCTGTCAGTGGCATCTTAGCAATCAGAAGGACTTGGCAGAGGAGGTGGGTGAAGGTCATGAATATTTATGAAGCTCTGAAAATATATCTCTTATTTACTCAAACAAACAGGATAGAAGGAGTCAGTCATCATTCCAGCTGATTGGTGCTGCGATGTAACCAAACTTACAGGGAAGGTTAATGAAACCGGAGACAGGAGGGAAGGTATCACAGTGGACTCATGGAGCAAAACATGGTCCTGAGTAGACACCAACGGAAACACATGACCAGAAAAAAAGCACACACACACACACATAGGCGCTTACATGGATGACTGAGCTAGGTTTACTTCTGATTTTGCTTTCTCCTGTGAAAGCCGCGGAGGCAGAAGAGAAGCAGATGACATGCTGTCCCCTCTGCTGTGGGCCTAAATTATTATATCAAACTCTGCCAGGCAGTCAACTCAGAGATAAATCGGAAGCTAAATTACAGTAGGGAGTTTTTCTTTTTCTTTTCTCTGTGCTGAATGTGTCAATTGCATTGTAACCTTATTTATCTACTGTCCGACTTTTATCGGCAGCATCTGCAGGGCTTGAAATGGATTTTTGAAAACAATGGGGCCTGTGGCTTTTAGGAAGGAGGAGAAACCTGCAGGGGTGCAGAAAGCTTCTGAATGGAGAAAAATCTTCAGAGGGTTTAGACTTCTTCATTGAAGATATTAAGAAATACAAAAGAAATAGATCTCCTCAAGACAACCGATGCAAGATGGCGGCGCGCACAGACGCAGCGGCTCACAGCTCTCCCTATTTGTGCTTAGGGACAGCTTCCTCCCCAAAGCTGTCACCATACTAAACTCAAACTCGCACTAATGTATTTATTGTATTGTATTGTATTTATTGTATAGTCTTTTATATCGTGCTAATTATGTGTGCACTTTTACGGAGCTGCTCTTTAAATTTAATTGTACTGTGTATAATGACAATAAAGGCTTTCTATTCTATTCTATTCTATTCTATTCTATGTATTACAACATATATACAAATAGTACGTTTGGAACGATAATGTGTGTCTGATATGTATTTTCTGCAAACGAAAGTATAATTCTCCACATTAAAACCATCACCACCACCAAGACATCTACTCCTTCTGCCTTATTAGAAAATCTATGAATATGGAAATTTTGTTAATTTCTTCTTCATTGTAGTCCATTCTCAGTGTATGTGCACTGGTGGCTTCAAGTTTCACACTTGTATAATTTGCATACTGGACCAGGTTTGACTTCCAAACTATATGTGATGTCACAAATCAGGCTCATAGGCCCCGCCCCTTAAAAATCTGATTTTCAGTGAGCACAGAGAAACTTTCCACTTTCAGCAGAAGAATGTGAAAACACCTTTCTAGTGTATACATGCAGTACTCATGTCTTACCTGTACAGTAAAAGGTGAGGAAGAAGAGGAGTAGGCCGGTGACCAGGTTCCCCAGGAAAGTGACTACCCCACAAGTGATGCCTTCAGGGACCGGGTACACCGTCTCGATGAAGAGCTCGAAGAATATTGGCACGCTGCTGTTAATGAATATGCCCACCAGGATGCAGGAGGTGTACAGGATGGCTGCGAAAGGGCAAAAATAAACAGCAGAACAACAATAAGTTACACTTTAATTGGAAAAAACTGTGATGTAGTAGGGTATCACATCCCATCAGAGCTACTATTTAAAAAAGATGGCATAATGGTCAAGTTTATGGAACAGCAGTGGTGATTTATGCTGCCTTCCACAGCCTCCTGCTGTGCAATTTGTTCTCAGCAACACTAAGATTTATGATGAATCCTCATCCTGAAACAACATTTCAATTAGAATGCCATCCCTTGAGGTGGCAATTTACTGGAGACAAAACCAAAATACTGTAGGTGTAAGGGTGGAAAATGGCCACTTTTCAACCAAAACATGTCCCCCAACTCCACCACGGCCGTCACCTGGTCTGCAGTGTCCAATTTGTCAGATTTCACCTATGAACTGTGTTTCTGCCTTATTCCCTTTGCTTATAATCACATCCATGTTTCAAAATTACAAATCTGGCCAAGCATTCCGTGTTACCTCCGGTACTTTCCGACAATTTTTGATATTCTGAGCTATGGATGCATTTGGGTCAGTATCAAGAAAGTATTGAGGTTTAAAACTCTGCTCTAGTTATAACACTCTATAGAGAGGGACATTTCCTCCCAGTGTATCATAGGAAAGTTTTGATGGCACTGTGACAGAAATTCAATTTGAATTTCTTTTGTAACATTTTGCTGTTTTTAGTTTATTTGCACACTTGGCATTAGGATGCAACTCATTTCACAGATTCTACAGCATATTAAAATCCAATTGCTGACTCTTTTGCCAAAATGTGCAGATGCCCACATAGTAAACAGCTCGTCTCATTTGCTCCTCAGCCATGAGGAGAATGTAACTGTCAACACTGGCTGCTGCTGGTTTAATTTGGGTACGTCTTGGTTGAATAAAAAAATAAAATAAAAAAAACAATTCTAGAGAGTGAATTTTTTAATTTAAAATCATGATGCGTTGACTAGCTCAGTCTATTTCCCACACTGAACCTCGCAGAGGTCATTCTTTGCAGAAGTGTGTGTAATATAGACTTACTGATTCAACATACAGCATTTCATTGTCACCTGTGTCTGTGTGTTCATGTCTGTAGAGCAATCAGAAAGCGTTCAATATATTTGGCCAGCTCAGGGTGTAGTCTCAGCTGCAGTCCTTTGGCTGGGACCTTAAGTAAAATGTGTGAATGTGTATTAGAGTGGATGTGCGGAGAGATTAAGCCATCACCTCTGGAGCATCACGGCACCCTCCATCTCGCTTATCACAGCAGATTGGTCCAAATGAGCTCCCCATTAGCCTGCACGTCCCTTTAATCACAGTGCCTCTGAGGGCCCTCGCGTGCCTGCCTGCCCGCCTGCCTGTGACGGGGAACCCATGAGCCACTCTCCCAGCCATCAAAGGCAGCCTTCTCCCTGCTCGTCTTTATTGAACCCTAATGAAGCACTGATATCAAACACTTAAGACCGATTCAACCACTGCACTTTTCCCCCCACACGTTATTGAATTAGGCTATCTGGCGCCAATTCCCAGAAGGCAGCAGTAGATCCCTTGATGGAAGGACACACGTGACGAGCACAGCAAAAGAGCGACATGGGATGTCACTTGGCCTGAAGAGAAGACAATGTTTTTTTTTCCTAGAAATGACATTGGGGGTTGTACACTGACTTCTTTCCTCACTATCTGACGTATCCCGTGTTTCCTCGGAAGGTATAGCAACTAAAGGCAAGCAAGGAAAAGCATGTTTCAAAAAAGAAGTTTTCACTCTTCTGCTGAATTTGGGAAGAGTTTGACTATGTTAGAGAGTTTGTTGACCTGATTGGTTGATGTTCGCCTATTATAGATGGTTCATCCACTTACCTGCAGAGTATAGACCACAGAAAAACAGCTGATAACTTCTACGCAAATTATTTAGATATTTCCTTTTTTTTCTTCAATAGACTAGACACTAAGAATGTAAAGATATATCGTGAGACAGATAAATTGTGATACAAATATGCAAAAATTCTAATCGGTGAGATGAATAAAGAATCATGACACCCTTTTCTACAGCAGAGGGTGCTATCCACTTTTGACTTTGCTTGTTCGACATATATATATATATATATATATATATATATATGCATTGATTTTCAATCTATACCCTTTCTCAGAAAAAAAAAATTATATCATTTGATAAAGAGAATATAAGAGAAAATATATCTTTTAGAACGGGATCTTTTTCAATCATGATTTGTCTGCAATCAGAAGATCATCAGAAGATCATACCATGAACCCAGTATCCTGCATTGTTACATCCCTACTGATCGTTTGTTCACAGCAACTGTAGATTACTCAGGTCTGGGTGTGTGCTACTGACGATGGGATGATGAGCTGCTTTGGCAGTTTTTGTTGCAGTATCACACCACCCTCTTGTATTATATGCCAGGTGGATGAACAAGGTTGGAGCCTGGCTGCTGCAGACTGCCAGTGTCTGGGATAAGAGGAAGTGAGACAGGGAGAGAGTGCCAGGGCCTGGAGAATGATGATGGATGATGATGGCTAGAATCAGTGGCTTTGAACCGCATGCTGGTATGCTTATTGGTTTGGCTTAGGAAAAGGCAGCTAAGTCCAGTTCAATGTCCCTAATGGGTTTATCACTGACGTCTACAAATGGATTGGTTCTGCTGAATATCTACCAAAGTAAGTGTTTGGAAAGTGAGACATGTTTTTTCATCGTCTTGGCTCAGTACTCCAACACTTGAGTGTAACTACAGTAACTACATGGCTGACTTTAAGCTTTCAGGGTGTTTGAGGGTGTTACATCCATACTGGCTGAATGGTGTATGACTCCTTTTATACATAGAATAATGTAATTTATAAAATATATATTGTTTATAATTATATATAATATTTTTTTATTAAATATAATTTTAGGACAATGTAGACCAGATCAGGCCAGGCAAATGTGGAGTTTTTAGGCCCAAACTGTGAAATGTTCTTGAGCATCCGAGATAGTCACATGACCTCGATCCAGCTGATCATGTGTTTTGTTTGCTGAGAACCAGACTGAAGGCAAAAATACTACACAAGCAAGTAGTGAAGCTGGCTGCACCAGGGAATGTGTCTGCTGACATAATTCATCTGTTCTCTGGTCTTCAACAAAATTGGACTGAATTATAAAAAAAAAACAGAATTCACTGAATTCCTTTTAGTTGTGGCTTGTATCTCCCAGCTGCACTGTATGTATGCAATGTCACCTTTATAGTGATGCTGCCACGGACCTACCTGCAGTAGAGGGGAGGTGAGTGTATCTGCTCAGACAAGTTAATGTGAACCAGGTAGAGGACAGTGAGGCTCCAGCCAGCATCAGCACCAGGATCAGCTTCAACATCCCCCGAATAGAGTCTGCAAACCTAGGTTGGGTGGCGCGAAGGGGGGAGAAAGGGGGAATATCAATTTATTAAAAAAAACAGGGAGGCAAAGTACAACATATTCAAGATACGGATCCTGAAATACACCAGGACAAAGAGCCAACAAGATTACAGAAGTGAGTAAAGACAGCTGCATCAGAAACAAGAGGCATCCTTCATAAACACAATGTAAGCAATTTCTAAGTGTCTGCTTCCTCTGTGACTTGTGTCATAATCAATTACCGGAGACATGCATTGTTTCAAAGAAAGGCTAGATCATTTCCTTCTCCCACTTGTTTCTGAGTGCATCAGTTGTACTTGTCATTACACAAGCACAGTTGATTCAATTTGTCTCACCAGCTAAGCAGGCGGACTTGAGATGCGCATTGTGTTATATTGCAGAAGACAGGCCATCGGGCCATTCCCAAACTCTCTTGAGCACCGTGGTTTCTCTTTGTAGCCCTTTATAAACCCCCACAGTTCATTAACTCCTCTCCGCTCCTCTGGGTCTGCACATGTATGCTTGTGAAAGATTAGATGAAGCTCCACAAGCCTGTAGCAAAGACAGACACTAATTACTTTTGTTTTGTTGCTCACGGACAGGATGCTCAAGAAAACAGGGCTGAACTTGACAATGAACTTAGCACCAGAATAAAAGAAGTGTTGGAAATGGCTGATTAGTTCAGCTAGGTTGTGAAGTTCTGTCAGTATGCCGAGGGCCAGGGGATGTGGAAAATCATCCTTTGGAAGGATAATGAGAACTTCTCCACTCAGTATGTTCCCGGGTGACATTTTTAGATGATATCAATGTCTCCTGGGATTTCACGAGCTGTCATTCACAGCCTCAACACATTACCTCCATGTTCACAGGACATCAGCAACATTCTAAAATCCTACCTTTGGAATCCTGATCCATGTGAGAGAGTTTACAGCAAGGTATGGGTAACTGGGATAGCACAATGAAGTCTTTTCCGAGAAAAACATCTAAAGTTCTCATATTTGTGTTTACAACAATGAGCTGGTTGCACTGGAAAAGGCAGACTAGTCAGAGGGCCAAGCACTTGCCACTACACAGAGGTGTCTGGTTTCCCCTGCACACAGCTACACCCCTAAAATCTGTATCACCCATTTGCCATTGACTGGCTCTTATCCACAACCCTTCAACCACCCCTGGTACCAGAGAGGGATGAAATCCTTAGCCTGCACCCAGTCCAGCCTTCATCTCTTTGCGGAGAGGATCACAGGCTACTCCTATGTATCAGTTCCAATCGGATCATCTAGGCAGAAACACCATAAGTAGCTTATTTGCTAATACTAACTCTGACGGTCCCCCGTCTAGAGTCCACTTGATAAAGAGCTTGGTCACTGATTGGCAAGATAAGTCAGGTGCGACACAGATTGAATTAAACTAATACAACTGAGCAGAGTTTGGGTTTTGAAAACCGCTGGTGCACAGTTCGCTAAAAGCAATATAAATATCATCACGTCTTATTTTTGTAAAGGGTAAAGACAGCGATAATCTGTGAATAGTCAATGCTGCTGACAAGTAATGTCTGTGCAGTCAAAAGCCAATATACAGCAACTTAATTCCTCTGTGCCACAGAACTTGATTGTTGCCCAATAACAATTAAAAACACATCAATGAGCCACACTGTTGCACTGGGTGTTCCATAATTACCATGAACATTGAATGTAATTTATTTTGAGTAAATCCCACATACACCATCCTGTTGCATCATTAGAGCACCAAATGTATTAATCCAAGGCTGAAAGTGGTCCCCAGCAAATGCCTTATTGGTAACAGATAGGACATTACTGCACCTTGTGTAAAAATGTAACAAATGATCACCAGTTTTTAAAGATTTACATCATTAGTAGAAACAAAAGGGCATTACACAAACAGAGTAGGGATTTGTTGACAATAAGAAAAATACTGAATAATATTGAAGAAGAAAACACTTTGCTATGAAGGTTTGCATGTCTCCAGTAATGTAATTCCGAGCTCTGTTACACTACTCAGTGAGTAAAGAGGGTCATGTCATCTCATGAGGTAATGTCAGAATTAAAAGCCTATCTTTTACACTGCTCTAACGGGATTTATTGGCCATAAAGATAGCATCATTTAAGTCATGTAGAATCAAATTCCACTTTCTGCTCTCCCACTGCCTGAGGGGAATGATGAAATATCATCATCAGTGTGATATTATCAATTGGGCCTGTCTATGTGCGGGTGAGTGAGGGACATGCAGTAAATAACCAAAATGGACGTTGACGGTATAATATGATGACCAGCATGCAATCACAGATCCTACACAGTTGCAGGCAAAACAAATTAGGCAGTGGCTGATACACATTTCTGTTTGCTCTATCTCATCTCATTAACCTGGAGTATTGTCTCGCTCAGACCTTTGTGATGTGAAGGAGAATAACCTGGTTCTGTTTTCTGCCACCTCCTCCTCCTCATCCTCCTCCCCCACCCCCTCTCCCCCCTCTTTTCCAGAGGCTTGTAATGAGAAGATAACGAGGGGTGCTTGTTAGTTATTCCTTCCACCCTCTTCAATCTGTGGACGAAAAAAAAGAAACGTACAGCCTGCCACTGTCATCCAATCAGCTTCTGTCTGGGCCACACAATTAGACAGCTGCCAGATTGTTTGTCAAATGTTTCCATGACGAGTGCCACACCTTGGAGCGTCCACTAATTGAACCTACTGCAAGTTCCCAGCCATTCAACTGTCCAACGGCAAGACGCAGGCAATGAATGTTTGCAAGCAGCCAGTGTTTTTTGGCAAAGGGCAAGTATTAATCCCCCAAGAAATTTAGCTTTGCAGGACTATAAGCCACTTAAAATGTGAAACTGCCACACCTGCAGCACAAAAAGCATTTACAGGGGGTCCATTTCCTGCCCCCTGCGGCAAACTGTGCTCAGCATTGGCACGGTATTGTGCTAGCTAGAGGGAGAGGGACACTAACATCTTAAGGGCTGCTAGTGGGTCAGACAAGGGACAAAGATTGCTCTCTGCTCAGTTCATTACCACAAGCTTTCCTGGGAATGTATCTAATGATGCCATATTGCAGCAAGTTGATGAAGAGGCAAGATAAAAAAGCAGAAAGAGGCAGCATTTAGTTTTAAGGGAGTAAAGAGAGGAAGAAGCAACATACTGTTGCATTTCTTTTGCTTCTGCTGTTTTCAAACATTTCTCTGGTCAAAAGGACCCCAGTTGGAGTGCATCTAGAGGCTCATCTCCCAACGGACGTCATCCATCAAAGAGAAGAAGTGAGAAAAAAAAGCCACCAGCTCGGTAACTGATATTAATTAATGAGAACGTCTGCTGCCTATTGTGAGTGACCCAGCAGCAGCAGCAGCAGCAGCAGCAGCAGCCACAAATCCCAAACAGGTTAACACTTTAATCAGGTTCTAGCGCAGCGTATAACATTATTACACAGACATAGGTGTTTAATACATATAATAGGTGTATGGTTAATTGGTAAAAAATCTGATGAACCTTGCAAAAGAAAATGATTTGTATAACTACATTTGTAAGTGTATCAACTTTCACTTTTATATCCAGCCCAAACTGGCTAAATCTGTGCTGTTTTGGTTTTCCACCCACACAAAAAAACACCCCAAAACTGAGCTTTTTAAAACCAGTCTACACGGTCGATAGTTAATATGACAACTTTTTGACTCTGATCACTGAGTCATTACCTGCATTATTACCATTTGTTCTGTCAGATTTGCAATCACTAAATAGTGATATTGTTGATTTCTCAGTACACCAACACTGGAATTACTGTTTGGCTGGCGAGCAGGTAGAATTTTAAGCCATAATCAAATCCCTATTCAATACTTGTACATGTTGCTTTTGAACCCTGAAGTCTAAACGGAAACTAGATGGGAAAATTAAAGCATTGTTACTCACTGAGCACAACTCACCACCATGATCTGAGACTAAGAGAAGTTCCTACCCAACCCCTACCACCCACATTTAGCTAATTTCAACAGTTGCACATAGAGCAAATGACATGTGAGCAATTGTTAAAGGTGAATTTCATTTAACTATCAACTGTTGCACTGAAGAAGGACTAATCAATCTCTCCAGTGACTCAGAGTCTATGTAATCAACACCAATAATTCAACAGCTCTGTTTACATACACTTTCATCTCGTGCTGCAAACAGCTTCATTGATTAACAGTGGGAGTTATGGGCTCATTTCCCTGATTACAACTTTAAGAAAACAGTGGGCTTGCTTGGAAGTGCTGATTGGGCCTCAGCCTGCGATAAACATATATCAGTCAGAGCAGGAATGAATCCCTTGCTTTTGCAGACTCCACACTTTGTCTTCGTGGTATGGCTCCCTATCCATCAATGGAGGTGAAGTGGCTGTTGCATTAGCATCTATTTCCCTCGCTCTATCACAGTGCTGCTGGATTCAGATCATATATTAAAAGAGAGTAGATGAGATTAGGGAAGCGAGAGAGAAATCTCTCCTTTACCCCAATTCAACCCTCAACTGTTCTTTATATGAGATTTATTAGTTAATAATACTGGTATAAACAGTTCAGCTTTCCTAGTGTCAGGGGGATACACTGAAGTACAATATGTATGCATATGGAGTGACCACAGCTATTCCACTGTGAGGAAAATTCAAAGGTACTGGTTTCTAATCTTGTTTGTGAAGCAGTAGAGGCACATCCAAGGATATCAAAGAGAATATAAATTGATTATTTCCATGCTTTATGAATTAAAAGGACCCTTTGTTCACAACTGTCTTTGTGATATGTTACACCAGAAGTTTATTCAATCTTGCAGCAGATGGTTGATGGTTGATGGCTGATGGTTTTGACACTGTGTCAACTGTTCCATTTGTATTCTATACTGTATAAGTTGCAAATGTGATGAAAGAAAACTGACTATGTATTCATGTGGTATTTTACGTTATTTTCCTCTTTTAACCATGGAAATAATCTTAAAGTTGAAAACATTTTAGTCAATCTATTTAACCTTCATCCCCATCTAGGAAAGTGATTCAACTTTTTTGGCTTGTGTCCCCTCCAGATATGTATTGAGACGTATATAAATAGTGTGCTTGGAACAATAGTGTGTGTCTGATATGTATTTTCTGCAAAAGAAATGTATAATTTCCACATTAAAACCCTTACATTTTTAATATATTCCTTCTTCCTCATTATAAATTCCAGAATATATGATTATGCAAATATTGTCCAAGTTTTCCTGGTGGACACAAGATGTCTCCTACATCACTTTTTTCATTCTCAGTATATGTGCACTGGTGGCTTCAAGTTTACATCACAAACTGGATAAAGATACAGAATCTATGAATATGCTAATTTTGTTAATTTCTGAAGTTTTCCTGCTGCACACAAGATGTCTCCTTCTTCAAGTTAAGTCCATTCTCAGTGTATGTGCTCTGGTGGCTTCCAGTTTCATAAATAGAATTTGCATACTGGACCAGGACTGACTTCCAAATAATATGTGATGTCACAAATCATGCTCATGGGCCCCACCCCTTAAAAAACACTGATTTTCAGTGAGTACAGAGAAAGCTTCCACTTTCAGCACATGAATGTGAAAACATCCTTCTAGTGTCAAACTCTACACAGACATCATTCTGCACAGTGAAGCTCAAACATCACACTGTAGGAACAAGAAGAAAAATGACCTTTGAGTAGGTGACTTTAAACAAAGCTACCGACATGTGATCCATGTTACATTAATCTAAGATTTGTGAGCAGTTCAGCTGAAGAGTGATTTGTCCTACTTAGAGTGTTTAATTTGAATAGTTTTTCACAGATGTGAAGATGTAAAAGTATTTTGAATTTTACAAGAGAAAAAGTGAAAAAGATTTGGTATATTGTGGTCACTGTGTGTAGAACTTGTCTGGTATTCTTACCATCTTAGAGACATGTCGGATTCAGCTGCTAAGAAGGTCTGCCAATGCAAATGAGGGGCTACAGTAAATGCTTATTTTCTAAGTTGATGCCTCACCAGGTCCATTGAGTTTCCACCGAGCTGGGTGGTATTAGCCTGATAATCAGAATAAATTGCCTTTTTTTTCACTTATACGTTGAAAAAAATCAGAGATGTGGGAGTAATTCAGAGGTCTGGGAACAGATATGTGTGTCACTGCATTTCTGTTCACTATTGAATTTTTTTCATACCACATTCAATAGTCACACAATGAGAAAGTAAAAAAAAATCATGGATGAGAAGGCTGCATACAGGTTATCTAGGTCAACGGCGTTTAGTGGGAGATGTTAATTAGCAAGCCCATTATAGAGAGGATCTGTATCACATTAGTAGTCTAAAGCCTGGACAATCTTACCTTACTCCTTCCTTTTCACCTTAAAACAATATTCAGTGGTCATGCCATGTCACAGTCACACAATAAAAACAGCTCAGTATATAGTTGCTTACCTGGCCATTGCTACTCCAAAGACACATCCACCAACAATAGACCAGAAACCAATCCAACCTGCGTCCACCTGCATGTTAGGAAATAACAGGGGATGGTGGGATAGAATGGAAGAAGGCAGGAGCCAAGAGAGGTGAGGAGAGGAGAGGAGAGGAGAGGAGAGGAGAGGAGAGGAGGTTATTCAGTGTTCAAAATGCAGTCCATGACTGTGAGGACAGAGTTAGACAGGGAGCAGGCACTAAGTGTCTGTAGTCTACCGAGGCCTGTCAATCACTGTGTCTGGTAAATTGCCAAACAGCATTGCTATAAGAACAGCTGTGTTGTGTGTGTGTGTGTGTGTGTGTGTGTGTGTGTGTGTGTGTGTGTGTGTGTGTGTGTGTGTGTGTGTGTGTAAGATTCTTGTCCTTTCTTATTTATACGGATGAAGGCCAACACATACAATTGGCCTTAAAGACAGAAGAAAGGACGTTATGGCCGAGAGACTGCAGCAGAATCAATAAGAGGGAAAGTTTAGCACATGTGCGCACACACAAAACCAATCAGTGTGTGGCACCCGGGCGAGAACGTCTCTGAGTGCCAATGAAGGTGTTTGGTTCCCATCAATCTCCCTGAGGCAATAACTTACATTCAACCAAATCCAACCAGATGGAAGATGAGACAGCAAGGGACCAGACTCTAAAGCAGGATCTGATGCTTTTTGCTTAATCATACTCTGCAGTGACCTGTCAGGAAAGTCTATAATGAAGAAAAGTGGACTATCAAAGTTATTAAATGTAAAATGTATTCTGCTTCAGTAAGTGATGAATGTCAAAATGTCATTATATTTGATCTAGATTACACTCCTCCAAGTGTTCTGTGAGGGCCAGCCTTCTGTAAGACGCTAAAAGCTCATTGGAAAGGCGCTCATCTCTTGTTTGCATGGCCTGAGCGGTGAACCCTCAGATTTGAAGCTTAATCGTGTCTGCTATATTGCGATTGTGTCAATAAGCTGGAAATGACTGGTGTTAGGACAGCGAAAGCCAGTCCTCATGGCTCTTGACGTTAAGATGTGTATTTTTCCTAATTCTCTTTCTCAATCACTTGTTATAAGCCATTTTAAACCAATAATCAAAGACCCTATCCTTAGCTTGGCCATCAGCCTTCTCGTTCTATAAATTCTAAATTGCTACTCTCCATTAAGGGAACAATTACATATGACTGATCAGCACAGTAAGGCTCCTGTTTCCTGGGTCATACTCATTACGGTGAGGCTAAGCTCGGTGTTCAATCCTTCTGTCTGCAGGTTTAGCACATTCCCACAGTAGAACTCACACAGCAGGCATTCAGGCCCCATGAGTGGGGTGCTTTTACAAGATTCTTTAATATTCCAATTTCAAATCAGATCCAAAGTAAAAGTTCTCCATCTTAGCCTTGGTACGTTCACCATCATTTTATGTTTTGAATGGCTCCTGTCCTGCTTTCACCCCAACCCCCATATTCCCCTATGAGACACCCTGTGGGACATTGTCACAGGTCTTCTTCATATACCCAAAATACATGTAGATTGGATGGCAAAACCCTTAAAACCTTTTGTATTTTAGCTAGAAAAAGATGGTAGACTGTTCCACAGCCAGGATAAAAGCCCACTTTGTTCCTCCTGAATCTTAGGTTTGACCATTGGCTGTAGCCTCCTTTTCCATCACCTTGGCATAAGCTATCGCTGGGAAAATAAAACCCCCATCTGCCAGTCCATAGGCACCGTCCCTGACCTTAAGCTTAACCTCAGATTTCATTTAAAATAGCTTGTCAATATGAAGTAAACAAGCTTACCAAAGGGTGCTTGAATCTGTACACTATTCCACCTTTGCCTTTCTTCCCCTGGTGTCCCCTCTATGGTGTTTCCCTTGCACTCAAAGTCAAGTTTCTCTCCAAAAAATGAGCGAGCTAGGGCTGAAAGGCTTGTCTGGAGCACAGCATTGGGCTTGAACACACAGCAATGGTAGTTGCCACTCATTCTTTTCACCACAGCTTCACATAGGATCCTCCCTGTTTTCCACATATGCCTTTTCATTTCTAGTCAGAGGCAAGAGCTAAACTCCACTCCGGGCTTTAAAATGTTTACAGTATATTTAGCTGGTTGCTGAAATTTTGTCTGTGTTCATACATGACTTGACTTTATAAAGCCACAAAAATTAAAATTAATTGGACATCCATGCGCATGTACCTTAAGAAAGCCCAATGTGTAGTCACTATCAAGTTAGTACAGTTTCAATACCACCCAAAGTTAAGTTTCCTAGCCTGACTTCAGTCAGATCCCCTCATCACCTCCTGCTGCACCGTTTGCCAGACAGCTGATCTCTGCATGTCTCTGGCCCTCTGCCTTTCATTTACTGAATCAATCCCCGCAAGCTGTTAAACACCCGCAGGTGCATTTCCGGATCATATCTGGCAAACTCCTGAAATTTCGGCATGACAGCTGTAACCAGAGATCTTGCTTTGTGCTGGAACTGTTTTTGTCATCTTTCTCATGCCGTCCTGATGTCAACCGGGACACTTTACCCCCACAATAGCTTTAGGGCGCTCTAAAGTAGAATGGGCACAATTTTGTTTTTCCAATCTTAGAAAGTTGGCAGCAACATTTGTCTCATCCGATGACAACTGCTCCTGCTGCCCCACAGCATCCATGGTCACTTCTCAATCAGATGGCATGGCTAGCTGATAAAACAGATGACAGAAGCATCTATATTTTGGGTAAAAAAAACCTGAAGAAACCGTTGAAAGAAAAATGCTGACAAAGATCAACTGAGGGTAGAGAGGAGAGAGGGGATGAAGCAAGATCTGAAAATGACTGAAGATAAATGACTGCGAAGCTGTCAAATGTATGCACTTAAGAAAACGGAAAACAACATTTGACATCTGTAGTACAGAGGTCATTGTTGGACATTAGTATGAGAGCATGCAGCACCAGTCCTGCTGCTGTGAGAGGGAGAAGAGGTGGACAGGAAAGGGAAAGAAAGAGACCTCCAAAAGTAGGCAGAAACCTGCAACTAGGACAGACAGTAAAAAATAAACCAAGATGGCTTGAAGCTGGCACGTAGGTGGGATGCATTACATCAGATCCTGATGTGGTTGGTGAGTGCAAATGAAGAGAGTCCGGTGCACTTAAGTGAAAAATTAGCATACTAGCATCCTGTCCATTCGGAGCACGATCTGGTCTGCATAGATACCGCGAACTGTAGGTGCACTTTGTATCATAACAGATTGACACAAGCCACACACACACAGAATGGCACTGGCAGCAGAAACATGTAGTAATTATTAGCAAAGGGTAGAGGTACCAGTGTATACATATCTGCATGTGAGCACACCTGCATGCAACCACCCATCCTCACCAAAATGAACAAATTATTGGAAAGCATTTGGAAATTAATAGAAAGTATGAAATAGCTCTCTTGCTGTCAATGCAGTGTGCCTTGGCCTGCGGCTCTTACTGCATATTTTAAATTACCAGAGAAACAGTCAGACTCAGTTACATTTTCTAGGGATGAGAGAAAGATAATAAAAGAGAGAGGGAATAAAGCAAAAAAATTGTTTTTGTTCAAATAAAAATACATGGGAATTTAGGGATGGAAAGAGAGAACACACAGCCAATCTAGTATTTGTATGAAATGCTTATTTCGCTCCCTGAACAGAATCTTTCTTCACCATTTCTGGATCTGAGAGAATCAGCTAAGCTCCCAGCTTAGGCTACGATTTGGGTCTGCAGATTCATAGTGAACTTAAACAAAAAGAGGAGGCAGTATTTGCTTCTCCTCGGTTCAATATGACTTTAAGAACAAACATCTCCACACTCGAAGAAATAGAAAAGAAATTCAGAAATATTATTCTGCATTAGTACTCCTCCACCTCGCTGTGTTTAGATACACCACTATCTGGTTTCATTTATTTTTCAAGCTAAGTTTTGTACCCATGGGACATTCTGTAACATAGCTCACCGCGTTGCAACACACTTTTTTTCTTAACACACTTTTTATCTTCTTAACACACTTTTTATCTTCTTAACTAGCATGGATAAAAGAAATGTGGAAGAGAGAACAAATGAAATCTAAGAACAATTTGGTATGCGCTCTGCCACCTCTTCACTGAGATGCAGGTGTGACGAGGAGTGTCTCATCCTCCGCTCTCCTCTGTGATCTCCTCTCAAGCAGCACCTGTCTGATGATAACCTTGAAAAGACCCTCCCTTTGTCTTTCGACATACTGCTGTGTCGAGGCCTGGAAGATGCAAACTACACACAGCTTTTTCACCCCACTCCCACACTAGTCTTTCTCTTTGGTCTGCCTCAGAATGAAGATGGTGAGCAAATGGTGAATTGCAATTGATTGGGGCCCTTACAAATGATGGACAGAAGGTCCGAGTAAGTTCAGTGAGTGGAAAACTGAAAAAAGAGGAAAAAAATGAATCATAATTTTCCTCTTTTATTTTTATGTTCCTTGAAATATAACTGAATCTGGTTTTATGCGATGAGGGACAGTGTTTTCTGTATTCACAATAGTGTACAAGTGTGTTAATAACTCCTTGAAAAGAATTCAGCTGCCTGGAGGCCTTCTACGCTGAAATAGACTCCTCATGTTAGTACAGGAGGCCTGGGGTTAATTATTCCTCAACATCTCCAGAATTTCAGATCTGCTTTAAAATGCAATGTGTACTTTCTGTGCACGGCCATGAAAGAGCACCTGGGCAATAACAGGCAATACGAGACTGAAGAGAGGCCTTACCAGCTATTCATTGCATTGTTCATCTGACTGGGCTACACTTGTGAAAAGCTTTGCAAATTGCTGGCACAGTGGAGGTTTTCAAAATGGGAAAAAAAAAATCAGACCTGTCAAATGTACTGACAAGCTACTCATGCTTCGTTTTTATGCAGAAATACACAATGAGCTTCTATTCATCATAGGTTGCAGCTTATAATATATACTGGATCGGTTTGGTTTGGTTTGATGATGTTCTTACTTATTAAAATACATTAACAGGATAAAAGGTTAAATGGTATTCTGTTGTGTATGTGTTTGCTGCTCACCTGGCTGACTTTGGCTGGTGTAAGGACCATGTCGAGGACCCCCGACCAGCCAGCAATCACTCCTGTGGGGACTGCATAGGCCAGAGCGATCATCAGGAAGCGCACGTTACTAAAGGGGACAAAAACACATTAGGGATTCAAGATTGCACTCACATAAATGTCTTACAAGCTGCTGATTCCCCCCCTAAAATATCAATATGGATGAGTTCTTTAACCAGGCGTGTCTATGCGAGACTAGATGCATAATGTGTTCTGATGTCCTAAAGAATATGCTGGACATAATGTCCTGTGAGAAGACAGTAGGTTGTTATTCTGTAACCCTCTGGTTTATTAATGTCCTACACCCACTTATCTGTGTTCCTTAAAAACAGATTGTCAAGATAATTTCTTAGGCAGGCCCTATCGCTGTCCCTTGGGTAAAAAGATCTTTACTTCTCAAATTATGCAATCAATTTTCATGGGGACCAGTATAAAGTTCACAGCACATCAATCATTACATGCAGCAGTGCTCAGATCAATAACTAAATGGCCAGACCTCCATATGAATTTGTTGAGGCATCTACATTTCCCTCGTTCAAATCATTCCAACATATAGTATTTTCACATTTGCTGTTATTACAAATTATAACAAAAGGGCAAATGTTCTGATATTTATAGCTGTGTGTCTCTATGACTCCCAGCCTCTGCACGGGTGGGGTTCAGCAGTTGATCTAATCTAGAGGAGAGGATACCCACCACATAATCATAAAGGGTTTCATAGTTACACAATCCATCAACAAAATTTCACAAATTAGATGAATGCATGAGAACAACCTATATCCTATCCTATCCTGAGATGAAACAGTAAAAGTAGCATAATGGAATGTCTCCTTCCCTTTTTGGTGTTTGGAGGCCTGCCATCAGCTCCAGGTCTTTTTACTAGCCCACAGTATGTGTCACTTACTTTACACACACACACACACACACACACACACACACACACACACACACACACACACACACACACACACACACACACACACACACACACACACACACACACACACACACACACAGCTCTGGCTCATCTCCATGCTACTGTCACAGCAGAAGATCTATCCAAGTGCAGAGTGCAGTGACACAGAGATAAGCAGCTACCTGAGCACAGTGGCCTCAGTTGTCAGAATAAAGCACAGAGGTATCACAGAAGTCAACATAAAACTGAGCAATACAGGCTAAAGTTATAGATTTATATTAATTAAAATACTTCACACAGTCCTGTATAGGTCAACAGAGTGTGGATTGTATTTATCCGATGGGTCGTTGAATTGGTAATATAAGCTATGCTGATCTGCTAACAGAAATAATGGAATCAATTCACTCTGTCTTAAGCAATAACTAACTGAACACTTTAAAATCAAAATAATCAAACTGAATGGAAATTACTTTCTCTTCTGCTGAAACTGGTACTGACATAACTGCTACTATTACGACAACTACTACCACTCTGTCAGAAGAATATATAGAATATAAAAGCCATTTCTGGAACAGTCTGGAGAGGACTAAAGATTTTATTGTTAGTGTAAAAACATATACTTCCTGTAAAAATATTTGCTCTTCCCTACAATTATTTTGTATTATAGATTTATCGATTGATAATTTTTAGATTCAGAGTTGACATCTAGTCTAAAAAACATTAGAAAATAGTTATTACATTTACAATTATACTATTACATAGTTTAAGGCAGCAACAGGTCACATTTGAGAAGCTAAAACTAGAGAGAGTCTACTTTTCTGTCCATTGACCAATAGACCTTTTTAACAGCAGCCAGTTTGACATGAAACAGTAGGGTAATCACAGGTGTTACCAATAACACTAATGAATATTCCATTCCATTTAGGGTAACAGAGCCTTTCCGGTGGACAAAAAAATACAATAGTAGCACCCTGGCTTTGTTTGAACAGAACTGTAATTAGTAGCATGGGTAACACCAGTGTTTACCCTACTATTTCATGTCAAAATTGCTGCTGTGAAAAATGTCTTTTGATAAATCGGCTTATCTTTTCAGCACTTATAGGCTTATTGTCAGCTGCTGGCTGCTAATCAAGTTATCAACTAAAATCAAATTGTACACATAAGAGATAAAAACAAGCACCATCTCCCAGCTGTGATAAATGGCTTTAGGCTACAGATATTGCGCTGCACAGTCTGATACCGTCTGCTAATATCTCATCAGCTGACAGTGTACTTTGAACAACGGGAGAAAAAAAGACACCTTTATATACCTAGTTATGTATGCACATCCACTATACACACACAGCTCTAGTATATGGCACCCCTCCAATCACATGCAACCCAATTACAATCACTTGGAACACCCATGCTAATCACCTCGCCCAATGAGGTGGCATGCTGATTTAAATCAGTGCCACCTCCTCAACCCTAACAATATGATTAGAATCACTAGGCGTCTGACAAATGAGGCAAGGTTGGCAGAGCAGGCAGCAGATTCATAGATTGTTTTGTTTTCCCACTCTCCTGTTTTTTGTTTATGGACACCGTTTAAACCCTGCATTTATTCTCCCTACGCCTTGTTCATTATAATGCAGGCAGCATCCTGAGCAGTATCGTGCAGGGACATCTGGAGAACACTTTGGGCCTCCCGCATCCCTACTATGACTTCAAACACACAACACACAGACAGATAAAGTTCACACGTGCACTTTAAGTTGGTCTTTGAGTTGGAAACTATGGGGGGAACTTGTCCCAAGACACACAACCTGTACAGCAAAAGCCCTGTTGCTGTAAACATATGCACACCCTTTCCCTTTCCTGACACTGGTGCACTTCAGACAATGAATCACTTTTATTCGCTGAATGCTTTGACTCTGCAGAAAAACAAACACAGTCTGTCTCCCTGCTGCAGGCCTGTCTTGTCCTAAGCAGTATGAAGCTGCTTGGCCTTGGGGAGAGTATGGAGGGACAGTCATAAAAGCCCTGTGATGGAGCACCCTCTCTGATTTTCTCCCAGCACCCCTTTCATTAACCTTGCCACAACAGCAGGAAATCAATATCCATGCACCTTTTTCCCCGTCCGGAAGCTTATTTAGATATTATTATTTAGCCAAATGTAAGCAAGCAGACGCTAGCAACTGAGTAAGAGATGGGACATTTTTTCCCCCTTTTCCTTTCCTGCTGGTGATGAAATATTTCCGAAGAAGACTCAAAGCCGGCAGCGTCATCAGCTAAGTGCTATTTGTCCTTGGCAGACCCGGCTGGAGATCAATGCATCAAGATGACAACTTTCAAAGGTAAAATGACTATGACCGGGGAGGGAGAGATCATCAATACTCAGCCTTTGGGCTGTTTAGTATTCCCTCACACGATCAGAATACAATGATAACTTTACACCACGTGTAGAGACGTTCAGGCTTCTAATTAGACTGCTGCTGTGGAAGCAGATGTGAACAGCTGGAAGCACTCATCAAGCTCAAGATCATTAACCAGTGCTCAGACCCTGACAGGCTAAATGGATGAACAGATACATCAATGGATAGGTATCAGGCAGGCTAACTGACTAGCTGGCTACCACCTGCTGTCATTCTGGAGGCCACAAAGTGTTACTGTTTTGTCAGCTTCTACAGATACAAACTTTATGCACCAATCCAATCCGCTGGCTCGGTATCAGGACAGATACTGACCTTTTAAAGCAGATCGGGTATTGTAGCTAAGCCAATTTCACGTCATTCTAAATATACGCATGTGTTTACGCTATGATTGTTAGGTTACAGCACACTACCAACCCCAACAAATGTGGCGTACTGATATTGGATCTTAAAGTAGCCTTTTGTTGCAGAGTTTGCAAGGGTGAAGTTAATTTAAAGCTGCATTAATTGTTTTTCGTCCATTTGGGGGCTCCACAAAATGCTAAAAGAAAATGCACACCTCTTTCATTTGATCAAGTGAAGTTGCATATTTAAACATCCATTAGCCATAGAACAACATTAGCATTCATTTTGAGTCCTGTTTCTATTGTCTTGATAAATCCAAGTCCAATATTTACCAAACCCTGACTCCTCAGCTGCTAGATGCTCCACTTTTCTCTCTAGCTAATCAGTTAGGCTCCTCTGACATTAGGCACTGGGCAGGAAGTGTACAGTGGATTTATGAGGGCATTTTAGCTGAAATCAGCTCCCTGCTACTGCTGGAAACAGTACTGATAAATGCAACAGACCTAACCCAAAACAATGAGCTAATCAAGACTAAGAAGCTCCACAGAGCTGCAGAGTTTGTGATAATTTTCTGTGGGTTTGTCATTACAAGAAACCCCTATCACACTGAACAGAGCTATTTGATCAGCTTTTAATATAAAACATTAATTTGTGGCTCTGCAAAGTTGCATTTCTTTTTTCCTGAAGTTAACATTATTCCGTCTAACTTCCTGAATCAGTACACATGGACACAAAGACTCATAAGTCACTGTTCCCGTTCCATGTCCAGTCCCTGCAGGAGAATTCCAAGGCTTGATGTTGCTGGACCGAGATACAACATGTTGCCCAAACAGGTCACTGGAAGGCTGCCTATCACAAGTGGAACAGAAACCCTCTCAGCTGGATGGCCTAGTTAAGTTTTTTTAGTGTGTGTGTGTGTGTGTGTGTGTGTGTGTGTGTGTGTGTGTGTGTGTGTGTGTGTGTGTGTGTGTGTGTGTGTGTGTGTATATATATCTGTCCAAAACTATGCATTAGGTTGATATCAGCTTGGTCCCTGTCATCTATCTGAGGGAGCCTCTTGCTGGAAGTTAAGCCTCTCTGTGCTGGTGAGGGGCCTGTGGAAAGCATGGCACTGCAGCGGAGCAATTTCTTACTGCAGGGGGCCAAGGGTAGCCAACAAAGCTAGGCCAACTCCCGGGCTGCCATCGGCCAACTTTTCTTCTCCTTTCTCCAGCCCTTTAATCCCTGGCCACTGCCACGGGCCTCATTCCTTCACAAGCTGGGCAAAAGGCGCAGCACTCGCTCTTCATGGCCCTGGGGATATATATTACCTTGGTGTATGTGATGTTGCATGGTTATAGTGAGGTGTGAATCAATCAGTCTTCAGATTTTCTCTTTACTGTTCATCATCAATGAATGCACTCCAGGACTGAGATTCAGGACCTTTTCATAATATAACATTGCTGTCTCTAACCACATGCATCAGTGGTGTATTGAGGCTATATTGACAACTGACCCTGATGGTACAGATGCAGAGGATTATTTCAGCAGCTACCAGTATATTATAGCTTAGTAATTAATCTAGAGGGAAGGCTGGGGTTTCTTTGATAACAACCCAAGCAGATGGTGAGTGGCAGACCCCTTCATTAAGATTCCATATCCTTCTCCAGCGCAAGATTCTGTCACTTTAACTTTCTAAGACAAGAAGCGTGCAATGCATTACCAAATGAGAAACCAAACTAGACCTAATGGATTTGTAGACACAGTGGTTATAGAGCATTGAAGGTGCTGCAGAAATATGCTCCTGACTGCTCTCTTAGAGTCTGATGTCGTAAAACATAACAGCACCTGAAACTAATTTTAAATGCAGGACTGAAGTTTCACTTGCTTTACACGCTGACACCAGAGTTGAATCAAGGACACGTCAAGTTAGGCATACTGAATAATTTACTGAAAGAATGGTTTTCAACAAAAGGTGTCAGATGGTATTGGTCTTTCAGAGGACTTTTTTGTGTGTGTGTGTGTGTGTGTGTGTGTGTGTGTGTGTGTGGTGTTGTGTGTGTGTGTGTGTGTGGGGGGGGGGGGGGTGGGTGTGTGTGTGTGTGTGTGTGTGTGTGTGTGTGTGTGCGCGCTCTACGTTTGTCAGCGTGTGTGTGTGGTTTTACCTAAGAAGTCTGCAGATGCTGCTCCTATAACTGAGTCTCTGGCTTGCAGCAGCCACGCTGGGAGGCATCGGTGGGCGGGACGGGAAATAGAGCAGGACTGCTGCAAAAAGCACAGCAATTGCAGCCAACTCTGCCGGAGCACAGAGACACAGATAAGAGACATACGTGTTATTTTCATAGATAAGACAGTCGGGCCAATTTGACATTTTATAAAAGGTTACTTTGATATCTAAAAGTCCTTTGAAACCACCCCTGGAACGAACATAATGGCCTACCAGAGAAGACTATAGACTAAATATATGTCCATGTCATACAATCATCCTGGTATAGCACTGCTTGATATTAGGTTTTTTTCTCTTTTGCACAGGCAACACATTTTACAATTTGATTATTTCCAAAAAGTTCCACTGCAGCTATGTCCATATGTCCGTTTCTCTACACCAATATGGATTGATCGATCAGCAGCTGCCTATTACTACCTGACAGAGTTGCATTCCTACTCATATTGACCCTATGTTGCCTCATACGTCTGTCCTTTTTTCTTTTGATGACCTCCAGAACTTTTGGTTCACAAAAAGGCGTCTGCTTTGTCCTTTAAAAACTAATAACAATACTACCTCAGGTTAAACAAAAGCCGCTGGCTTAATCTATTACAGCATGCTTGTTTCTCTTTTCAGTGTGTTTTTAATTTTCTGAATCAGTTAAGCATAACAGTCCCAGCAATCTATTTTTCAGAGGGGTGGTTATGAAGATTATAATTGGAGTTTTTTGGTGTTAGTGCAAAATTCTTGGATCCCCTCGCCTGATTGTATTTGAGTCCCTTGACAGGGCTGACATGATGTCGAAATGATGTGCTATTGATCCTCCATGCCCTCGGAGGTTCTTGCTTGCTGTTAGTACCTGCATACATAACCAGCTGGATCCTGTCTCGGATGGAGCTGTCGGAAACCGCTGCCGACATCGTGGTTCCTGCCTGGGTGTCATTGGGGGCTGGCACTACCAGAGGTCCTACTACAAATGAAGCAGCGCCTCCAAGATAAGAGAAGAGTGAGGCCACAGCCGTTGCAGTGGCTCTCTGGTCAGGGGCGAACCATGTGGTAGAGAGGAAGGGGCCGGCACTCATTATAGTTGGGCCAGCGAGACCGTTCAGAAACTGACCTCCGTGTATCAACCTGTAACAGAAACGGGAGGAGGAAATAGCTTCAATTCTTTGATAAAAACGAGGGCTGTGTATTGGCAAGAATCTTGCGGTACAATAGGTATCTAGTTTAACTTTAGGAGAACGGTCTTAGCTTAAAGAATACGCCACAATATGCATAAAACTTGTTTTTTTAATGCAACAATGGGATCTGCATTTGTATTTATCAAAGCCCCTGTAACATCCAACATTACAGCCCCCACTTTATCGGCAGTTTTGGGGGGGTTAAAACCATATACTGTCAATGGTTGAAATACAAAAATCTATATAGTGTTTTTTGAGAATCAATACAATAAAACAAAATGATGATATTTCATTATATTTTCTTATACCCCTACGAAAAAACCTAAAAAACCACAACAAACAAAAACTAAAATCACATACCACATTGCACTTTTGACTTTGAATATCAAGAATTATAATCTTATGATGAGTGTGGGTTTCCCACTCTTAAACAAACTATTTTTCACAACACAGGGACTAATATAAGAGTCATGTAAAATAATAATAATTAGGCTAGTAAATGCAAAAGATGAGACCATGCGCTCAAGGTACTAATTAGTACTGTCGTACTAATTAAAGTCAGTTAGCCAGATGTGTCTAAGCTCAGCTGCTTTCAGTTACTGTAATGAAGTTTAGTCTGTGTCAGAATGGTTGAGTCATTGTCTAGGAATCTTATTTGAGTGAGAAAATGTATCACAGAATTTGAGGTTTTTCAGGATGTGTGGAAACTTTTTTTAATGTGGGTCCTATTTATCATACACTGTAGCAGATCTACCACTGTTAAACAAGGTAACAAAAAAAACACAAACGCCCTTATCTAGAGCCAGTGTGTGGTTTGGCCGTTCTGGGCTACCGTAGAAACATGGTGGCCTAACATGGCAGACCTCCACATAAGGAGACCTGTGGTATCTGTAGATAAAAATGCCTAATTCCAAGGTAACAAAAACACAACGATTCTTATTTTCAGGTCATTATACACTAATGAAAACATACCTATGAATACTATATTGCATTTCTGCTAATAGATCCTCTTAAACTTTAAGTTATGTCACATTTGCAAGTCCAAGTTGCAGCAAACCCTCAGACTGAGCTGTGCGAGACAGATGTACTCTAAGATGTCCCCTGATGCCACCAGACCCCTCACCACCTTCCTTCCTCCCCCTCCAGAACTGTCTGACTGAGACAGCTGGCCGCCAGAGACGGTGCACGGCTGATTGTCTATGAGCTCAGTAAAGACACCATTCATTTAGAGCCGTCGGAGACGGCTCAGCAGGGAGAAAGGGAGAACAGTGGGAAAGGAGAGAGAAAACGATAAGGAAGAGAGAGGACAAGGAGGGATTTTGGGCTAATTCTGAATTTGTGGTGTACTGAATGTATTCAGTATATTTGCATGCAGATTGTAAATTTGACAGCTAGAGTCCTGCTGATTCTTATTCAAAATAAGTGAGTGCAGGCTAGAAGCCAAAAACTAGACGTTTGTTAGTTTAATCAGGTTTACTTTAACACTTTTTAAGATCTAGTTAATACCAATTTGGATGACATATATCTCCAAATAGGTAAAATAACTTCAGATGCAAGGGTATATCCACTATTAATTAATAATAAATATTATTTAAGACCTTAGTTTAAATAACATGATATATTTATGATTGAAAAAACACATGGCTGCCATTTTGTGCATCCATTAATGTCATTGTCAAACCACCATAATTACCATATAGAAAATAGACCAGTGTGGGGATGATAACTATACAGTATATAACTACCCAATACCAGTGCTGACATAACACTCAAGTTTTAGTACTGATGCCATAACAATACAAAATCAATACTTTACTGTGAGAACCCAAAACAAACAAACAAACAAACAAACAAAAGAAGAAGCAGCCATACATACATACAACTTTTCCTAAATAAATTAGTCCAACATTGACATGTGATCGAAGAAAAAGTAAACAAGACCACAAATCTGAACAGACATTCGATGCCTGCTCTTGGTTCTTGACAGTTTTCAATAATCTGTGCTATGGACACATTTTATTCACTTGCCAAAAAAGTATTGAGATTCAATACCCAGTCCTACATTAAAAAGAAGCAATATCTTTAAAGCCGGCATACAACAGTTTGTTTTACTCTTTAGTGTGCTTACACTTCTTTGCCCTCTTAACTCTTTTTAACTTTGCCGTCCATTGCCTCTGGGGTTCACAGATAAATGTGTCATGGAAGAATACAAAGTGCAATGGTCAGTGACAGATTGATTGGAGAATAACTTGTTTACCCTCTATCACCCTCCCACATCTCGAACCTGCTAACACCCCCAGCCTACACACCAGCACCTCCTAAAATACTCTGTGGCTCTCACTTTTTATTCATCCCACTCCATCTTTTTTAGATTTCTTTGTATCTCAGTCTTTATTGCTCAATTAACTGCAAGCGTGTTCAAAGACGTTCTATTACAGATTAGTGCACTTCCAAGATGGTGTCTAAGAGTATGTTTACACACAAGTATCCCATTTGATCATATGTGGAATAAACACAGAATAACCTGGTTATTTATCTCCTTATGAATATACATAATAATAAAATAACATTATCATGGTTTCTGTATCTGCATTGGTGCAGGCATGTCTTTGAATTCTCCACATCCAGCTTCTCTGTCATTTCTGTACCAAGTCAGTTACCGCAGCAATTGAGGGATGAACCCAGTGTCGGGACAATGCTGCATTTACCACTCTGCTATTTTCTTCTCCATCGTATAAAGATGGATAGAACACATCTTTCAGAATGTGACACACAGGTTATATGGTCATCCCCTTTAACCAAGTGGTGCTTAATTCCAGCACTACAAAGCCCATAGTCACTTAATCCACTGCTCTAAATGCCTTGGCCATGTCGCAACTTACATAAAATTAATTTGACATATTGTCATCTCTCCATGATTTAGACTTATTTTGTGTACTTTCGCATCTTGTCTACCCCTAACTATAACACTTAGCATATCACTGTTGCTGTGCTCCATTTGGCTGGGCTGATGTGTCACTTGTTTTCTAACAGCAAGGGCAGAGATGCCCACTTGAATGGAGTGCAGGCATAATGACGTTGAACCTCTATCAGCTGATAATCAAATAGCAGCAGGTGGTGGAAATGCTGTATGTTTAATTTAATCTTTTCACAGCTTTTAAGTGTTGGCCAAAACAGTACAGTACTACTTCTATCTGGCTTCAGCCACAACAAGCCATGTGAAATATGTGTTTCTTTAGTCTTGTTTACGAGGCTGTTGATAACACATGGTATTTTGTTTACCTGCCGCACAAAGCCATTGATTAAAGTCGGCATAAGTGGTGGCATGTGCTGTTATGTGTGCCGGATTGAAATGGGATGGAAACCACAACTAACTGGCTCAAATCGGCACTGTGCCAGTTAGGTTTTGGAACACACCCTGTGATTACAGTCTCATTTAGGCCTGGGAACAGTCCAGATACCAGACTGGTCCACCTGCTGTACTGTATCTTCTCATTAGTCTCAAGGATTATTCCAAGCCCAACACTCAAATCCAGTTATCCAAATACCAAAGCAACAGACACACAGCATCATTTTAAACAATAACTGTGACCTGAGCTGAAAACTCAAATTAAGACTGGGAATGATTAGAATTTTTCATACGAGTGTCAATACGGTGCCTATGTTTTGTACAAAAACCTAACTGATACTTTTCTCTATATCTTATTTTGCTACATATAACACATTTTTCTACAAAACATTCTCCTCTTTCTGATTTAACAAAACAAAAAACGCCAACATAAGAAGCAATAAAAGGTCTTAAGTCTGAATAAATAAACGAATAATCGGACCAATCTGAAAGCTTTCAGTACACAGTTCACAGTTTCTGAAACTTTGTGTTACAAAGTTTGGTCAGAACTTTGGAACTTCTGGAGTTCAGCAGCGAGCCCTACTGTGTATATGCTCTGAGGATGGATGTGACTAAGAAAATTGCCTTTAATGTGACAGGTGATGAGGACGGATGGTGAGTAACATGATGAGCGGTCACATGGGGCAGCTGCACTGTGGCAGGAGAAGGAAAAGGGAAGGGAGCAGCTTTTTTTCAACAAGATTATTAAGTTAATCAGTATTGATGAACCCTGTCAGACGGAATCTGAGAATGAGACAAAGAAGCCAGCAATGTGGTGAAATCATCCCACGGCTTGAGGTCCACCAGGGCTGACAGACCCAATTCTGCCATCACAAAAAGGCCAGGCCAATTCTGTCTTGAAAATGACACCACAGCAATCGTCACGGTAATAGGACAGCCTGCTGCGGGCCCCACAATGTGTTCTGATGGCCAATCAGACAGTGTCTGAGTGAGTCTGAGATCTAACTGATTGGCACTTACTAATCACACAGCTGGTCTGTATTCCATGAGAGATTCATACGGAGAGAAGGAACAAAAAAAATGAAAACATAAGAGAATGGGGAGGGTAAATTTTTTATGTCTTTGATTTGAGAGCAGCCCTAATCACAGCAAGGTCTAATCAGTGACCACTGATGCCGTCGTGCCTTTTCTCTCCTTATCTGAATTTAACAAAACAAAAGCTCCAGTTCTTTTTTTCAAATATGACTGTAGCAGCCACACAGAAGATCCTGGTTATAAAAGAAAAGAATTTCCATTGCTTATAAGCAATATCACAACTGCCTTTGATTTCCTAAAAAAGATCTTAAAAACTCAAAACAAAGCGGCGGTTTACTTCCTCAAGAGGATATCATAAAAAGAATCTGAGGTAATCGCCTATCAAACATGAAAAGGCGTGTGGAACCAACGCAGATCTGCAGGGTGCTGTCAAGGGAACCTCTAAACCTGGATTACTGTCGCCACTTGTCTCCTGATCAGGGGAGCAGGAAACTCAAATGGCGTGTTTGATCGCTCTTGCAATGCCCTTGAACTCCTCACGTTCAAAAGTCAGGAGGCTCAACTGTTTTGTCAGGTCCCCTTCCTGTCTCTCAGGTCATCTAAATCATCTAAGCCCATACTTCTGCTATGAACAAACTATCCTATTTTATGAGAGCCGGCACACAAAGCAGCAGCAGCACAGGTCACTAAACAAAGCCCTCACAGTCTGGTAAGCTTTTATCCATTACTGCAAAGGAAAGAGTGACATCTACTGGTGATCCAGGGCACTACATGATTCTATCAGCCTGTACTTTACTGCGATAATCCACTATGTCATCCATTAAAACATGGCTTCAAGAGCTGTGACCTATTACATTTAATATGCAAATCAGGCTGAACTGTGTCAGAACATTTTCTGTGTTATCTTGGCTTTCACTGTGCCATCTTGTTTTCCACTGTGAATACCAAATCTAAAGAGCTAAAGGTCATGGGGCTGTGAAAGATTGACCTCATCGCCCAATGGGAAAACAGCACAGCTTTGCCCAGGGTAACTTTATGTGCTTTTTAGCTTAACAGGTGAGACAGGACAGGTGAGACTTAAAGCACATGTGAAGATACTGGTCTTTGTACTGGACTGATGTTTCAGTAGGACTGGTAGTGGCCAAACTGTCAGAGCGTATTCAAACAAGTAGAGGAAGACATTTGTTGTGTATTTATAGCTCTGTTTCTATTTTCTTCTATTTCCCTTTTACAGTAAAAGACTCGAATTGTTAGAAGCTATTTTAATATTGTGTGCACATGCTAGTGTGTCAAGAGGAGCTGCATTAGTCTTGTGGAATGTTGTTCAACCAGGGTCACATTTCAGGAGCTTTATGATGACAGATTTACTAACAGGTTAGCAGGTGTTATGAACCTGAAGTCTATGGGTTTGATAGAATGATAAATCAATCACAACAGAACAATTGCTCTTCCACTGCCATCAATGATCTATAGGCTAATCAGAAGGGAATCTTCACCAATTTACACATCAAGATCAGTAAACTTGTCATGGTTAACACTTCTCAACATTCGATTAGTTGTATAATACTGTCTGTGGCCCAGGTGGATCGTGGTGAAGTCTGAGAGTTAAAGAGACAGGACATTTTTAAACTAAAGGTTGTGTTAAAAACTGTGGACATGGAGTTTGTAAGACATCAGTATTTACCAGGCAGGAAAGATAAAAAGAAAAAACACTTTTGAATTGGATTATGGGAAGCATATGATCCAGCATTTTTGGGTCTTACTATGGACTAAAAGTCAGAATATCTTGACCTCAGATGCAACACTTTTTGACCATTGTTTTTTTTTTAAATTGAGTCCCCAAGTGCAATACAAAATTGCTGCAGTACTCTACTCAGGCATAACATTATGAGCACTGACAGGTGAAGTGATTACACTAATTATGTGGTTATCATGGCACCTGTCGGTGGGTGGAATACATTAGGCGGCAAGTGAACATTTTGTCCTCAAAGTTGATGTGTTAGAAGCAGTAAAAATGGGCTGCGCCTGGATTTGAGTGACTTTGACAAGGGCCAGATGGCGTGACGACTGGGTCAGAGCATCTCCAAAACTGCAGCTCTTGTGGGGTGTTCCCGGTCTGCAGTGGTCAGTACCTATCAAAAGTGGTCCAAGGAAGGAAAAGAACCGGAGACAGGGTCATGGGGTGGCCAAGGCTCATTGATGCACGTGGGGAGTGAAGGCTGGCCCGTGTGGTCTGATCCAACAGACGAGCTACTGTATCTGCTGAAACAGTTAATGCTGGTTCTGATAGAAAGGTGTCAGAACACACAGTGCATCACAGTTTGTTGGTATGGGGTGCATAACATTATGACCAGCAGGGTGCCCAGGGGGTCGTAAGGTTATGGCTGATCGGTGTATAAAGGGGGTCACTGAAAGATAACAATAAAAAATATATTTTGTCCACTCTGGAAAGAGTTTGGTTTTGATTTTCTGACACTGATTTCTGGAGGACCACAACATTTACAAAAGACTCCATAACTGTGTGGTTTTACTATGCAGGTTAAGTACAGTGATCCTGATGATTTAGGCCACGATGATTCAACTAAAAACAATGACAAATCCCAAATGATGGGTATCATTAAAGCTATGGAACAGGCATAGGAAAATGCTCTACATTTATCAATGGAATAGAATTATTATATATAATAAATTTTTTTCTGCTGGGAAAAGGAAGGCCCCTGCCTTATATGTGGCATATAAAAGTAACCACTGTAAAAACACAGCCCAGACCACAATGTTGCTATGCCTCGCAGCGATCTATGCAAGGTTAACAGTCTGAAATAAGACACCTGAATACGTGCCCATCGTGTTTGGTCTACATGATAGTATGAGCGTGTAGAAGTGGACTTGTGAGAGGACGTCGCTCCTGATTCAAGGCTGTGGAAAGAGCTCTTTAAGCTATTAGTATGGGCTGTGAGGACTGCACAAATACAGAATGCCACAAGCACATGATGAAGCAACAAATCCAGGATGCAAAGCTTGACATTTCACAGCAAACTGTAAATACTCTTTTTCAACGGAGGCACTATCACAAGGGAAATCATGATTCTATAACTTGTTCTTCCTGATATACTTTATTTTCCTTACATTTGGCCCGTATCACTGTACCATTAGCTGTTCGCTCTACTAATGTCTTTCTTACCACAACCTCATGACACAGAGAAAGAGACAAATTTGATTTATCTGCTCTCTGAAAGCCTAAATTATTTTAAAAATCTTCAAATCCATGGAGTAAAAGTGATGAGACTCATTCTGTGGAAATACAATTCCCTCTATGTATTGATATTTCATGATATACTACCTCATTGTGGAGTCCAATAGGAATCATTAGACAGATTACCACTCAGAAATATTCAATGAAATTACATTTTTAAAAGGCAAATTATAATTGAAATGACCTTCTCTGAGCTCTTGCACTTTCTAAAAGAGGAACACCGAGCTCATGAGTAAAACTGACAATGAAACACTAAGAATAATGGGATTCTTTTTATGTTTTCCAGTGATGGCCTGTCTTCAAGCGAAGTGCTGTCTGGTAAGGGAGAAAACTGGCAGCAAGGACACAAAAAAAGAAGCAAAGGATCCACACAGTATTGAGCTGTCTTTCAGAATCTTATCCTCTGGCAAACAAATGTTTCCTGGATGTCCCTCTATCCAGTTACAGGTCTCTACTTTGAAGAAAGGAAAAGGACCTTGGCTGGAATCAATATAGCTGAATACAGCATAACACCCCTACAAGCCTCAGTAATAGTCACCATTGCATTTTATATTTGTACTCATTCATCCTGGTGCTCTTTGTAACTATGCTAGCAGCATGTCTTATGGATGGCAGTGTCGGTCTGGCTGTCTGTCTGTTCACCACTTTAGTCCAGAACGAAATGTCTCTAACAACTATTAGATGAATTGCCATGAAATTTGGTACCGACATTCACGCCAAATATTAATATGCTTAACCTAAAACGGTAATATTTGCCAGTTATAGGTTCTATATGTAACTAAAACCATTGTTAATAATGACACCAGTGGCTGTTAGCGCCCTGTTGCTCGGGCTCGCACATATTCACATATTCATATTTAGAATAACGTTATTATGTGTTCATCTATTTTATTTGGCCCAAGGTGACGTATTGAAATTGTATTTTTTATCCAGTGTTAACAGTCCAAAACGCAAAAATATTCAGTTTACTATCATATTTGACGAAGCTAAAACCATAAATATCTTTGCAAATAATTATCAAAATAGTTGCTGATTCATTTTTCTGTGTATTGACTAATTCATTTATCTACTAATCTTGTCAGCTACATCCCAAATAATGGTGAACTCATTAGACAAGGAGAGGCCCGAATTTTGGCAAGCAACTCTTTTTGTTCATAACCTGATGTGCAGAGCTGGTTCTGAATTGGCAGTGGCAGTCCGTTAGAAAAGTCTACCTAGTAAATCAAATTATGTAAATTACGGGAGGCTTATGACTGCACTGAAAATCATGAGTCACTCTGCCTCCTTTCCAAAACTTGAGTGATCAAAGGATCATCATCACACTAGCCCCCTTGAACCATCTGCTACCATAATGTTTACAGAGAACTCTTACCATCGTCTGAGAGGCTGGTCTGTCAGTGGGATGCTCCTTAGAGCCGCTCCTAGCAACATGAAGAACGCAGAGAGGAGGAGGGACGCCCGCAAACCTGGAAGACACATGATAGGGTAATGGAAGGGGGGAGAAAAGATTAAAACAACAGATTCTTGATTAATATGTTTTTTTATGTTTTGTCTATGAAATGTAACAAAATTATTTTCCAGAAACAAAGGTGATGTGTTCAAAATTTTGTCCGACCAACAATGACAAACCCAAAGATATTTGACGTAGAATCTATGATCACTTGGAGGATGAAGTTTGTGGTCTGGTTAAATTGTATTGCGTTATACAGAGAGTTGTTTCTGTTATTCAGCCTACTCTCATTGATATAAATAAGATGGACAAATTCATAGAAATACCAGTACAGTTTAACAGCACCACAAACTGCATCCTCCAAAATAACTGCATTAGTTTCAGCTCGCTGCATCTAAGAACTGGCACACAGTGTGAGTGTATGTGGCCAATAATAACAGAGAGCCAACAGGAATCCTCAGGTTCCTTATTTAATGTTGCCTGTGTGACAGCAATAGTTCGGACAAAGCGTCTTTCTCTATCAAATTGGAAGTCTCTATTCTCAGTTTCACCCACATGACGCCCATTTAAGGAAACTCTCTCCACTTCTCTATTCCCTCTTCTGAAACTTTGACTAAAACAATAAATAGATTAACAGATCAATATATTAACACGGTCAAATCGGGATAGGGTGTAATCTTATTTTTTAACCCCTTTTTTTTTTTAAAAACAAAAAAGGACACTTTTCTACATTAACACCTAATCAGTCATGGCTGAAAGTCAAGGAACACAAGAGTTTCTTAATTAATTTAATGCCCAATCTTAAATCCCCTTAATTACGTTCTCTTTTTTTTAAAAAAAAAAAACCAAAAAGTGTTTAGGTCATTTATCAAGAAAATATATCAAAAAACAAGAGAAAGTCTTATACGTGATTTTTTTTCCTGTTTTCTATTTGTGCAAATTGAATATCGTGGAATCTGTGACCTGTCTGTGAAACAAAACAAGCAATTAGTCAATGTCACCTTGGGCTCTTACTTGTGATGGACAAACTAAGTGAGTAATAGCAAAATAATTTTAATGAAAATAATTATTAGCCGTAGCCCTAAACCTACCCTCAAAACATTGAGATTTGTTTTTTTTTTAATGTAATGTACAAAGAGCAACCAATGCAGTAAATATGCCATTTGGGTCTCTGAAGCACTCCAGCCCTTGTTCTGTTTTAGTAGATTACATCCTTACAATTGAGAACAGACACTAATCAGTTTAGGCAGCATAATGTCATAATAATGTTAGGGCAGAGATAAAATTGTACTCTCTGTGATGTGTGTGGGGTAATAACTCACACAGAAATGCGTTTGTATTTAGTGACACAAAATGTCAGTAACCTATATTTCGGAGAAGCCAGCCGCTGTAAGCAGGTCTTACAAGCTTTACAACCTTGCACTTAAACGGGTGGATCAGCTCTTTCTGACACATTCTGCAACATCAGCATATATGTATGTCATACGCTAAGCATATTATGTGGGCTTACTACTCCGTGACTACATCACATATGACTTGATCTTAAGACTCTGGGCAGCTACTGTGTTGTTGATCATCAACAGTGTCTACCTTTAGGGAGGGGTAGGTCCCAGAGGGAAGCCAAGCTCTTTCCCCACTGGCAACTTGGAGCAGAGCCAGTGAGTGTGTGTCATAGACAACAGTCTAAGCCAGTTGCAACCCATGGATGTCATGTAGCTGGAGCTCACACACCATGGCTTAACTCAATTTGAGTACTGAATGAGCTGACCTAATTTGATATGGGCCTCGGAGACAGAATTAGCTGCAAGATGGGTATAACGTTAACTTACAATTTACAGGTATGAGGGGAATCTACAGCTGGATTATTTCACCTTATACAGTTGTGTCAGTAAGGTATTCCTACCACGAGAGACACCAGAACTACTAATTGTTGATGAATCAGGATCACAAGATGAGTTTGGCAACATTTAACTTGTGGTCTTTAATTCATCAGCATCCTGGTTACCGTGATGTTGTTACTGTGTTGTAACTGTTTTTGTCATCTGACAGTCCAGCCCGGGCTCAAACTACTACGTGTCAGTCAGGTGATGCGGTAGAACTGGTGAGGTGAAGTGCGCTCTGACTGAGCGGCTCAAGTCAAGAGCTCTTCAGCAGGCAAAGGCACTTCACAGAATGTTCTGTGGTTTCAAGACCATTGTGAATGTAAACTGTTTTGGAGGAGAGGGGTCCCTAAAGGCCATTCAAGAGTTGCTTATCCTGCATCATCACTTTTAAACTCTCACATGAGTACAACTCTGATGCTGGACAGCGGACAATGGAAAACCCTTTTGCACAGGCTTATTCACACCTATATTTATGTCAGTTATGTTCAGTTATTTAAAAGGTTGATTGGTTTATCAAAGATTGACATTACTGGCATCACATGTATTTAAAATGATGTGAGTATAATCAGGACATTTACTACTTAAGTATTAAAAGCAAAAGTACTCCAGAAAAATGTCCCCTGTGACTGTCATACTATTCAATTCAATTCAATTCAATTCAATTTTATTTGTATAGCGCCAATTCATAACAGAAGTTATCTCAGGACACATTTCAAATAGAGCAGGTCTAGACCGAACTCTTTATAACATTACATTACTATTACTAGTATAAGTTATATCATTAAATTATTATTACTCACGCTTCAGTGTAAAAGCAGGATCTTACTGTTGAGGTGCGGCTCATTTATCACTAATGATTATTTTTCATTGTGGATTAATCTGGTGATTATATTCACAATTAACCAACAATTCAGACAAAAAAAGTGAGAGAGGATAAGGTAACAATTACCCAGAGCCCATTTGTTTTGTCAAAGCAATACAACGAAACTCTTATTAAAAACACAATTAATACAATTAAAATTAAAAGCAAAAGCACATCGTCACTTTTGGGAAGCTGGAACCATGAAAACTTTCACCGTCATAATACATCACGTGAGCAGGGACCATAATGTCTATCAAGTTAGACAATGTGAAGGATAACAGAGCACTGTAACACCGGACATCACCACTAATCTGACTGTGTATGCAGATGAGACCATGGGGGTGGGATGTCAACTAACAACACAACACTTTTGAGTGATTTATCCATCAAAGCTGTCAATAAAGTTATATCATGCTGATAACGTCCCCCAAAGAGAGGTAGGGGGGGACAACGACGAGACGAAACACCACAACGTAAAGATAGGACACAGTGTACCAAATATGAACAACTCACCTTTTTTATCCATTAACCACATAAACAGCAGCCAGGGGACGAACCCCACCGGGCCCCACAGCACCAGGACTGCGATGTCGGACTTGCTGAAGCCGAACGCGTGAACGGCCGAGTTCTGAATGGGACCCCAGAAGTTCCACACCATCCCCTGCATGAGTCCCAGCAGGGAAAACAGGGTCAGAACCAGCCATCTTCTCCCGTACACTCTGCTGTTTACTGGAGGACTGTTTGTCTCCGCATGAGAAGGGACAAGAAGCGGCTCCCTTTCGGCCTCGGTGCTCGAACCGGCACCCATAGTGGCTATCTGTTTGTCAGCTCAGTTAAAATTCCGGGTTTAGCAGCAGTACGGCAACGGGAAATGGACGTCTGACCGGGTTTCTGTCGACCACAACAACAAAAACAGCCGATAGCTTCTTTTCTGTCACTTAACTTTACTGCGCATGCCCGACCGGACATAGTTGCGTTAGTGGAAACTGTGGTCAGTGGGCTGCCATTTTGGCTGGCCTGTTGGATTAGCTTGAATGGGACTGTTGCTGCAACCACAGAGCCAAAATGGAGTAGATTCACAGTGGGGCGTTCCCGTCGTATAAAAACCATACACTGTCATGTGAGGTTTGTTTACTTCCGCCCGAACCTCAACTGCACGTGTAGTGAAAGGTGAGCCCACTGTTTGATCAAAAGACCCCCCTCTTTCCGCGAAGCTAGCTAACGTTAGCTCTCCTGGGAAAGTGATTTGACAGTAAAGCCTGCTCCTTAGCTGAGAAACATAGCCTAGCTATTGGCGTTGTCTGGTTGTTTGTGAATATTGTTTGCTGACGGTCTGACAATTTAAAAAGCGCTCTGTCGGGAACAGAAGTTAGTTTAGTTTTATCTGAATTGTTGTTTCAGAAAGCTGAGGCTCCTCACCCAAACTAACGTTACGTAACCAAGTAGCTCATTGGTTCTCAAAGCTAGTTAACAATTAGTTTTATTATCTGGATGGACCATTACTGACATAAAGCGCTTTAGTTCGACCAGGTGGGAAATATAATCATATCAATCACCAGAGTGATGATTGTGAAAATATGTTACATCATTCTTTATAGAGAACAAACTGCTATTAAAATGGACTACTAGTAACACTATAGTAATAATACGCTGTAAATCGATTGAATCCGGAGGGTTAAAACGATACTCTATATCTAACTTAAACAAATAATAGTATCAGACTTTTTAAATAAGGACCCCTTAAAGTCTGATTAAAGTTGTGTACTAATAAAGACTTCCTGGAGGATAAACTATGTAGTGGTGACAGTGTTTCTAATGTAGTGTAACTTTAAAAACGGACTTTCAGTGAATTAATGACAACACGTAGGTAACACAACTACTTTAAACACCAGTTGTCTATCAGCTAGTCTGTATCTACATCCTCTGTGTGTCAACCCGCTATCAGTGTGTACTACAGGCCATGGCTGCCCCCGACTCCATTAAACCCTTCAGCCCAGAGGAGACCCAGAAGATTCTGCATCATCTACAGCAGCCCGCAGTCTTCATGGACATGACCCGTGGCTGGCCTGTTCTCCACTGGACTGCAGAGCACCTGTCTGGCTGCCTTGGGGACAAACTAGTCCGATTTAGACTTGGGAGGAAAGATGAGACCAACAGTAAGCTCAGAAGATTAATCAGGATGACCCCATTAATCTGGGTTGAAATAATTCCTGTGTCACCTGGATTGAACATGCAGAGTGAAAACTTATGTGACCTAAAAAGATCCAATTCAAGCTACGTTTTGAAATTACTGAAACTATGATGAATGCATAGATGGATATAGATGTTAGAGTACAATACAGAATATCATTTAAAAAAAGATACGAAATTAGGGTAATATTAAAAAAAACAAACACTAAAGATGTTAGGCTCATAGGATGCCACGTCCACCCCTGCATTTACCTATTCCATAAAAGGTGGGGATTTTAGTGTCCTAAAATTATTTTGGAAGCTGTCAATGCACTGTGACTTCCAGCATAGGTAATAACTTATCAATTTAAATGTGGTAAATTGATAAGCTTTTCTGTTTTTGTGCTCCTGATCACATCAGTGCACAGTGCCTCATATGCCAGTTCTCTACTTTCACCCAGTTTTCAGTAAGCACATAATAATTACCTCCAGTCTTGTGTAGTTCATCCTCTGACATGTGATGATTTAAAGATTATTAGATTGTAGTTATCAGGACCTAATGAAGTATTGGAAGCTGTTAAATGATCTGATATAAAATGTCACATAAGCATTAAAAAACACACACAGGGTTTCTGTCTCTGAGCATCTGGTGTATTTTGCCCTCCATGTGCTTCTAAAACAGCTACAGTAACGACTCCTGCTGTGATGAATCACTAAGAGTGCGTCCTCTGATAAAGCTAGCTAATTAGATTTCTAAATCATTTTTTTCAGCTGCAACAGCTGACAGGAGGACATTGCTCATGATGGATTATGAATGGCATCACTCAACCATAGACACACTTAGTTTACTAAAACAAAAGCGAGTAAATCACTACAACTGTGATTTATTTTTCTCATAAAAGCAGGGTACAACAAAATTTCATGCCCCTGTGATGATGCATAGTGCTGTTTATTCTGGTATATAAATTGCATTTGGTTTACCATAGATCAGTTAAATTGTTTTACTGAAATTTTAAAACAATTTTCCAGTGATTACTCTCTTTCTTGTTTTTGTTTTTTCTTGCTATATTCTCCTTCTTTCGTAGCACCTCTGTTTGAAACCCAGTGCTCCTATGTGGAGGCCAAACTGGCGGACTTTCTCAGCTGGACCCGGGACCAGGCTGGGACAGATGTAGGGCCTTTCTTTAAATACCCCAAGTCAGAGTATTGGGCGTATGCTGACTACAAATACATCGCTGTACTGTTTCAAGATCAGCCTTCCATGTTTGAGGTAATCACCCTTCTGCATACATTCAGGTCTCAGGTCAGTTTTAGAAGATATAGTTTTAAAAGCTTAGTGTTAGTTAATTATCACCTCAGATTATTGAATGACATTGCAGCAAGAACAACACAACAACAACAACAATTTTTATACGTAGTTTGATGATGAAGCCTTGCATGAGTTGTTAATGAACATAGACAGATGGTTGAGGTCAGAGCTCTGTGCAGGCCAGTCAAGTTCTTCCACACCAAACTGGGAAAACTATTTGTTTATGGACCTGGCATTTGTTTTGTTGAAACTGAAATGGTTGCCACAAGGTTGGAAGAACACTGTTGTTTAGAATACCATTGTATGCTGCAGTATTGAGATTTCTGCAGCCATGAATCACCATGAAAAAGAAGTCATCTTTAGATCATTTAATTTTTAAAAATAGGGCCACATTTTGAAATATGATTGACCAAATGTCACTCACTGCATTTAACAGTGGAGTCAGAGCAAAGAGGGGTGGATGTAAGGAGAACAGCAAACAGGCCATCATCGCTTATCTGGTTTTGACTTTGAAATAGTGAAATGTATTAAGCTTCAAGTGAGAGCATATTTTACACCCAGGTTGAGATATGTTGCCAAATTTAAACAAATGAAAGAGAAGCTAAAGTCAATTTTTAAAAGCCTGTTTTTAGTTTTGTTTTCATGATATAAATGTGTCCATAGTAAAGAAATGTTATAAATAAATGTTTTTCTTTAAGATGATAAGCACATTTAGAAGCTGGTTTAATTTAGAAAACATTTTCCCATGTGATTGCTGTCTAACATTAGCAAGAGCTTTGGCTTATCAACAAATTAAACATTAAATAAAAACATTAAAAAAACAAATTGAAAGAGCCAAAATATTCCCTCCTGGTCTCATTAAAAAAAAAATGCTTATTTATATTCAAACATTTTTCTCCTTGTTTTGACATTTTTAATTACAATGTTAAGCTTTTGCCCATAACGGCTTTATATTAGCTGCTATTCTTGTCCTCGGGTATGTAAAGACATAAAAGTGTCATCCGTCTTCAAGCCACTGCCACCCGTTCATTTCATTTTTATCTCAGTGATACATTTTTATTGGGCATCCACCTGCAATTATTACCCACTGACTTTCATGCCTTTGAGACAGGCGGACATGGGCTTTTTACAGGATAAATGGTGTTAGGGAAAAAGGCTGCCTGGAGGCTAGATTGACCAGTCTGTCATTTACAGCTGCCTGCATATATGGTAATAACTTCATTATTCAGGATGCCGACGCGATTGCTGCAGCTTTGTGCTCTGACAGGACATGACTGACAGACCAGTTTACCTTGAAAGATGACAAATAGTGTCGCTTGGTTTCTCTACACACACACACACACACCTACATTGGTCACCTATAATAGGTCCTGTCAAAGTAGCTGATGAGGTGCACCTGTGAGCTTCTAGCAGAGTTGTGACAGTTGGTAAAATGTGAGGCTTATTTCCATGTCACGTCATTATCACGGACAAAAAGAATGGCAACTTTTATTTAAATAAAAACATTTATTTATATTTTCACATTATTTCGGATTGATAATTGTAATTTGAATGTCGTGTGTGTGTGTGTGTGTGTGTGTGTGTGTGTGTGTGTGTGTGTGTGTGTGTGTGTGTGTGCTGCAGGATATAAAGTGGTCCGAGTTTGGTTATGAGGGACGCAATGGGAGAGAGAGCACGTTATGGATCGGCACAGAGGGGGCCAACACACCGTGCCACCTGGACTCTTATGGCTGTAACCTTGTACTGCAGGTACAAGGACGGTAAGAAGGTTCATTGCTTGCGTTTGCTGCTTTATAAACACCAAAGTGACTTGGGTACAAGTCAGCAATCCTATTTCTGAAACCTCACATAAACAAGAAGGGTTGTATTGTTCATTTTATCACTACTTGTCGCTGCGTGTTTGCTGTAAGCTTCATTCTTAAAAAACACTTTGCATCGAACATTTGTCTTATGTAATTTTAATTACAAAATTCACTTCAGTCTAACTGGATGGTTTAAAAAAGCACTTAGTACTATCTCCTATTAATCACACTACATTTCACTTTACTTTATATTTCAATATACTTTTCAACAAAACATGGTACTCATCTCACTGATAAATGCCACTGCATAGGTTACAGAGTATTGTGTTCCTCTCCAGGTCTTTACATCTTCAAGTTACTTTTGAGGTTGCAAATAGCCTGTCTGTACACAACAAATACTTTTCTGATTTCAATTAGACGTAAAAAGATTACATGCATAGCCTCGAGCTCGCTGCGCCTCTCAACCTCTACTCAATGGCTGTTTTAACTGACAAATGTTCAGTCACATATTTGTTTTGGCCAAAAATAAGACCTGCAGCTGAGCAGAGGGATATTTAAAGATCCAGTGTATCTGTTGGCAGAAATGGAATATAATATTCATAGGTATGTTTTCATTAGTGTATAATCATCTGAATATAAGAATCGTTGTGTTTTTGTTACCTTAGAATGAGCCGTTTTTATCAGCAGATGCCGTGGGTCTCCCTCTGTGGAGGCTGCCATGTTGGACCACCGTGTTTAGTTATAGACCGACTAATCAGTCTATCGATAAATTGGCAGATTAATCTGGCCAATTATACGGCATTTGGAAACAATTGGCATCAGCCAATGTCTGTGCTCATGAGGCAAAACATTTCTTCAGACACATCTGCAGGTAGCCTTCCCCTTTGTCCGTTTAAGGAGCGTGGTGAAAAAGTTGTTTTTAAGCCCTGTACTATAACTCTCATACATCCTGCCGTAAACATATGCCTGAATTTCCTGTAGAATATAATTATATATTCTCTATAAATACAGAATACAGTAAGGCATAACTAGTGGTCTAAGGGGCTTGGAACTTGTAATATGGTAAAATGGTCAGTACAGCAAGAAATAGCTTTGTGCTCTGAACTGCAGAGCCAGCCCAAATACTGGTTCAGAAATATGGGAGAATGCAGGAGAGCATTTCTCTGACTTCTTTCCATGATCTAATTTCTCTCACTGTAATCTGTTTTATTGTGTGCGTCTGATTTGTACTTTCTCCAACAATCCACATTAAATAAACCAAAGTGTACATTGATTTTCATTTTGGGCAAAAGAATAAAAAGTACAAAGAGAGATATACCCTCTGAGAGATGTAAAACCAAAAGTGACATTGGCCTGTCATATCTGTGATAATGAGTTTGTGCAATTTTAACAATGAGAAGTTGCAACTGAGCATAAAGAAGTTTGAGGATAGTATTTTACCACACACCGATGCTGGTGGAGGTTTTCTGCCTGTTAACCACATAGCTCATCCGCAACGCGAAAGGTGCAGGGTACTGTGACTGCTTACCCAGAGTGTAATCTGTCCTCTGCCCTCTCAAGGAGAGTTAATTTGTCGCAGAGCTCACCAGAGCGGGACAGAAATGGAGACCGAGGGTGAGGCGCTATATAGGGCACCATGAGAGATGAAACAAAAGGGAAAAGGTCTTTTTGTATCTTATCTCCCTCCTCTGTTCTCCCACAGAGCAACCGTTTTATCTCACTCCTTGTAATTGGGTCTCAGGCTCTTTTTATTTGGTATTGATCTCAAATGGAATGAATTTCAGCTCAAGCCGTTCTTTGACACTGCTGATCCATGAAAATACAACAGTGCTGATTGATATCATGACATTTGTGACAGTGGTGGGTCATGTGGTGGTGGATTTACGATCGGCCTTGTCAGTTTGTCATCTACCAGAATAAAAAGCATTTTGATTCCTCTGATAAAAAGGAACTGTTTACAAAACGTCATACCAAGAAAAACAAAAATCATTTGTTCAATCAGTTTTTATTCATCATCCACTGTAGTAGCCACCTGGTGACTAGTGAGCAGATAATATTATAAACCACTGATATGGCTTTAATTAATTGGAGTAATACATAATGAAAATATCTACTTTTCTCCTGTTTCTCAATGTTTTCCACTTTGGGTCCATCATAGGTGGATATATGGCTAACTAAAACATTAACAACAACTGAATTCCTTTCTAACAACAATCCCTAATCTCACTCTTTTAACCTGAACTTGTACCTAAATGTGACGTTTCCTGTGTGTAGGAAGCGCTGGCACCTCTTTCCTCCAGAGGACACCGTTAACCTTTACCCAACCAGGATCCCCTATGAGGAGTCCAGTGTCTTCAGCCAGGTGGACGTTCTCCATCCAGACCTGAGGAGGTTCCCTGAATTTCAGGGAGCCAGGGCCCACGTCGTCACTCTGCAGCCAGGACAGGTCAGGCTTATTGACTAAATGTTTTACACAATACACAAATGTAATAGATCACAGAGGTCACATTATTGGCTAACTGTGATCAGTTCTGCACCCTAAAGGGTCTACATGCATTGAATGCTAAAGGGTGCACTAATATTAAGTAAACAACCACAAAATGTACACTTAAGGTGTTCAGTTTCATTTCATGACCAAATAAGTTGTTTGGACATCCTTATTCTAACCAAATTCAGATATTTGTTAATGATTACATTTCTTTGTTCTTAAACTTAGTTGTAAATAAAGAAGCATCTATTTGTGAAAGGAATCAATTTTAATTGCTGTGATAACAGGTTATTTTGTATGTTTTTTACTACTGTGAAGGTTTGAGCTGAAATGATTTAGTCGATTGGCAGAAAAATAATCTACCTCTCTTTTGATAATTGGTGAATTTTTAAGTCATTTTCTAAGCAAAAATGCCAAGTAGTCCCTTGTTACATCTTCTCAATTGTGAGGATTTCCCGCTTTTATTCATCTTATGTAACACTGAAAATCACTTTTTAGAGTGTCTGTTAGAAAAAAAAAGATATTTTGATGGGATCAAATTGGTCTTTAGCGGATTGTGTTGGACATTTATCACTATTTTTTGTTATTGCTCAAACTGTGTCAAAATGTTGTAGCTATATTGACCTGTGAGCCATGTATCATAGCTAATACTGAGCCGGCTGTACAATATCATTACAGATTTGCATTTTTGGATAACATTGAACATCATACCTCTTTTCTTTAAATCATTGCAAAACCAGCGTGAGTGATTTGCCGAAGTTTGACGTTATGCAACACTGGTTCCACATTTATGTGATGGACGGCTTGTGACACAGAAGCAGTAACCATAAAATATATCTTTATTGGTCCTTAAGCTGAACATGTAAAAGTAGACTCAACAGTGAGATTTATTTGTCATGCTGTCCTCCATAAAAGTGTGTAGCAAGGCAACGGTTGTGACTTGTGTTCCAATTAAAGTCTGGCCTTCTCATTTATAGTGCGTCACCTTCAACAGACTGGAGCTTTTATATTTAAGGAAGTGAAAGGTTAAGTTACATTAAAGTCAGCTGCATCATCACTCTTGATGTCTTGTCAGGAGAAAAGTAACAGGGTCAAATCTAGGTTCACTCTGCTTTAGAAGCAGAGGAGTTCAGTGTGAGGACAGTTAAGATTGAGGCGTTGTTCAATCAGAAGACGGCTGTCACAGTGCCCTGATTTTTCAGAAATGTCCTCAGCTACCTTTTGAAGTATTTTTCAATTCTGAATTACTGCAAAAGTCTTCCTGGATGTATTCGTCCTACTTTTCCTTGTTTCATTTTCTAGCTGCATTGTTTTGTTCTTCAAGAGTCAAAATGGTGACAAAGCAATTAGCCATCTGTCTCTTTTCACTATCTGTATGTGCCTGAGCTCCCGGAGCGTGCTAAATATTCTCCTATCAGCAACACCAAACCCAGCTGTCAGGAACTCTGAAGGCTGGAGAAGCAATGTGCAGGTCAGGGTTACCACTGATGCTTTAGCAGATCACTTGTGCTTATCTTACCTAATGGAAAAGGATGATGGTTATACAGTTAGATGAGTGAGTTACAGTCCCATCAAGAAGCCCTGGCCAGTCAATTTTGAGCAGTGACATTCATTCTTGACCTTTGGGAACATCATGTGGTGAAAAAGTCTCAAGCACAAAGAAAAAAGGTCAATTTGCTTTCAAGGCTTTCAACAGCATCTCGTACTCTTCATTTAGTAAATGGAACTGGCTCAGGTGTTATCAAATTACCATAATCTGGTCCTTTAGTCCCACAATAATCAGTGGTTGTATCTAGGAGGCAGACTGTGAACACCCACAGTCAACTCAGTCACCTTGAACTCTTCAGTGTTGCGACTGGCATTTCACATGCAGTGGAAAGCTACAAGTGGACTTTTGTCTTAGATTACTTTCACTCTACACTTGGAGGTATGACACAAAATGGATAGTTATGATATCTACAGCAATCTCATACAGGAAAGGACAGATCATTCCTCTTGTCTTGTCAGACCACAGGCCATGAATGAATCAGGACTGCTGAGGAGGCTGAGAATCAATAAGGCTTGCCCATTTTAATAGAGTCACTTTATGAATGGATGAACCACTGAGTCTGTGGGAGAAAAAGGTGTATGCTGCCATCTTGTGGGTGGTCAGCACAGTTATGCATTCCCTCAGCGTTCATCACAAAGGTTTAAAGACAAATGGGAAGGGAGTGGGTGGTGGTCACTTAATCCATTTAAGCTTCTGAGGACTTTTATCTTCTCTGCTCAGGTGCTTTATGTCCCCAGACACTGGTGGCACTATGTGGAGTCACTGGATCCCATCACCGTCAGCGTCAACTCCTGGATCGAGTTGGTAAGCAACCCGATAATGTCTCTCCCTCAACCCTGAACTATTAAACTCAAATCTGAAAAGATGTTCCACCTACATTTGCCCTAGAGAGCTGTTACCAGGGTTGATCCTAACAGTGTTCAGTGCTCCCAGATGAAGGCTTTGAGTAATGAACAGGCCTGGCAGTAAAAGATTCCCTGTCATTATGATGAGTGTGTGCACAACGAGGACTGTGTGCAGCATTAAAAGTTCCCCATCGCCAGACAAATCTTTATTCAAAGAGTGGGTCCCACTCCAGCTTCCCCTGCAAGGTCACCGACACAACAAAACGTGCCTGCAGTGTACCCCCACACCGTCTTCACTGTTCACTGTAATTATCTTAATATGCAGTACTCGTATTTAATTTGCCTGGCTTTTTGTTTTCTGTTCCTGCACAGGAAGTGGATGACATGGCAAGGGTTAGTGAAGCTGTGACCAAGGCGGTTGTCTGCGCCCTTAAGAGTGCACCTAGTGATGACAACAGTGACAACTGGCTCAATCCCACTGAGGTATTCAATACTGAATCAATAGCTCCCTGATGGCTGCCTCTTGCTCTTATTTGTGCAGGCATAAATATTTAAACAGTTTGTAGTCTTTGTGAAAGATTTACACGTTCTTGTTTCTGTTTAGCTTTGAAAAACCTCAAGGCTGTGTCTGAAATGGTTCTCTGTCTACTACTCACGTCTCACTGTAGAAGGGCTTTTATCCAGGGGACTGTATGGTGGATAAGATACACATTTGGTCACTGCTCATGTCAATCCTTTCACTCGGTAGTGTCCTAAATTAGGTCTGAGAATTAATTCCATATTATCATCCATTGACTTTCAATTTAAATATATCTTGATGGTATGTTACTTTACAATAATTCACTCTACAGTCCACAATAGTGTTTCTGTTTTGTTGACTCAACACCCATACAGTGGGTCAGATAGCCCACCTCTGTAGACGGCACCTAACTGTTTTCGGTCGGTACAAGAAGTCCTCCATGGTGCAACATTATTGGTGTAAAGTATAGCTGATGTTTGTGCTTGAACTCATCACGACCTCCACGAGCTTGATGAGACTCTTGTCTGCGTATGATAGATTACTAACCACTGTACCTCCCACACCTTCTTCTTTCTCTGTGTATCAGTTGGCACAGTCAGGCTTCTTCTACCACTTTGGAGGGTATATTTATCCCGCCTACAGGAGGTCATTTACTCTGTAGTCACAGTATGAGCTGCTGTATAGAAACACAGATGTTGGGGAGAGACTAAACCTCCTGGGATGCTTCCTGTAACTACAAAGAGGAGAGGGACTGAACTTAAAAACCCTCAAACTTTGTTTTAGAGCTGTTTTTTTTTTTTTTTTTACCAAGGTAGACAGCTGACATATAATATTGTGTTATACTGGAGCTTTATATCAGGCACTATAAATCTGAATAGTTTATAGTTATAGAGTTCAGAGAGTTTAAAGTATTTAGAAAAATAATGTCAGTCATTTCACTGCAGTCTTTCTAAGACAGCTATATGAGTTGTAATGAGGGTTCTGCAGGACCAGTTCAGTATAATTTATCTCAGCTTGTCAGCATGTAAACAGAGACATTAATATAAGCTCAGAGTACAGAAGGTTCCCCCAAAACCTTTAGTAACCAGCTGCTGTAATTGTAAGTTGTAATTACTCTGATGATAGACCAATTAAACCAATTATTAAACAAACTCTAGAGCCACTGTGTGTTTAATATTATTTGATTATAGCTTCTTTCAAATTATTCAGATGGCAAGTTTTTGTAAGAAAACTTGAGAAAACCGGTGCAAGCTGTGTTCCTTTTACTTCATTTACCTCAACTGGGGGTTGGATCTGTGGGGGAGTAAGGAGAATATATTAACTCCTTTTGTTCTCTGCAGTAGTGTGTTTTTATGGAACTAACTGAAGTCAAATGTTTTGCATTTTTTATGTGGCAGGTGGGGTTTGGTATCTGTAACAGTGTTTGTATTACGTCTCTGCAGGAAGGAGTAGCATCCCATAATGAGAACATGCAATATGTGAACCTGGCAGTGGGAGCTTTTGCTCAAAGACAGAGGGGCCTCTGCCACGGCAAACTGACCCAGGACCCGAGAGACACCCATCCAGTCAAGCGGGACTCCAGAGGACAAATCAGGAAGAACAGCGATTTGGTAACAGATTCTGTGCCCTTCAGCGTTCCCTTCGGACCACATCTCACTCCTGTACGCTGTCAGCAAGATTACTCACCAGGAACGAGGGGAACGACCACAAAAGATCCGGAGGCCAGCTCAGATACAGCACCGAAAACAAAGCTTGCATCTGCTGTCAGAGTCCACCAGGGAAAATATGAATGTATCCACGGTTTAACTCAATGTAAACCATGTGACTGTGCTGATGGGACATCAGAGAACTCTTCAGTGGATTATGAGGAACCAGTACACACAGTAATAACCACTAATGACCTGTTAGACTGCTTGGTGCATCCTGATATCATCGCCTGTGTCACTAAGCTTTTACTGGAAAGGCACACATATAATAAGCCCCAAGAGGAAGACAAGCCCCTGATTTGACTAGTATTTGGTCCTAGTTTCAGAAGCGATTTACAATCTGGAAACATGAGGACAAGGCTGTCTTAACTTTTCTGCTCTGGATGTCTCACTGGTGTTTGCAGTGATGGAGAGCTGTGAAAAAAGCAAAAGAGGCTGCAGAAATTCATCTTCCAAGCTACCAGTTATGCTTTGGTGTCAGTAAGAAGTGAGAGAGGAAAGATGAAGAGTTTCACCCCGCTTTTCTCTCTACTCATCTGTCAAGAGTCCTCCCGGGACTAACTCCGGATGCGAGAAGTCACAACCAAAACTAATCGCAATGTGACGAGTGACGGCATAAAGTGGCTCTACCATTTCCCTGTTTTGTTTTGTCCCGCACATACTAATCCTGTTTGGTTCCTCCAGGGTAAGAAAAATGACCACTTAAATCAATTTGGTATGGTAATAAGCCACATAATTCAAGGTAATATTCCTGAGATGTGAACATTTGTTTGCTGCATAATGTTTACCTGTCATTTGCTAATGAAAATTGTCATTGTAATGGGCTGGTGATTGATGAGAGTTGCGTAAGGAGCCATGAATGAAATGGCTTTGTTTGAATACCGAGTGGCTCCATAGGTCACACATCTCTAAGTGAAAAGAAGGTTGTACATGTAGAAGAATAACAAATGAAACAAACTATTTATTTGCTAAATTTGACGTCCTCTTTTTTTTTTCCACTTTTCACCGACATGAATTGTATTCTAGAGACTGATAGTAGGTTTGACCAATTCAACACAACACATTATGCTACAGAATTGATTTAGTTATTAAAAATGAGAAAACTGAGAACAATGAACATTTAATATTCTTTTTAATTTAAAAAGCACAAAAATAAGCACAACTGTCTATTTACAGAACTTTATAGGCAGCTGCATTATTTACACTTTCCCTGAATAAGAATATATTGTATAACTTGAAAGGACCATACTGTTGGTTTTGCATGTTTTAGCACAACTACAGATCACATATACGTTATTAATTTTCCTCCTGCTATGCAGTAACTCACTTTAATGTGCAGAGCCTTTAAACTCGTCTGAAAGAGACAGTGAACCTTCCCCTGACTTTGACTGTTGTTGTGTGGTAATGCAAATAGCTATGCATTTCTTTGAGTATTTGATGTGCAAGGATGCGTCACGTCTGACATTCGGCAGTGACGAGCTTTCAGAAAATCAAACCCAGAAGACAGACGGTAAGAAAACATTCTCAAACGAATATGAATGTGGTTGTTTGCACAGAAGGATTGCTGATGAGCTCCTTAAACTCAGATATCAGATCAACAAGCACAGTTTTTAAAACAATCCCTGCTTAAAACTGCCCTACCAATCAGTAATCTTTTGGATGACTTTTTTAAATGTTTTGATAAATGGGTAATGGTAATGGTAATTGTTTTTGAATGAATGATCTATAACATGCAAAACCACGAGTACCTTTAGTCCTTTTAATATCATTATTATAAGCACACAATGTAAACTGAACCATTTCTCCAGCGTGTTTTGTCAAAGGCAGTATACACTAAGATTATCATAGAAAATATAACATTTTGACATAATACGAAACAAATATATACAGCATATGATATTTAACATTCATTTGTAATAATATTGATCATACTGAGGGAAATCACATTATTTAGCCTCTTTTAAATACTGTTTCATGTATTCAGTCTCATTCAGAAAAAACTTTACTGTTCTCCGGTTTAAAAAAGCTTTCAGTGAATGGAGTTTTAAAGGTTTGACAGACTATATTAAAAGGATGTGACAAACAAACACTGGACTTCTAACCACAAGAAATGTCCAATGATCCCATCTTAGTGTTTCATTATCGCAAAAAAACAGATCTGAAAACTGAAATAAAACACAGTACCTTCTCATTACTCATCCAACACTCAAATCAGCTACAGCAAAGAAGATGGTTTACGCAATCTAACACGGTTACAGTCTGGTGCTCTTCCCTGTTTTGTTCAGTTGTATGTCCTTAGTTTTCTTTTTCGTGTCGTCATGGTCGTCTTCCTCCTTCCCTGCATCCCCCGCATAAATCTTGTCCAGCTCATCGGGGTCAACGTAGGTGTAGAAGTAGGCCATGATGGAGAAGATGATGAAGACGCCTAACAGCAGGCCGGCGAACAGAAGGAACTCCTTCCACTGGGACAACAAAGACTGGTTAGTGCATGAACTGTACTGGAGATCAGTTCACTGCTGAGACTTGCTGCACTCTTGAGAAGCAAAATAAAATGCTTGGATGTGAGTTTTATGTAAGTCAGAATTGAATGCCACACTTAAAGTTGATTATTACCAATACAAGGAATTAAAAGCTGAGAGTTATAACCTCAAACCTGATTACCAGAAACCCCCAAAAACCCAATACGATGGAGGGGATTTGAATGTGGTGCTCACAGCATGGAAGAATGACATAAAGTTGCTGACTGCTTTTGGCATGTACAGTATAGCCTCCTTTCTTAGGAAATATTAATACAGCAGCAAATAACTGAGTGAAGGCGCTCTGAGCAGAGTAATATCACACTCCCTCTCCCTGTTTTGATCCCAGAGCTTTGTTTATTTCTCCTGTCCGGCCACATTTGCATGTTAGTGCAAGTGAGACTCTCCGTGTACAACTGTTGGCTTCGAGGAGAGCGACTGAAACTGCTGTTTTTTTCATCTTTCATGTTGAATTAAAGATTTATTTTAACCAAACCAGAGTTTGTGATTGTTGGACGAGTGGGGAGATTTTTGTTTCCGTCATGATGTTGTGCGAGGTAAAATGACTATTTTTGTCTCTGGAGTCTGGTGAGCGATAGCGGCTGTATTTGGTTGAAAAAAAGGTCTGTCTCTGTAGGAATCTTTTCCGTAATGTTGTCAACAACAATTTGATCTCAATTTGGGTGCAAGGGTTATGTTGCAGCCTTTGCGGCCTGTTCAGAGAATATTTTCATCTAACTTGGTGAGTTTATTTCAAACAAACCAGTGTTCGTGATGTTGGAAAAACTGTGAAAAGACTTGTTTCTATCCTGTTGGAAGTGTTTTATGATCTGCAAGGTAAAATGACTGGTTTTGTCAATGGAGTCTGGTGGACCGTAGCACGTAGTATGAGTTGCTGTGCTCTAGTGCGACATCTATTAGCAGTGAATTTCATATATATGTTCATAAGCTTTAAAAAAAGATTTTGATGTCTGCCACAATATCCCATGAAGTTGTACCTGTTCCAGTCCCGCCCCCTCTGCCACAATCAGCACTATCACATTCCCAAACGCAACAGTGAGCAGCCAGCCGGCCTGCAGGACAGACTTCATGTTGGCTGGAGCCTGGAGGGGAGAGAGAGGTCCACAGTTGATAAAGAAAGCACAAAATAAAGCAGTGCTGGGTTCAGACAAATATTTAAAGGGTCCGTGAAATGGGATCATTACTTCCTAATCCAAAAAAATGCTGAGTGTGTGACATCAGACAAACAACAGACTGAAGGGTAAACCAATGGGCTAAAAGTTATGGAGAGAAAAGCTATTTAATTTCACAGAACAGGCATCAAGGCAGGGTTGTTGGAAGATTTCTGGATTATTTTTTTTATTGGTTGGACACTGATGAAGTCTTAAGTCACTGCTGAAGATGTAATGTTTTCCAAGAAGTAGTAGTAGTAGTAGTTTTCCTGAAATGTTCTGATTATCACACAGTGGTACAACGGTAGTGAGTGTTTGATTACTCAAATACAGAGTTATTTCCCAACTGATAGACGGTGTGCATCATGGCCAACCTGTGAGTAGGAGAACTCCAGGCCTGTGATGGAGAACATGACCTCTCCAGTTGTTATGAGGACGTACTGGGGGATCTGCCAGGCGATGTGCACGTTGTTGGCTTTCACATCCTCCATCTTGCGAGCCCCAACTTTACCGAATTCCTGAATACACACACACACACACACACACACACACACACACACACACACACACACACACACACACACACACACACACACACACAGAGGGTTCTGTCACGCTGTGCCACTGGTGAGATCTGCATAATAAGCTTGTATAGTAAGCGTCCTGACCTCCATGAGTATGACAGTGTAGGAGCCTCCGAAGTCCAGCAGTCCAAGGTTAACATTGGAGCACTCTTTTGACTCTAGGCTGCAGCTGACTTCTGCATATCTACCCGGAGGCAGGAGGTACATGAAGGATGAGATGAATTAGAGAAGAATAAAAAGCACATTGTGATTTGACTGGCTATGCACAAGTTGAATTTTAAAAATATCATTCATACATAAAAATTAACTCATTATTTAGTACAGGCAAAATAAGGGTCACAAGAGTGGTTAAGTGGGAAGAGTTATTTTGGGCATCATTTGTCCCCAAGGTAAAAGTATTTTCTTCATTTTCTGCATTGACAACATTAGGTGATTGACAGTTGGAGAACTGATCCTACTGTTTAAAAAAAATTATATATTGCTGGAGACCAGACCAACTAGAATATTTGGCAAGACCAACAGCCATGTCTGAGACAACAGAACAAATGTTTGAGCCCTAGACCGGACTGGATGCTACATCAGTGTGTAGAGCTGTAGAGAGTCGGGTGATAATTCTCTGTGGGTTCACCACAACAAGCGACCCAACGGTGGCTCGGCTAGGCAGGACAGGCTTCAGGATTTCGTTTATACTGATTTAGACATCTGTCCTACTCACTCTCGCCGTTCCACAGTCTTGTTAGGAGACATGTCACCAGAGGGCACGTGGAAAGTCACATCTCCCACAGTCAGGTTTATTGCTTCTGGCAGTGTGTTGAGGAACCTGTTAAATTAGAATTAGGAGAACTCATGAGCAGACATAACTGATTATTCAAGTTAGCTAAGTTGACCTCAATTTTTATAGCAGCACAGAATGAATGAGCTTAAAATGTTCGGTTTGTAAGTATATGAGTCATAACCTCTGAGGTTAAACATATCTTACCTCAGAAGAGGATTTCCATCTTCATTTTTCTTTATGTAGTCACCCACCTGGATAATTAAAAAACACACAATTCACATGACATAAATCTGTATTATCTTGTGTTTGTGTGTTCTTTACTCACTGGTTTCCACCAATCAAGATTCACCAACATTTAAATCAAAATGTGAGAACAGTTATGGGGTTGATGGTATTTTTACCAAATTTGAAAAAAGTTATATTTCTCTGTGTAAGACTTTTAAGTAGAGTTAACTTAATGTTTTTTGTCAGGCAAAAAAAACCCCACACCATGCTAATGTTAAAATGTTACAAACATCTTTAGAATAAATAGAAGATAAAGTTACATCTGCCCAGTACATTTCACTCTTTGTGTGGCTTTTCCTGAATTTGTATTATTCTTATAAGATTTTTTTTTTTTACACAGAAGATACTGTTACCCTCTTCTACTGAGCAAAATGAATTCAATTAAGTTTAAATTTAGACTTACTCTCTTCCCATTGGCTCACAGGCCTGGGGTCCCCAGATGTGAGATGCACAGTTGGACCAGGGTATATATGCGCTAACAGGGCTAAGCCCCCCCTATCTTTTACAGTAAAGATGAAAAACTATTATTAAAAACATAAGAACATATTGTTTTGAATTTTGGTAGAACCTAGAGCAGCAACAGCACCAAAAAGTGACAGAAAAAACCCAGGATATATGATATATGTTGTTTTTTTTCCTGTGAATGGGCTAAATTTATTCAGCCCAAGCACAGTAGCGTAAGCTTCCATTCGATTGTGATTGACAGGTGTCGTGACACGCCCCCATTTGGGCTAAATTCATTCAGCCCAAGCTCAGTAGCTTAAGCTTCCATTGACCTTTGATTGACAGGTGTCCTGACACGCCCTCTTCATATGCTGCCCATTTGCTGTAACATGATGTGATGCTGCTGTTGCTGCTGTGTGACGTATTGATGAGTGTAATGTATTTTTTAGCCCACCCACCCAAAATCTCCACCAGCCGTCACTGAGTTGGACCCTTGCATAAATGATTTATCTAGTATTTGAATTGTAAACTCGTAATAAGTAATACCCAACAAAGTTCTTTTCAAAACTTTGACTGCTATCTCTAATTCAGTCATGAATATTTAATGATATTGAAAGACTGAACCCATTTTCAGAGGCACTCACAAGTTTGCACTGGACTCCAGTAGTTTCGGAGAATACGATGAGACTGTAGGAATTCTGTTGGTTAAATATGTGTTGACACTCTGAGGTTGCTCCATTCAAAGTGACTTCAATCTTCAGCATCTTGCTGGGCGCCTTCAGTGGAAGCATCTCATATTTCGGAGGGTCCTGACAGAGAAACCAGGGGGTTAATGTTAAGCTTCTTTCCAAAATCTCCACAGTTTGAAAAACATCTGATAAAATGAGAGAATGAAATACAGTACATCACTCAGTATTAGAAGATAGAAGTTACCTGAAGGTATTTGATCGGTTCTGGAAATGGGTTGCTGCCGGGGATCTGCAGACTGACGTCCCCTCCTGCCAGGTTAAAGACCTGCAGGAGACAGTTCCCAGCAGGTGCAGGATCCACCACTGTTTTCTAGCAGACAGTGAAGGAAATTAGAGCACGGCGCCCCCATACTGACACATTTCAGTGAACACAGTCTTTTATAAAAAATTCAGACGTGCTTAAATATGCTATTTTTACGGTTCACTGAGCTCTCACTTTTTCAGATATGCTCAGGGGATTATGATGGGATTTAAATACAACAAAAGATGGAAAACAACATTTTGTTAGCAAATAGAAACAATGCACAAGCTGCACATTTATTGTTCAGAAGAATACTGTATATTCTTTGACAAAATAATATTGTATATGGAGACAAATCTGGCCAAGATGATTATACGATGAAGTTTCCATTCTGGCACACAAGCTTTAGAACAAGCAGGACAAATGTGGGCAGATGATTTCAAATGTGCCTCCTGAAGACCGCTCTAATTTCATCTGTCATCTTATTATTGCATTGCTTTATGCAGAAATTAATTCTTGTTTATATAACAACCTATCTGTGAGGACAGTTCAGTGTTTTCCAGGACATCGTTTTCTTCCATTGAACAATTCCAGGTTTTCCAGGATGCATGGGAGCTCTGGTTTTATTTAGGTAGCAGTCTGTGTACACGCAAGTAATCCTATGTGTGTAAGGGAATGAGGGTTTTTTGGTGAGGGTCTCTTTAATTCTGTAACAGGAGTGAAAATAGACAATGGCTGCTCATACATACCACAACGTTCACTTCCACCAGTGTGGCTGCTCCGAAGGCCAGCGCTGCAAAAACCATCCCTGCGGCCATTTTCCTGAGAGGCCTGAGGGCAGGGAGAGTAAGTGACAGTCAACACTTTTACACACCTTTCATTACTGTGTTTACCGCTCTGAAAGTCAAGCTTTATCACTTTATAAATCTGAACGGTGATTTCCACATCAGTGTCCTCACTGATCTCCCACCTGATAAGAGGCCGCCTCATCACTTGTTTTGACGTAATGCCATCTGTTGCAAATGTTACCTTTACAACCTGAGCCTTTCTCTGAAAAGCATTAATAAAATCCGTAATTATAAAAGAGAGCATTTGTACTTCTGGAAATAGAAATGTGATGTATTTATTATACAAACAAACCTTGTGTTTTGCAATACGGCGTAACAATTTCTGGATAATAAAGACAATCGCTGAGTCCTCTACACACATTAAAATCCCACTCATCAGATTTAAATTTGTAAATGTACAGTATGTCTGCATATGTGCGCACAGACCTTTCCTTCATTCGTTAACTATTCATTGTCCTGAGGCATACAAATGTGAGGTCACATGGCTCATTTTCCAAGTTTAAGAGACTTCTTAAATGTTTATGTCTGCAATAAAGATGGGAGTATCCAAAACAACAGGATTCTACTCACGTGATGTTGATTCTGCAAAGGCCAACGAGCGGATATATGATGAGGTCAAAGATGGGCACGAAGAGAAGAATCATCAGCGCATTCAACATCTAGACAACAGGGAGGGAAAAACTGGCCGTTAAATGACTCTATAAAAGCTCACTATATCTCATAAAATCATAAAGGTTAGAGTTATACACGAATAAAAGGACTTATTCTGATTTAATATAGCCAGTAAAGAGATGGCAAGATGGGAGTGATTTAGAGCTGTAAAAGTGTTTTCATGTCAAACATTAGTCATCTTTAATGCTTTACTTGAGTTGTACAGATGTGGCACACTGCTCTGTGTTTTTTCTTTTGTGTTTGTTTTCACTTGAAAAATACATGTTTCCAGATGGCTGAGAGCGTATGTCGACTATACACATATACAGGACTAGACAACCATGAACTTTTTATGGCCAAACAGTGAAATGAAGGGGACCATGTACAAAAAGGTCTACAGTCCCAATATTGATCATCTGATGTGAATGTACACTCAAATTAATGGAACTGTTTGACTGTGCTGATACTGGTTTCCCACACTGGGGAAAGGGAAATGACCATGGCTAGTTAGCTGGGCATGCTAACAAATACTGCTTACATTAGAGCAGACAGACACTTGGTTATTTTGGAAAGGGAAAAAGCAATTCACCCTTTAAACTCTTTAAATATGAAATATGAACCTTATTGCAGATCTATGCACACCATTGTGGCATGTGGAGAAATCCAAAGAGTGACAGACCTGCTATAGCCACGGTTGCTCAGATATGATCGGACAGTAGGGGAGAGGTTTAACGAACAGTACATTAAGACGCTGTACTGTGTTTGTTACATCCATGCACAAACAGGAGGATAGAAAATGCCTGATCATTTAAACACTATTGTCCTTATTCATTTGGTATGTGGCCATGCTGTCTAATGTGTGCAGATACAGAAAATAAAGTTAATTAGTTCATTATTACTGCATCACAGTGTTCCTTATTTACCTTCTCTAATATTTCTTATATCAGAACACCCTGTCATCATTATAGCTTATTTCACTGCGAGTGGGCGGGAACTGCACATACCTGCATTTGGTCCGGCTTAATAGTGAAGGAATCTCCCTGTAATAAAACAAGATGATTTCAGCTTAACAGGGCAGTCATTTAAACTTTAACTTCATAAATCTGACAGGAGGAGCAGGGTTTCAACTGGCCAATAAACTTCAGCACTTCACTTTAACCTGATGAGTGAGTGTGTGATTTATCAGGGCTATAAACTGTAATTTACTGTAATAGAAAGACAAATTGCAACTACACCCTAACAAAGGGAATGTGTGTTTTACAAGACAGTGTGTACAATCAGATGAATTCTGAATGCCACCCACTGATATCATAGTGCAATAAAAGATGTTATCAGCTTTTTCAAAGTTTGACCACATTGTTAGGAAACTCTTACAAAAGCCATGTTCATCCTCGTGGCTTGAAGTGTCCAGCGGGAACCCTGCAATAAAGAAAAACACTGTTGCTGTCCACTGTACTTTAAGGCCACAGCTCGACTGTTACTCAGCAAAATGATCCTTCAACCACAGCAGACTCGTTTTGTGTATTTTTCTGGAGAGGATAATAATGAAGTGAAGTTGTAAATATTTGACATGCCTTCGTAGAAAGGCGTAGGTGTGTTTGCTTTTTGATTGTCATTCTAAAGTTGTTTCAAATGAATAATGAGTTCAGGAGGAATGCAATTCAGGAATTTTGAATGTGGCTTTGAGGTATTTCATAATCAGATGGTTGTGTTGAGTTTTGGCCAGAGTAGAAGATAACACATAGTTATGGGATTTTATAAGAGAGCTTCAGACACAAGACCTTGACCTTAAGAAGACTGGTCTTGTATGTACAATCAAGAATTGGGTATGACACATGGTTAAACTCAATAAAATGTCTTCTCTCTCTGTACTCAGTGAAATGAAGCCACCGCTGCAATGTTACTTAAACCTGCAGGTCGAGAGGGATTTACGTGGAAGTCAAACTTCTGAGAACTGATAACTTATTTCTATTTATCCAACTGTTTTAGTCTCAGCTGAACACTACATACTATAATTCACATACAACACTTCATTTGGATAGTCAACAACCAGTTTCTGAAATAACACCGCTGTGGTTAAGGTTGATTATAGGCACAAGAAACATCTTGGTTAGGGTATGTTCATGAACACATCACATATACTCTAATCTGTTAAACATCTACAGATGAAGCGAAACAGCTGAAATGTTAAAAAAAATACTCCTGCCTACCAGCACCTTTAAAGGTCATTAATTTATATATTGCATCTTTTTTGTTCAATCTGTACAAAAGCTGAAGTTTAAAAGCAACAATTTAATGGTGACCTTTTTGGCTGGGTCCATAACTTTGTGGCGTTTCCACTGGTTTCCTGGGAATTAGTTTTACAGGTATGTGGTCATAAACCTCCCTGAGGAGGATATGCATGTCTGAACCAAAGATAATGGTTCATAAGTCTCTCGTCCTCACGTACCTGCTGATCAAACAGAGCCCAGAACATTGGCAGCGGGATGTAGAGCACCAAAACCCGGAGCACCATCTTTATCTCCTGGATCAGACGCTTCTGTTTACACACCAACACACAGGTGGACGGGTTATTGATGACCGACACTCTTTTTCCAGATGGACAAATACAAATTGTTATATGAAGAGTTAATAGTAGGAATTATTTTGTTACCGAGTACTTCTCCTCAGCCCAGTCCAACCAGTGCTTTCTCTGAGGCTCATATCTCCGTCTCTGCCAGCGGTTTTTGATGGCAAACTGCAAACCGAAAAAACAGGAATTAAAAAATAACCTTTATTACAGCACAAAACGATTTTTGGCAGTAAATAGAACTGAATAAATCAGTTTGCACTTTCATAAATCATTTGATACGATTCAGGGGAAGTGGAAGATGACTCACCCCAATGCAATTGCAGACTTCCAACAGGATGTTTCCCTGGGGAGGATTCCTCTTGTACAGGCTGCTGCCGGCAATGAACACAACTGTGCAAGATGGATGAAGAGTTAGACAGTTTATGTTGGAAATGGCTCGGCTGTTGTGCAAACAATTGCTCCATTTGCCTGGTATCAGGAGTACCACATGCTCATATCAGCTATATGTATTCCCTAGCCAACAAGAGGAAACAGCAGAATCTGAGTTGTTTACCATTTAAGGATTTCTGTCCTCTTACTTATGAAATGTTGTAAACATACCAAGCTTTAGTCTGGCAGTTCACACATTGAAGGCCGTTCTTTGTTTCACCCACGTTGTGATCCGTCCGCGGCCCCTCCAGTAATAAAATCCCAGTTTGTTTTCACAGTGAGCGGTCAGCCAAGCATGAATCCCATAAGGTCCAGTGGGGACGGGGATTCAGAGGCAGAGACAACTGCCTGTCAGGACGTATGTGGAGGGGCCTTGATCAAGTGGAAGCCCAGCCTGTCAAAAGCTGGACTTCATACAAACATGCTCTCAGCATGCAGATAGCAGCCTGAACTAATTTGGGATAATGAAATGTGACAATTAATTTGGACATTCCAGTTGAGAACTGGTTCCAAATTATTTGAATCGTATGCCTCAATTCAAAAGCTTATCAATTCCTTTTATCAATGCCGGCATGTTTTTCTGACAGTTGCACAATGCAAAACAATGATGTCAAACTCATGCGTCTACACTGCTAGAAACGGTCCAATGTGTGGCTTCATTTCACGATGAAAGATGACAACAGCGCAGATAAGCATATACGCTAATGGCATTGGTATCAAGACATTCTTATGGATTCCCATCCTTATTCACTGGATGATGTTACAGGTGGATGGACGTGGACTCACCTAAAGCCACGACCATCAGAGCTGCAGGAACCCCGAAGGCCAGAGCGTAGCAGTCACCACCGAAACACTGCACATCACCTGCGGGAGCAAGTCCGGCGTTAGTGGCATCAACACAGTGATGTTCAATGAACCTCATTGGGTATATGAATGCTCACCTCTCAGTATGGGTGTAATCACAGTCGACAGGAGGCTCCCAGCGTTAATTGACATGTAGAAAATGGAGAAGAATTTCTGCCTCTCGCTGACCTGGATCAACAAACTAATGATGAGACACTGATGTGATCTGAACATTGTATTTTATGATCTTTCAGTCCCCATTAAGGTTTCAGGCTAGTTTTCTAAACACTGTGATTACTGTGTAAAGCTAAATATAAGAGACACGATGCGATTCTAGCACTGCAGAGATTTATGTAACCCATTTTTAATTTGTTTTTCTTTTCTGGTAATCCTATATCAAAGCTGCTTATTTGTTACTTTATAGTCAAAACTAGTACAAACATAACAGTCAAGCAGCTTTTACACCATTACTTTAATTACTTTAATTTTTAAAAGTTATGTATTAAGAATAATACTTAAGTTTAGGCTTTTACTTGCTAATTCAATCAAAGTCCAATAGCAAAGGATGGTACTTTGAAAGACTTAATTTACATTCACTACTGATCTGATTTTTCTAGATATACATGGCTTTTAGTGGCTACATTCACAGATTAGTGTTATTACTGTGTAATTCAAACTGTGTTTATATTTTCAAACTAAAGAAGAAGAAGCCTTACATTCTCCTCGTCAAACTGGTCTCCTCCAAACGCTGCCACACAGGGTTTGATTCCTCCGGTGCCGAAGGCTATGAGTATCAGCCCTACCATGGACAAAGCGCTGCAACACACACGGATGATATATAATATATATAGAGAGAGTGCGTATTAACTGTCATAATGACACTACAGTATTATTATTATATTATTTGATTAGTTGACCACTAGAATATTAATACATTATGATAATATTCAGTTATCAGTGGAGGTTCTGAACTGAGACAAAGCTGCTAATCTAAATCTAGTTTAAAAACAATTTTGATTAATTTGAGTCATCTATTAAAAGTCTATGTGATTTATCAAGCAAAACACTACTTTCAACTATATTTTAAAAGAACATAGTCACACAATACAGTAAAGAGGAGGGTAAAGAGATGCCAACCTTTTGTTCCAGTTTCTAAAGAATTAAACTTTGATGTTTTCTCAGACTATGTGAACTTATGGACATGTCTTACAGTCTAATAATATTGTAAAATAGAAAAAATAATCAACATATAAATCGATAATGAAAATAATCATTGAAAATGATGATCTCTTGTTGAAGACCTGAGAATCACTGCCCACATCTCTAATATATTGAGCAATTCAAAGTGAAATTCAGTCTGATTCTTAGGCTACTTAATACACAGTAATGATAAAGAGCGCTTTGGCTACGTTCACACCGCAGGCACAAGCGTCCCAAATCAGATTTTTTTTGCTTACCTGTGACTCAGATCTGTTCATGACAGTGTGAACAACACGGATCACATGGAATCTGATCTTTTCACATACAGGTCTGATTTTTTGCAATGTGACCTCAGTAGTAACAGTCATCAGTTTTTATGTGACTTTTACCTCACTCTAGATCAACATCTGTCATGCTGGTCACTTCAGGACAGTGACCTGTTCACACAGGAATGTGATATGGGCCAAATTTAGAAAGTAATGTGAACAGCCAAACAAAAGCAAATCTGATCTGAGCAATAAATCAGAATTGAGCACTAAGGCTTTCAGTATGAACGTAACCTTAGTCCTCTGTATAACATGACTGAACTCGGTTTCTGCCTGCTCAAAATGAGCGAATCAGCTGCTGGTAACTTACATGTGCACATCAGGGTTCCCCACAGTGGGAATGGCACCCACCGACTTGACCACATGGCCGATCACATAGACGATGGACAGGTAGACGATGGTCCTGTGGACAGCAAACTGTGAGTACGTACATTCAGATTGCACTCCTATTATATCTGTGAGTGTGTGAGTGTGGCCAGAGTGACTCATCTCCACTAATAGGTGCTGTTACACAATTCAGACAAAGCTCCCAGGTTAAAGGATGAAACACTGCATGATGTATTGAAAACTGAAATCATGTGCCACAGATGACGATGCATGATGATCATTTCTATTAACTGCAACTATTTAGTTTTATTTCTCAAATTGTCACCCCCTATCTATGATACTATGACAGCTAACACACCTCCCGTGACTTTTTTTTGCAGAAGTAAGTAGATCTAATTATCTGGACACATAGTTTACAGCACACTGCGGATGAGTTGCTTTTTTAAGCTAGCTTTCAATAACACATAAAACTAAAACTACTTGCTTGATACCTCTGCTTTTAGTTATTCTGGATGAACGGACCCTTTAATGCACACAGGGATGAAACACACAGGGACTCACTTGAATTTTCCGAGCCAGGAGTCAGCAATGAGAGCTCCCAGTATGGGTGTGAAGTAGCAGAGGCTGCTGAAGGCATGGTAGACAGCGGTGGAAAGGTCCTTGTCCCAGTGTAGGTACGTGAGGAAGTAGAGTGTCAGCACCGCTGTGAACAAACACACTAGTATGAGCTGTGACCCAGCTCAGGGGATCGATACTCACAAGCCCACATGTAACGTCCAAATACCTCAGAACATGTCAACAAGATCTGTTCTATCCCAAAGCATCTCCCTCCGTTATTCAAACCCACAGATTGATTTTATTTATTTCATGCTCAGGAGATCCCAGAAGTTTCCAAAGATATGAAATTTGTCAGGCTGAATTGGGAGGAAAGGTGTATAAAATGATGGACAAAACATATACAATATTTCCATCTGATGGAATGGTGGGGTTTCAATATTTAACTTATCTAACAAGCTAATTGAACAATAGGGCCAAAATGATACAAGATATATATGAGATACCTTAAAGCTACTGAAGAAAAAAATAAAGGGGATGTAGAGGGGACGATCTCCTCTGTTTGCTGTTGTTACCAGCCTGGAGGTGTTTTTCATGACAACATTAGCCATTACGGATGAATAGGAGTCATGTTTACCATTAACCTTGTAAACTGTTTGTCCAACATCGGCAAATATCACAGCTCATAGTGTAAACTCTGCAACCAGAGAACCTGTCCCGCTAATATATACCACTTTGTCTGCCATTTGGTAGAAAACACTGAATTATATGACCAAAAATGTCCGATTGAAGTAATGTGGCAGACAGACATGTGAGTATAAGTGAGGTCACTTGAGAGCAAGACAGAGACTCCAGCTTTATCTGTCTATTGTAGGTCCTCTGTTTTATTGTCCTCACTGACTCTGTTAGTCATAATTTAATAAGCTGAGCACCATTACCAATCCAACTTTGTGTCAAGCACTTTTCAAAGAGCCAAAGCCACTGAGTAAATACAGAATCCTGTTCCTTAGATCAACCTATACTGCCACATGTTGTCCAGACAGAAGGTTTGCATACCTTTCATGCCATAGTAGGAGAAGCGTTCACAGAACTCATTCACCACTATGAAGCAGATGCTGGTTGGGTAATTGGTCCCACATAGTTTCTAGAAGAGGCAAAGTTTGTTAACTGAATGAGGTACAACATATAAACAAACAGTATAAGACACAAATCACACACACACACTGACAATAAATAAACCAATGTCTAATCTCTTTTCTCTGAGTCAAATATCAACAAAAACCTGTTGTTCAATCAATAGTTTTACTATCTCTAACAGAGAGTTGATCGATAATTCGTTATGGAATGGGAGGAATGTGGCTGTTGCACTCCTCCTCTTAGTCAGTGACTTATAAAGTAACTCATGATGCAGAAATAAAAGTTACACAAACTTCTGATACAATCAGCTAAACTGATGAGAAATGTCAGACATAATCCTATAATAAGATAATAAACTACAGGTTATTGTAACTAATAATAGTATTAGTTTATACTTATTAGACCAGCAGTTGTCGTTGTCACTAGGAAACAAGAGTCCCTTAAAATATGAATGAATCCTTAATTTACCCATTAAAACATACCCAACGCCTTAATTGTGGTTTGAAATGAGGCAAGACAAACCCCTTAAAAAACTTAATGTGAAAAGCCCTGTAGTACAAAACACACAATAAGATGGATTGTGTTAATAAATTCAAGAGCTGAATCATTTAGTTGATAAGTCAGTCACAACAGTTGTGATAATCATTTAGATAAATCATCAAATTATGTTTTCTAACACACTTGAAGACATAACTGGTTCTGGGGACTTGTGATCAACACTATTCTATTGAATTATCTCATCAGTTCATCTAAAACATAATCAACAGATTAATCAGTAATGATAAGACTCATCAGTTGCAGACCACGTAGGCTCCACACAGTAGCATCACCAGACTTTGCATCACCTGCATGAACTTTATAAATACAGCTTACATACTAACTTATCAATAATTTGAGACTTTGATAGTAACAATTGTTCAGAAGAGTATTCTTTATTATTTGAGTACTTTTAATACTTTAATTAATTTAATTTACGGCTAAAACTTTCTGTCTATGTTCAAGTAAAATCTGGATTGGTGGACTTCTACTTCTAATAGAGGAAGCACTGCTCTGGTTTTGGTGCTGACTGGTGCATCCATATTGTAATGGGTTATTTTGTATGCAGTTTTCCTTCTAATACTTATTTCAAGGGGCAGTTTCCTCAAAAGTACAATACAACATATTTTCTCTTTTTCCTCTAGTAGCGTCTACCCCTGCAAACAGTACTTTTGGTTGTGTTTGTCTGGGTTTTGAGGGATCTCTCTCCAAGATTTCTGCCTCCAGCGCACTATTATGGAGATTAATGTCATTTTGTTTGCAGCCCTCAAAGCAAAAAAAGTCAACATGCCATTCACAAAGTTTTCAGCAAATTTGAGCTTTTACAGCTTTTTTCATGACAACTGAGTTATCTATATGCAGACGAGGATCATGTGATATAATCAAAAGCTTAATTAGTAGCTGTTGGACCTTGAGATTTGGTTGTTTTGTCAATCAGTGTCCCACTTGCCTCACTCTTAAGGGACTATTTCTTCAGTAGAAAGTAGTTTCAGTGAAAAGTGAGGCCAGCAAAGACAGATATCTCAGAACCATGGCAAACACAAATAAATGTGCATGGATACTCTGCATGGACAGAGATCTCCGGGGATGATACGATAGGGTTTTCTTATTTTATTTGGGTGACATGACCCTTTAACATATTTACTATCACGATCTGAAGCAAATCTGAAGTACTTGTGGCATCAAATGTATCCAAACGCTCCCTCAGTCCCAGCTCTGGTGAGGATGCGCCTGTTGCATCATCTCCCTGATAACTTAACGGTTATTTTTAGTGACAGAAAATACCTCTCTGTCGCTGCAACACAAGTCTGCAGTCTGACTTAGAGGACAAAAACACATTCTCACTTCTTTCACAGACATTTGGGGCACCCTCCGCTCCCATGTGTCCACGCGTCTCTTCCACACTCCCTGCAACTTTTCACGGTGGATCCAAATTATTGTAAAACGCTTCAACAACGCAAAACACGAGCAAACAAACCCAACGACTCCGTTTGCTCCACAAAAAACATCGCTGACACTTACCTTAGTCATATTGCTTTACTTTCTGGAGGCTTTGGATCTTTACTGCGGGAGCGGGATCTCCTTACTGACATCCAAGTCCGTCCCACTGTGCTCTCTCTCTCTCTCTCTCTCTTTCTGTGGGCACGAATGTAAAACCTCGATCATTTATGCTCTTTACGCCGACTTCAAGTTAATGTTCCACCACAGAAACTGGGACTTGTTACTCCAGGAACAACAGCGGGCCCCCGCAGGCTTCACTCCTGGTGTCCAAGACAGACTAAAATATCATCCGGATGAGTGTATTTAGTTTGTGTGTAACTCACTGTTTGTGTGTAACTCACTGAGTGTGGAGCAGGAGTGAGGTGGTGGTCGTCAGCAGCAGCAGCAGCAGCAGCAGGCTCTCTGTACAATAGTGCCGTTGTTGAGCCGCAGACGGATGGTCAAACTGTGCTGGATGTGTTGGCCAAGCTGCTTCTTTTCTTCGGATGGCTGAATCACCAATTTCCTTTTAATTTCCTTTTAAACCGAACAACAAGCACTGCCTCCCCCGTGTGTGTGTGTGTGTGTGTGTGTGTGTGCGTGTGTAATGTCACTGTCACCTTACACTTCTCTTTAGTCATCTTCATGTGTTCAGCTTTGAGTGATGAGAAACACAAAGCACTTGCGTGAGGAAGATTGCGTGTTAATGATACTCCATAAATCACGCATGAGCAATAGTAATTTTTTTTTTCTTTTGGTAAAAGAAACCATCTGAAATCTGTTTCAGATATCCAGTTTGTTTTTCTGAAGGCATGTTTTCTCCTGATTTCTAAATAGAAAGGGGAGAATAATCGGGGATTGAATATGCAACAGAGGAGAATTAATTTGAATGCATTATTTTAAGTAATAGTAACTTGTGACAGCCTTTTTCCCCCCTAAACAATTAATATATTGATGGAAAAGTCCATTAATTGATCATGAAAGTTGCAGTTGCAGCCAGTGGTGGAAGAAGTATTTAACAAGTAAAAGTCATGCATTAAAACATCGAATGAGAAGAATAGGAACAAGAAGAAAAACATATTTTTCAGTGGAGGGGGACTTCATGCTAAGCTCAAACCCTGTATATATTTATACCTTTATGACACCTACCTTATTATATCAGTACTGTTCTAACTTGATCCCCTGCCTGCATGGACACTGATCACAGTTGTTGGACGCCAGCTCAAACCACAAAACTGTTGAGACAGATAGAAAGGATCTTTGTTGTCCTCGTTGATTTTTCAGACTCCTGGTCGATGACTTTGAAAGAAAACTGAAGTGGTTTATGACATCACATGTGACACCTGCAGGGGACACTACATGAAACCACCAGGACCCTGGACAAGAGACTGAAGGAAACATTAGCTGTCAGCTTCAGCTGTCTGTGAGCCCCAGACTAAAGCCCTTCACTGTGAAGGGGTCAAAGGTCATTCATTAATGTTTCTTCTGTCTGAAGAAACATTAATTAGCAGTGTCATCCTCAATGCTTCATCATTCAAAATAGTATTTTTCATTTCTATTTTATTTTATTTTAATTTTATTTACAAGTAGCATAAAGGGAACTACAATCTGAATTCCATAAAACAACATTAAACTAATGTATTGTGAATGACAAATCTTCAAAATTCAACTTCAACTTTAGGGAGATTTGTCTCTCAGCCAGGTAAAGAACACACTAATAACATTTCCTGTTTATTTGTTTCCCTGCGTTATGGTCTGCATGGTGTTTCCAGTAGGGGTGTAAGAAAATAATAAATAAAAAGGAAAGGTAAAGTCAACTTTTTTGGTGCATATGGTGTGTATTAAAATTAGATTTAAATGTTTAGAAATATATTGAATTGTAACCTCTGAATCTTGGTACGTATCAAATTGCCATATTCACAGCCCTAGTTTCCTGACTTTCTCCAAACTGCCAGGACATAATTCTGGTGAAAAATATAGTATTTTATAGTATTATTTTAAGATTGTAGTCTAAGAAACCCAAAACCCACCATAACCCACCTAATTTATTTGTTTTTATATTATATAAGTCTTCATCAGATCTGTTGGTTTTTCTTGTTTGTTTGGTTTTTTTTTTTTCAAATAAAATGACCCCTTGTGCTGATTGGCCTATTGTCCTAATTTCCAGTGAACTCTCACACAACAGAAATAGCACATTAAGTGTATAACTCAGACGGGTGTCATCCTTGACTCAGATTCCTCATCATCTTCATTGTTACTTGGCTAATAAAAACAGCACTGGAAAAGAACTGGAAAATCATCTAGTGCCATAACAGTCCACAAGAGAGCAGCATGACAATAGCAACACAGCATTGGAAACATTGAAATATGTGCATATCACTTAGGCAAATGTAAGGATATGAGGAGACTTATATAATCTCTGATTTCTTTTTGGACAGGGAGCCTTTTTATGCCAGATTTTATTAGTAGCTGTAGCAAGTCCTTTGTTTACAATGTAAGGTTGGATTGAATTATGTTGTTACACAACTATTAATACTACTACTGTATAACACTATATCTATAAAAGAGTACAGTGGAAAAGCTCTCTGGGTTGAAGTTGACTGGACCTTGGCAGGGACCCAACCATTTCTATGATGGTGCTTAAAAGTAGCCAATGGAATGGGCTCACTCTCCTCACTTTACCCAGCAGTTGTGAAGCAAGACAGGAACTTCTTGTCTTAAGGGAGTTGCAGCGTTTATTCCCTGCCACACTGTCAACTTCACTGCTGACCTCTTTTGCTCCAGCCACCAACAGTGAGCACTGTATTTTCAGCAATTACATGGCGGCGCATTGCCACCACCGTGATGAAAAACAGTTGTTTACTTCCATTTCTACAAGTCCTTTTCAGGTTATAACAAGATATTTTTCATGGTAGGACATATGTTATTGTTGTATTGTATTAGCCAATAAGAAACCACATTATTTTGTTTATTTAAAAAAAATATTCTTGCTATAAGATATCAGATCAGCTTTATTAAGAACAATGACAACACAGCTGAATAAATAAACACAAAAGGTAAAGGTAAAATAGTTAATACTTTTGATACGTTGAATCCCCCTGAGCGCAAACCTGGAAATGAAGGGTCATCCTGTTACCTGTAGACCTTCTACTTTCAAAATAAAAGCTGCAATAGTAAAATATTTTAACCACCAGATGGAGACAAAGAACAGTTTCTTGTTATGTCAAGGCAAATAAGCAGATTGTCATTCAACAGCGTCTTTGTTTGTCAGCTGTCTTTTCTTATATGTGTCAATGAATTTGTGATGTTTTTGAATTTGAAGAAGAAGAAAAATACCTACATGACATACACTTCACCAACAGGAAACAATACAATATGTATGCAGGTGTTAATAAAACCCTATAATGCCTGCCAAATATTTAGAGCTTTTTTGTTTCCAAAATCTCTCTACATCTGTCTCACCACCATCAGTCATTTCAATGTTTTTGCAGCTGTGAGAAGCCCCTTTATTCCCCTTGTGCATTGCATTATGGGACAGTAGAGTCAATCCACAGCACACTCCAAACATAGGCGTTTCTTATTCTGCATACTAATGTTTTTGAGTTTATTGTACTTTGTCATTCTCTGTGTGAATACACTATTTAGTTAAAACCTGCTTAGATTTAGTCCTTTGGATGGAACTGGGACACAGCTTCAGTCTCACACGATGTAAATAAACAAGTAACGCTTAGAATACACATCTGTGGCATTTCTGCAACAATTTTATTGGACAACATCAGAAGACAGAGGAGAATGCTGTGGTAAGGATTCAAACTCAGAATGATAATCGCACTGTTGGAAAGAGACTTAAACCTCTCTACAGACTGTGTACTGGTTTCAAAACTTGATGTTATGGGTATTTTCAACCCACTGACATATTACATGAAACACTGGCCACTGTTAAAACATAAAAATACATTTCTTTATGTACAAAAAATAATTACTATATATAGATAGGAGTTTTAAAATTACTTAAACCATCTTAGAAGCTTTTAGGACCAGTGCTAATGCACCAACAACAGCTCTCAGGTCAGTGCTTCTATATTCAATCATTTTCTTATATTAAACATATCCCATCAACATCACCAACAATGGATTGATCCTACTAATAAGTGTTATTTGTGTAAACAAAGCCTGATATATCTTACTCCTCTGTGCCATAGAGCGCCATAAAAACAATTAAAAACACGTCACTGAGCCACACCGGTGCACCGGCTGACATGTTCTTTCATTACCATGAACACGCATGTTGTAGTTTATTTTGACTCAAATCCCACCAACACTGTCCTGTTGCTGGAAATAATCACAAACGTACATCAAGTGTAATATGCAGCTGAAATTAGTCCCTTATAAATGCACTTTTTCATCTTCCTATTTGAGGAAATTACTGAGCCTTTAAAGAAAATAAAACTATATTTTTGTGACCCATTTTAAAAGATGTATTTTTTCAGTAGGAACCGGTGGGCTTGGGACCACAGCAAAGGAATCTGAAAGTATTGAGAGAAAGACTAACACATTGTTAGTTTTGGTCTTTTAATAGAATTTGTTGTAAGAAAAGAGAATAACTCAAGATATGCCCTGCAGGAGTTTGGTGTGAGTAGTACACACTCCAGTCAGCCCTACTGTAATCAGGTTTGGACCCAGGATACTTTCAGCTCTGTGGCCTGACAATTGAAAAAACACATGGCATTTGTGGAACTGAAACTAAATAATTCACATTACGTACAGCATTGTACTCTTCACCGTACAACCTTCCACATCTACAATCAGCTTGTATTTTATGCCACAGTTTAGGTGCATTCCAGCCAGGCCTATAAACAAGTGCTTGGTGACAGGCAGACAACACAACGTGAATACTAAAACAGCTCACAGAGAAACTCCTGCCGTTGCTCTCTGCTCGTCTTGCTGGACTCTTCTGTCCAGAAACTGCAGGTTGATTGGCTTAGCAGGGCAAAGCAGGGTTCTGGTGATCGGCTTGACTGTGGTTCCAGCAGGATCCGGCCTTACCTCGTAGTGTTTTATCAACTTTAAAAATAGAAAAGAGAACAATTTGCTCAAAGTAGAAATACATGAAATCATAATTTTGGCAGGGTACATATTTATGTGGGGCACAAGAGTGCAGACAGTCCACATTCCAGTTAATGATTACCAATTATTCACCAGCTGACTAACTTATAACTGTGGTTTTTGGCTGAGGGGACTCAGTCCAAAGTCAGACCATCCCACTGTCGAGTTTTACAAAAGAAGAACAGCCAGGCCTCTGGGCTCTGGTTGCACAGTTACTACAGGTCAACGCTGCTCTTTGAATATAGCTACAAAAGCTATCCAGGGAGTGAAAACAGTGGGGACTAGCTCATTCATAAAGTAGTAACGTGTTGGTTTGGATGCTGCAGGAGTCAAAAGTGACTAAACCAACAGAATCATCTGCAAACGTATACTACAATCATCAGACCACTGAAGGAGTACTCAGGAAATATGACTTTTTACAAAAATTTCAGGGAGGCAACTTCATTATTTTAAATGTTCAAAATAACGTTTCATTTTAAAATTAAATAATCTTTAGTGTCTGGGCAGAGCATACTGCACAGTCTAATCTACTGTCTATTTAAACAGTGACATTAAAACCTGAAATATGTTAAAACTCTGAGAAAATAAAATCGCCAATCTCAAAACCTGAATGTTTACAGGCGCAAACTCTTCACAGTGTACCCCTTCACATGGATCAGAGTGCAATTGATTTGTCCTTTTAAGTGTAACTGGTTGTGTTGTTCATGTAGAGGTATTGTTTTCCTCTTGCTCCGCCTGTCTGTGCTTAATATTGTTATATCAATAGCAAATCACGTTTTCAAGTTTTCTACTTAATAAAGAGCATAAAGCAACATAAGACAACACACAGAGTATGTCAATGTAGATTGACTGACCAAGCAAACCTACAAAACAAAGCACATCTGGGAAAAGTTATTTTACTTTGTACTTCTAAAATAAATAAAAAGGGATACAAAATGTAAATAAAATTAAAAACTAAAATTCCATGTTAGTACAACAGAAATGAAGTGGCACACTTCACTTAAAATGTATGTATGAATATTTTCATTTTGTTATGTTTCTTTCTTTATGTACATTAAACAATTCTACCAGACTTCATTAACCTTTCCTTGGTAATTATTTTTCTTTGTGATAAACAATTATGTCTGACTCAATTTCAATGTCAGGGAGGACAGTCCTTGAACCACCAACAAACCCTGCCAGTACCAGGCCAAATGTCTGGATATACCTAGTGGGAAGACAGACCTGTCTCCTACTAAACACCGCTGGGGAGATTCAGGCAATGCTTTATTCTAAAACAAAGGAGAAATGGACATTCCCACAACAAACGAAAAAAAGTACCAACTTTCTTTTGACACTTTCAGCAATAATCATACTCCATAAGTCCCATTCTTTGAAGCTTAACTGGTGTGTAATAATACCTGTGTATGATTCTGTAGTGTGTAAATTTGCCCTCTGCATCTCTGACCGACCGCCATCAGCCACTGTGGTTTTCCACATATCCTCTTCTTTTGAGTTGAGATCTCTTGCCTGGATTTTTCTGCTTAAAACCACCCCCCAAAACTGCAGCTCCACTTTAAAGTAACAATGCCTCTATTGACCCAAAAGGGGCATTACACTCAGTTTCTATTTTATGTATAAACTACTACTACTCCAATGTTTAGCCAACTTTATCAACTCAGATGATATTCCATTCAGTTCTTGCTAGCCCTTTTAAATTCCTAGTCGTACAGTTGTTCACATAAAGAGTGAAACTGACGTTGCAAAGGTCAAATCTGATCAGCACGTCATTCTTTTTATAAACTAGCCTCAAATCCTTGCGCAGAAAATGGATGGATGTTCTGCGCTCACATATGGGTGTAATGTTTCATAAGAAATGAAAATGAATGAATGATGAAATAGAAAGCAGATCTATGGTCACATTAGCAACAGCAATAAGGATGTTCTTACCCTGGACAGGAGGAGATACATCTCCAGCTCTGCCACCCGTCTGCCCAGACACGCTCGGATTCCAAAACCAAAAGGCACTGACCCAAATGGGTGCTTGGACTTCTCCTCCGTTCCTCGGAGCCAACGCTGTGGCAGGAAGGCGTGGGGGTCAGGGAAAATATTCTCATCATAGGACACAGTGTAGTGGCACAGGTGGAACAGCGTCTGCAAGAGGTGACATTGCTGTTACAATGTAATATAATATTACATATATGGAATGTTTTTGCAGTTAGCCATGAGCACAATGTTATCCAAACTATTGTTCCTGGACCTGTGTATGATTTTGTTTTTAAATCTAAAATAAAGTGTCTTTAAGTACATGTCTTAAAGACTATCTTCATGGGACAGAAATATAGTTTTTATTCTATTGAGGTTCAAATTATTTCATAATAATGTGCTCATTTTGGCAATTTTATGGGTTTTTTTTAAACTGCCATAAGCCTAGAATGACAAATACGTTGCAGTTATTCTCAGTAATAATTAAAGTTAATGGCCACATAGGGCATGACTATGACAGAAAAGACCCACCTGACTACAGCAAGAACACCACATTCTCTCATTAATCAATGAACTTTATAGGACCTGTGGCGTGTCTGACATGTGTCTCACCTTTTTGGGGAAGAGATGATCTCCCACCACAATCTCATTTTCAACAGTGAGACGGGCATTTCCTGGTACCACTGGATACAGCCTGGTGACCACAGAGCACAGTGATGAGTCAACAAAAATGCAGTTTGGCAAAAGCAACTGTTGCTCTTCATACCTCATACAGTCATACAACATTATGTGAAAAGAAATCATTGTTTTATTAATTATAACTATTAACTATTGATAATAACTCTGGAACATTCTTAGGGGCTCAAAATCTGTTGGCACCTTAAAAGGAAATCTTTAGTGCACAGGTGATTGCAACACACACCCTTGCACACACAGCATTTCTTACTGTATATCATTATTTTTCCCACCTATATCGCTTCCATTTTTCATGCAGTTGTGTAGAATAACGTATATTTTGGTACTTTCATGGCACAGAACCTATAATCACGAACCACTGGTGTATGTCTTTCAGTCTTCTGGTTTGCTCGCTCTTCAAATTTGAACAACAACCTATATTTTAGATTAGTTGACAACACACACGTATTAATGTTTTACAAAAAGCTGCATAATATATTCTTGGCCCTATAATATGATAATAAGAAGCGCTTCACCAAAAGAAGTCTCTGTGTGGGACTCAGAATTGCTATTGTACCAGCAATTTTATGTTTTCACACTTGACTTTTTTTTTTTTTTTACCATTAGAAAGAGCCAGGCTAACTGTTTCCCCCTCTTTCAAGTCTCTATGCTAAGCTAAGCTAACCATCTCCTGGCTCCAGCTTCACAAAGAGTAGAGAGATAAACTCTAAGTGTTGTTATGTCAGAAAGAAAGCAAATAAACAATTTCCCCACAGATTTTTTTTAACTATTCCTTTAAATCTATACCTGTTATATATATCAAGTCTTGTCAATCGATTTCAGTATTTTATTTTGTGTAGTAATAAAAGAGACATTTTTGAACTCAGGTGATTTTATGTCCTTTCCGCCAGAGCAAACACACTTTAGACAACCAAACCAACTACTGGTCACTGCCAGAACCTGCAGCTCCTGCAGACAGGTGTCCTATTCATATAACATATTGATAAAAATGAAAGAATCCCTCTGACCGTAGCGTCTCTCTGATGACGGCCTTTAGATATGGCATCCGAGCAATGTCATCACTGGCTGGCACCTTGTCTCCAGGGCAAACACTTATCACTTCCTGGTATAACTGTTCTTGTATCTCCGGGTCCTTCGCCAAGAGATACAGAGACCATGAGATAGTGTTGGAGGTCTGCAACAGAGAGGAATACAGGCTGTTGTCGTCTGTTTTTTGATGTAATGTTTCAGCTTTGTGCCCTGAGCACTGACTTGATGATCTTTAGGTTGAAAGATGTCTGGGTTGAAAAGTGAAAGTTTTGTAGATGTCTAGGTTCCATAAAATGGCTGTTTCAACATTTCAGTGGCTATAATTTGAATGAGAAGCCAGTCTAAAGTACATGTTGTAATATAGCAGCTTAAACCATAAAACAAAAAAACCCCAATCCTTTAAGCTAATAACACAACTAAATGTCACTAAAAGTCAACTACAGTACAGTAAAACCCCCCTTCCACAGTGCACACGCACTTTATCTACTCACTGTGTCGACCCCTGCCAGCAGGAGTTCGGTGATGCTGCCCAGGATCTCAGTGACCGTCATCTTCTCACTGAGCAGCAGGTGTGTAAGGTACGCTCCCTCCACGTCCTGCTGCAGGTGCACCTTCTCCTGGATCTCCTCCATCTTTTTCTGCACCAACTCTTCAGCTATGAGACACAAGAGGAAAATCCATCTGTTTTCATTTCTCATGCTGTGAGAGCCAACACTAAGAGGAGACAGGCTTGACACTTTTGCCCACTAGATGGTGATAGAGACACACCATGAGGGATCTCGTTCAGTCGCTGATGTGGAATAAGGGCAGGAGGACCTGTGAGGTGGACTTTGTTCTTTGAGGGAGTCACCAAAGTCTAGGGTTAGATTATTTGATAATACAAACTAAAAATGTCCATGAAGCCTGAGCTCTAGTAACCTTTTGTGACAACAATCGGTAATAGGGAGCGGCAGAGGGATCCACTACCATTACCAGAGCTGGAGGTTAAGTGAACTGAGCAGCTGTTCAAGGCCTACAAAAGCCCTTCTGAAACCAGGTCTAAAATGAGCATGTGTTTTTGGGACTTGCCTGGAATTTAAACTGTTTTTGAAAGGGTTTTATGAGTCTGTAGGGTTTAACATATCTCAGTTCATTGAAAAACATGTAATACTTTAAAAAGTATTAAAGTTTTCACCACAAAGTGACATGTGACATTTCCTTTTTTTTTAATATAAGTAATATAATGTGTATATCAGTGGTTTCCAACCCTTTTCTGTAATGTAGCCTACCCCCACAGCCCTGTCTGATGAACTAAAGTCCCCCACCACCCGTCATGTTCAAAGTATGTTCATGTGAATGGATTTTAAACTGGATGTTAAAGTTGAACTCTAAATGTTTAGGTCAGTTTGGACAAGTTTTTACATTTGCAATCCTCCCACTAGGAGCAACTACTTTTAGCTTTCCATAAAATGTATACATTACTTTTACTTTTTACTGTTAACTGTTAAAATTTTCCCATTACTTTAAAATTCTCTGCCTGCTTGCTAGTTATGTAGCATTCAGGTGTTACAGCTGACTCAGTAAATGGCTTTATATATACAAACACATACCAATTGGTTGAGCTTCTCTTGAATCTTTCCAAGTACCCCTTTGTAACTACAGATGTACCCCTTGTGGTACAAAGTACTCCTGGTAGGGAGTCACTGGTGTATAGTCTCTCATATTATTTTTTGTACAATTCAATAAATCAGTGTCTTTTACTGATCTTCTTTTACAAGAAGTGTGACTTCCTAAACTGGGGACACCAGTACTTGAAGTGATTGCATTTGTGCATTTGACAGTTGTAGTATATAATGTCAGTTTATTGTTTTTATAAATGGTACAACACAGCACATTTGCTGGTATTTTTCTTGCTGTTCCAAGCAAGTTTTGTCTTTCTTCAAAATGATTGATCATATAAAGAATCAGGGTTCAAGGGAATAATATTTCAATCCCTTACTGATCTTGATTCACTGGTGTAAACCAATGTTGCTCACCGATTTTGAAGAGATAATCCCAGGCTTCCACAAACTGTTTCCAGAAAGGCAGGTAAGGCCACATGGACTGGGGGAAGAGGACGATGATTGGGGAGAGCCTGAACATTTCCCCAACGGAGAAGATGAACTTTTGTGTTTCCTCGGGCACCATCTCATTCAGACAGCCCATACGCCTCTCAAACAACACTGAACAGATCCCTGCAGAAAAAATGATTATACAGAGACAGCTTGGTTTCTGTAACCAGACAGAGCAGTTGATTTGAATATAACATAACTGGTCTGTGATTTTCCTACATTCTGAAGAACATACACTATAATGTTAGTAGTTAGTTAGTTTCAAAGGAGAAATCATCACAATTTCTACCTCCGTCTGGTTTTTGCTCATCCTTCCTTTTCCTTCAGTCACCTCTCTCTTGCCCCATTCTCACGCATTTCCTTACCATTGTTGCTATTATCCTTCCATCCACCAGATGTCCTCAGACTTCATCCACTCTGCAATAACCCCTTTACCTTTTCCCAGGAACAGGAACCCTCCCACTATGTGACGGTCTCTTAAGGAGGGAGGATGTAAATACCCCAGCAAACAGGAACATTCATTAGCATTCTAAACAGCAATATTTTTTTTACATTTGATAACAATAAATCATTGTATAACAGTGTATTGGCCCCACAGTCACCTAACCTACCCACCCACCTTCCCTCATCAGCCCTGCAGAAAGGGAAGTAGAAAAGTAATGAGGGTGGATGGAAGGAGTACGGAAATTATGGCAAGAATATGCAGGGGAATGGGGGAAGAGAGAGGTGACTGAAGGGAGTGACAGAGAGGAAGAGTGAGGCAGACATTGTGACAGCTATAGCATACAGTGAGATTTTGGAGTTTTTGGAACCACCTCTCCTGTTTCAACAAGGCAATGCCCACCGTGCACAAAGCAAACTCCATAAAGAAATGGTTTGCCCAGTTTGGTGTGGAGTTTGGTGTGACCGGCCTACACAAAGCTCTGACCTCAACCTCATCCAACACCTTTGGGATGAACTGGAACACTGACTGTGAGCCAGGTTTTATCACCCAACGTCAGTGTTGGACCTCATTAATGCTGTTCAACATCTGGTGTTAAGTTTGAAACCAGAAGAGTGGAGGCTGTTATAGCAGCAGATTATTACCCATGGTTTTGAAATGACATGTTCAATAATTACATATGGCTATAGTGTATACAGTGTATGTGCTTCAGAATTTAGAAAGCTTATTTAAGTATTTATACCCTCCCCCAAAAGAGACGGTCACAGAGTGGGAGGGTGTAGGGGTCAGATTGGAGTTATTGCAGGGCAGATGAAGTCTGACGGCATCTGGTGGATGGAAGGAGAATGGCAATGAAGGTAAGAAAATGCATTGGAATGGGGGAAGAGAGACGTGACTGAAGAAAGAGGAAGGATAAAAGGAAGAATCAGCAAAAACAAGACTGAGCTTGAAATTGTGAGGATTTCTCAATTAAAACAAAGGTGGTGTGTGTAATGTGTCATATTTCATGTCTAACAGTTCCTAACGGTGAAAACATTTTTCAGATGTTTCCAGGCTTTCCGGCTGCTTCGTTGTAGCTTCAGAACAGTAAAAGAGTGTACAGAAAGGAGTGGTATCTATCTCCAGTGTGTTTCTTTAACTACTTTGAAGCAGGGTAAATATTTTATTATCCGTGTGCTCCTGTAATATGAATTCAATCTGGATGGTGCTTTAAAAGTGAATTTAGAAATATTAAAACTATGTGCTTTGAAAAGGACCCCAATTAAAGGTCATATAATGTGCCTAAACCTACCTTTGTGATCATATAAGGTACTAGCACTATCTCACAGTATCTAATCAGCTGTCAAGGCCAAAAGACTCAACAACTGTGTCAAAGTCAACACCCGGAGCACACACTGTCACGCACAACAGGTTGCTCTACTAATAGCTGCCTAAGACTTCCTTTAGATCTCCAGTGATGTCTCAGCACAGAGAGAAGCAGCTAGATGAAGTAATGCAGACAGCTACTAAGGTCTGCAGTAGTGAGAGTCAAGGACACTTACAGCAACACTGATAGCATTTCCCTCTATCAGCTACCATGGTTGTATTTTAGAGATAACATGTAATATGATAAAGAAAAATAGGTAAAGCCAATTCAGCAGCGGAGTCATAGTGGTGTGCAGTTCCTGATTCTAAATTGATTATCTTAAATTGTACCTCACGTGTTATAGTTTGCTTCTGGTCTTCTTCTTGTCATGTCCTGCGATTTTGGAACTGACTTTTGATGAAATTATAGACAAACCTCTTTTGCCAAGACTAACAGAGACACAGATTTCTTACACCAGTGACTACTAATTACCTCTATATTACTATTTAAGATTTTTTCTAATATATAAATAAAGACGAGTTTCCACCGCAGATTAAACGCAAACATTTAATTTGTTTGTCCTCTGCTGACCTTCAAAAGCAAATTTGTAGAGTTCTGCAGTCAGGTCATTGACCATAACTCCCCTGCCGCTGGTGTCCCTCAGCCAGGCCACTCTTTCGGTGAAGTCGGTCACCACCTCGTTGATGGTGTTAGCGTACGACGAGACGTGTTTGGGCTTCAACATCCGGGGATTCAGGATGCTGCGGATGCGCTGCCACTTGGCCCCGATTCTACAAATGAGGATTAGTGAGAGGGAAAAAAAGTTGTTTAATAGTGAAAGGCATTAGACCAACATGCAGTCCTTGAAATTATTCCATTTTATAAGTGGAAATGTATTAATTTGGCATTTGTTGTTTACGTGCCTCTTTTTTCTTTTTTCCTGTAATGTTGAGGCTGCAGGTATCCTATACTTTCCATTCCATCAGCAAATCCCATAAAAAGACCAAAACAATCAATGAATTGATCCTATAATAACAAGTACTGTATGTGTATTCAAAGCCTGATGTATTGTATTATTCTGCGCAATAGAGCTCCAATATCTAAAAACTGGGTGACATGTTCCTTCATTACCATGAACACTCACACTGTTCTTTATTTTGACTCAATTCCAATTACAACATCCTGCTCTCTGAAACACTCACACAATCTGAATGCCCCACTCCCTCCTGTTTGAGTGACATTCTCTTGAAACTGCAGGGCCAAGCTCTTTTAGAAATCTTTTTTTTATATAAAACTATATATTTGTGATTTGTGAAATTGAAGTCTTTAGGCATTAAAAGTTGTTGGGAGTACCACAGATTGTTCACAATAAGAAACATAGAAAATAACGTCAGCCTTATTCTTACTATCCAATTGTCTTATTCAAAGACACGTATACAAAGTCGTAATGAATAGAGAAGAGAACATTCCTCTCGCTTTACTCTAAACCATTCTTTCATTTGGGAATGAACTAAACGAAACATTATAAAAACACTTGAATTATTCCAAGTTGATTTATATATATATAATTTGACAGTCAGAGTGCAGGCCTGTCTCTGGCAGCCTCTCTCTGGTGTCAATGCATTCACCACCTATAACGAGACCTGCCACAACAAGTCTGACAGGAAAAACGAAATACCAGCGAGCATATGGTGTAATTTATCAGTCAAAGGAAATTACAATGCTCGTGCCTTTTTAGGTCTGATGGGAGTGAATGGCGCAGAGGAGGGAGCTCCCTTTGCATGAGTTAAGATTTGTAATCAAGCTGTTGATGATGTTAGTACGCTCACATCGGGGTCAAAGGCAAAAAGGAGCTGCAAGCTCAGACGGATCCCTTGTCCCTCCCACACTGTGCAATGTTTATGAACCCTGTCAAGTACAAATCAAGTGCAGAGAACACAGAAACGTAATGCAGTAGTCTCTCTAGCAACCCTTTTTTCAACCAGATTATTTATTACAAAGCTTTTTCAAGGATGCAGCAGCCTGAGTTCAAAACAAGCATCTTCCTCTGTCCTCAATCTGTATGTGTACATCTGTCTATGGGTTCCTCCTCTGGCCTGAGAGGTGTGCTGTGGCCCAGCTACTACTACTAACTATATAGCACACTCAAAAATCAAGCATTATTTGGCACTGTTTGAGGTATAGTTTACTTTTACACTGTGAACACACTACATACTCAACATACATACAAACTTATTTATTTAATTATTTTAACTTAAAGCTACAGCATATATGGGGGCTTTTACTTACTCTGTCAGGGGTCCTTGGGCCTGGTTCCTGAGCTCTCTGTATTTCCTCCAGTGGGGCATCTCTGTACGGACCGGGTGTCTCCCCTCCTGCCTCAGCACCTGCTCTATCAGCTCGGCGCTGGCCACGTTCACCACAACCAGAGGGCCGTACTTTGACTTCCACAGAGGGCCATAGATCTTACGGTGCTCAATCTTTGAGAAAACAGAGTGAATTATTTATTGTACTAAAGAGACATTTAGTTGCCTACTGGAATAAATAAAAATATCAACAGTCGAGACTTTCAGCTGTGATGTGTGTAATATATCAATTCACATATGATTATAAGCATAAAGCGTTAGTTGGTTGAAAAATAAACATTTGTTACTTCCTTCTATAACAACGAAGGACGTCTCTGTTACTAAAACCTTTTTTTCCTACTAAATTGTAAAAAATAATGGCAAAAACTGCCGGGGTAGAATGTATTAAATTAGTTTAGATTTTGCTTTGTAATGTAGGCCTATGTGTATTTATGACAGGGTTTTTATGGGCAGCACATGCCAAAATGATGGAAGTGAGCTGACTGAGAACTGTTTCTACTTTGTGCAATAATGAAGGCAGTTAGTGCAACGTCTTTGTTGAAATCATTTATCTGTCACATCTCTCTCAAAAAAGTACCCACATCTAATGCTTTATGTGAAGATGAGGATAGGCTATAATAATAATGTATAAACTGAACGTACAGAAGCCCATGTGTTGAAGTTCCAGCTCATTTCTTAATAACTGTCTTCAATCTTGAGTAGGCTATTTGCCTGGAACAATGTTAAAAAAAAATCCAGGAAGGACCAAGTGGTGTACTAGTTGGGGGTGTTATGTGTACTTTAAGCAGGAATTTATATTCTTATTTTTCTATACAATTTCTAAAAGAACCTGTCAGCCAATTCAACAATTCCAGCTTTGTAAGGGGAGGTAATTTCGCTGTTGTAGTGGTTCTTTGTGTTAGTTTAATGGTGAGATAAGGGACAGACTCCCCTGTACTGTGGTAGAGTCAAGGTTATTTTCAACAGCAGGATATAAAAGGATCTGGTTTCTGTTGCATGAGCACATCCTGCACTGTGAAATAGTTATTACCGCTGGTCAAGTAACCTTATATCATTTATAACTTAAGGAAAATTAAATTGACTTAAAGTCTCCTGTACTGAAAATCCAGCTGCTAAAATGCTTTCATACTCTCCACGCAGACAGTTTCAGTTTTATTTCCTCAGACTATAGATACACATACGTTTCTGAGAATTCTGCCTCCACTCCAAAACAATGGGTGGAATAAAGAGGCATTTAAAATATTCAACAGCACCACTTCTTTCTAGAAACAGTGTCTACTTACACCTCTATGACTGTTCAACTTTCTACTGAAGTACTTATTTGTATGCTTTTTATTTATTGTCATCAGTTACTGTCAATTCTACTTTTCAATTCATGCTTCTTGACTTGCAGGAGGCCTACTTGCTTACATCTTCATGTTTTCCAGTACCATGTTTATTGTTATGCACCAATATCAGGGCCAGTTCCTGGTGTGTGAAAACATACTTGGCAATAAACCTGATTCTGTTCACAGTGAGCTCTGTGGATGATCAGGGGTAACACAGGGGCACTTTTTCTGGAGAGAGATGTAACAGTTGAATTTGTAAAATGTAGCCCGCCAGCAGTGCGAATAAAATGTAAGGTATCTCCATTATACTGGGGTTAAAAAAAAAAAGCTACATCTCAGATGAACAAAATAATGCGCATAAACCCAAAACTGTCTGGTTAGATCGCCTAACACAAGTTTTTTTATAGAATGTGGGGAACTGAGCCTTTACTGAAGGCTATATACACCCTACAGTAGCCTTATTAAACTGGATTAACCTTACAATACAGTGATCGGGTGCACTATAGGTCAGATAAAACACAAACAACCGGATCAACAACACAAGTCTGACTGCACGTACCAGTCCGGTCCACACCAGAGGCACTCCTTCTAATCCCCACTTACTTGCATTTGTTGCGTCGTCTGGAAATAGCCCTTCACAAAGAGCCAGTTCAAGGTGGTCAAAAAACTTGGCCCGCCTAAATCGTCCATAGTTTTCAGTTTGACGTTGTCACCCATCACTGTGGTGGAGGACGCGTCTCGGCGGCGCATCGTGTCCCCGTAATTCACCGTCGCTCTCTGCAGGACCTCATGTTGCGGACGGTTCACTCGCAGTCCGATGTTTAGCAGAGATTTCCTGAACATTTTAACCGCATAAAGGGTCTGTTTTTCTGCGGGGTATGAGGTCCAAACGAGCGAGACGGTCCCAGCCTGTGTCTCTGTGATGTGGACGCTGATAATAATGGCTCCTTGTCTGCAGTGACAGAGCGCCGCAGACCACTTATACCCGATCCTCTGAGCCAACTGGACTTTGATACTGTCATAAACTTCAGTTTGAAAGAGAGCTGCTGGTAATTGACACAGATGATGGCGATCAATACAATATCATGTAATATATGCTGTATAAACACTGTAATAAACCGAGGCTCTGCTGCAGCAGATCAGATCAATGACTACAACAATTTGCTGCTCTTACAACATCCATCATTCCCTCTGTTAACACGTGTTTGGTCTTGTAGTTTGACCTTATTCGGCTTTGTTATGAAAGTTATTTTAAATATTATGGGTTGACTTTCGAGACTCTTTGCCTTGTTTTGTCTAAAAGTTAACCCATTGAATTTAAAGGTTTGTCTCAACTGGGAAGAGTTTGAACATTTCCGACTTTAGCGCCACCATGGGGTAATAACACACCACAGGTTTAGACGGGGAACTGTGTCATTTTCATTCAAATAATAATGACTGCAGTAGGAAGACTTTGAGATATTCCACACATTCTACACAAGTGGATTTAACATTCAAAAGAATAAAATATAAAATGACAAAAAAGTGAGTCGCTGCCAGACTACTGTTGGGATTCATTATCTGTTGAGTTTTTCTAATATTATATTATATTATTATTAGCAAGTTATTTGAGCTGAGCAGGGCCGATGTCTTTTGTAATGTGTATGAAATGACCCTTAAAAATAAGACTACTGCTCAGCATTATGATGCTTCTTTCTATTTCCCTTTTAATGTTTACCTGTAAGCCACCTCTGTAAAATAGATGTGGGGACAAAATACAATCAATTCTTTTTTCAAATCATGATCTTTAGGGACCTTGTTACTCCATAAGCAGGTTGTATAAATGCTTCTACCAATCAGAGAGGCCACTCATTTCATTCTGTAATTACAAAATCCAAACATTGTAGACTTTAGTGTTAAATGTTTTCATGCATTGTAAAGTGGGCAGTGAAGGTATCGAATGACAGACTACAGTTTAGTACAGTTTAAGGGTATCTAATTTCAGTTGATGGTAGATGTTCAAGGAGATAAAGTTCCTTTCTTTTTGAATGACGCACTAACACACTCACTACCAAATAAAACCCCACAGCTTTTAGTGTTCCCTCAGTTCACAGAAAGACAGCTTGTTCTGTTGCACATTGACCTACAAGTTCATATTAGCAAATACTTTAGTATATTACAGTATATGTTTGGCATATGTGTCAACCTACATAACAGTTTTACTACTGGAGAGGAATCTCTGTTTTTATCATAACTGACAAATCTTTGAAACATTGTAAATTCACACCAGCACTGTTTGATTTTAGACAGGCTATTTGTAATGTATAAATTGATGAACTATTAACCCAACCACAAAATATCATTAAACGTTTTGTTAACTATAAGACAGAACTATAATCAGTTAAGGCTCACCCAAACTGACTCCAACTGGCAACGTTGGTAGGATTATTGATTGTGTATGCAGATGTGTGTATGTGCATATGCTGTCAATCATTCAGTCTACACCATGAGAGACTTTCAACCAAAACCACTCAGCTGTTGACATCCTGGAAGACTCTCACAGCTGTCACTTCCTCTGTTTGTCAGGGAGTGCTCTTGAAGCGTAGGGCAGTGTGGGTGTTGGGGTAATGTAACTTTTGTAAATCAGCTGACTTACCTTGGTGCTTTACTTTTTAATTCAATTGTAACAACAGCCATCTGACACAGGTTTTGGGTTGCATTTAGCTCTGACCTTCCCCAATACAAAATATACCTGTGTGTCACAGTTTTTCTCAGTTGTTTACAGTTGTTTTTTGAAAGCATAGCTCATTTTCTCAGAACCTTTCACCCCAAAAAACACATGCCTTCAGAATAACATGCTTTTGATTTAATGATTTTACATGCCTAAATATGTTTTTTGTAGTCTACAGACTACTTCTAGTTCCTTAAATGTTAGACTCACTCTCTCTGTTGAATTATTATTTTGTAGTGTCCCAGCCTTTACCCAATGAATTTGACCTCATATTATTTTTTCTGAACTCTATCTGCCTGTATCTGAAAACCTTTCCTGGCTTCACTTTATCACATTTTGTATCATATCTGCACGACGAAGCTGTAGACGAATACCTATAAGCATCTTAGTTTCCTGTCAAAGTGTAGTGTTTTTTTCCAAATAGATCCTCCTAAATGTTACACACTGGACCTTTAAGTAATGTCAGACTCAGGCATGACTAGCATTTATTTAGCCTTTATTAGCACCAGCACTGTTTAATGATTGCTATTAGCACTGTCATTGTGCTCGAACAACTGAGACTTTCAGCTCTATTTAGCCCAGAAAAGAGACCTTTAATCCAGCCAGTTTGAAGATGTATATCTTGGCACTACATTGTTTTGTTTGTTTTTTGTTCTTATTGTAATAGTAGTCTATATATGGTATATCTAAGGTATTGATCAGATAATGTACCCTAAAGAAAAAGAACAAAACCATTCAGGTTATGTGTTTCTGTGAGTAATTTAATTTTACAGCTATATTATTTTGTAGTTTTGTTTTTACAGCACAATGACCCTGATGTACTGTAACGACTGTATCTGTGGAGGTTTGAGAGCCGTTGTTTGTTGACACGCAACAATTATTTTACTATAGCTGAATAGCCGAATTGATACATTTCATCAAGTTGCCGATGGAAACGCAAATAAAACCCAACCCTGAACACAAATTTACAGAGCCCCTAAGGCAAAGAAATTACTTTAAAAATCTGTTATTAATCATGTGATTATCAAAGGGAAACTCAGACAAGAAAAACAGGACTGGCAGCAGCCGTTCTGCACCAGAAGCACTCTGCGTGATGACAGGGAACACGGTGTAACAGTAGACTGCACTGCCATCCAAAGTCAGTATATTTTTATTCATAAGAAGTACTCCACCCTAAAACGTGTTCTTTGAGCTGTAAACTGAATTATATGACTATACTGTGATGAAACACATCACTGCAAGTGTTAGAATTTTAGATTAGTACCAAATTAATAAAATCTGCATTTTGTTGGTTACAATCTCTCAATCAGCCCTAATGCTGCACAAATGCTGGGGCGACTCTTAGTCATAACATATAAAAAACAGTGTTAACGCCCTCTAATCAGAGGAGGGCAGCCCACCTCCCCGAGCCTTCGCTTTGAGTGGGAGTCTGTAAAATTGCAGCTATACTTATTGAGATGTATCATTCACAGGAGTTTATGCTAGTTGTTGCTAACCTTAGTATTTTTCCATTCTGGCTCAGTGGTTCATGCTTTAGACAGCTGTAGAAACACCACTGGACTGCAGTGTTTACCTTGATCCCACACACTGACAGTCCCCCCAACACACACACATACCGGAGACTTAGCCTCTCTGAACTGCTACAACATAGCCGTTAGCTTAGCAACAACACACGTACCACCATGATCTGTGGAACACATTTCAAATTGGTGGGGCGCATCAGCACCAAAGTGTCACGGAGAAGGGCAGCGCCAAGCCACCAGTTTTCAATGGGAAATGTTTAGTTTACATCACATGACACAATTAGCCAATATATTTTTAGACAGCAGAATATATTGCTTTTGCACAGTCTGTGGTCACAGAGTATGATATATATATGGCTACCATAGATTGTATGATTAAAAAAGTGGCTACCGAAGAATTTATTTGATTTTTTTTACATGTTTGATGTTCAAAAGTAGATAGGGCTCGGGCCCTACCAGGTCCGTGGTCCTTGGGTACAGAAACTTGTAGGGGGGGGCTAAAAACTCTATTGGACTCTGTGTTTGCAGTGCGGGCAGCTGCTCATTAGCTCAGACTGACAGCTCGCTGTTTCTGCTGTGCTGCTGTGGTCAGTCTGTCAGCCAGTTGATGTTGAGCCAATAAATTTCCTCTGCAGATCTCAGATACATTTTTGGGATTTGCTGAGAGCGAGGGAGCGAGTAGAACTGAAAGGTGTAGTTATATTTTAATATATTCATGTAATTCTTTATAAACAATATGACATCACTCTAATTAAGTCATTTCAATCAGCTCTGTGTTCTCAACTTCAATTAAAGGTTGCCATGGTGATGATTTAAAAAAAAGGTTAAATAATACCTAAAATATAAAAAAATAATAATTTTAAAGTTTGAAACACTGACAGTATATATAATGCACAGTATTATTAGGGTCAGTGAAGTGAAGCCAACGTGGAAATGTCTTAAACCTGCACTTTATGTAAAGGCCAACAGGGGGCAGCTCCATTGGCTGCAATAAAAAACTATACCATGCACTCTAATGGAGAAATCACCTGACATCTCACATCATTTATTAGCTCAGTTTCCTAATGAGTTTATGGTCTCAATCGCTAGTTTGAAGTCTGCTTACATACATTATGGTGTTCATTTAGTAAATTACGGTCCAACTTAGAGTAAAATAGATGATAAGGCAGGGTAAACTTTTGGGACGTGGCTACCTTGTGATCGACAAGTCATTGTCAGTGAGTCTGTTCAGCACACTACTCGAAACTTAGATTAAACTGTTAAACTAGGCAGTGCTGAACAAATATGAAGCAAGATTCTGTTACTGCATTGTCTTTTTCTCACATAAAATCGTTCCATAAACATATTTTAGGGTGCCATTGTTTCTGCTATGGACGAGTCGAAACTGTGCAGCCAGTGAAAGTATGCTCAGAAAGTATGAATGAGTATCAAAGAGTTGAAGATTAATGAAAAATTGGGAAGTTCAAACTTTCCGTCCGTAACTGCTAGAAAGTGCTCATAACACAGGGCTAATTTACTGTCTATCATGTGTGATGTTATTTGAGTTGTTTTCTCGGTCGTAACAAAAGTAACTACACTCATTTGCTGGTTACTGTTTAGTTCTGGAGAGACTGCACATACCTTTCAATAATATTAAAAATTAAATGTTCCATCTTTCAATCACTGACAGTCCAACAAGGGCTGTGTATTCATGAGCTATTTAGCATCGACCATTTATGTATAACTGTGGGAAAACAAGTAGCACTTTAAAAAAAAAAAAATCTAACATTTATTTGCAACATTAAAAATAACTAATAATAAAGAAATTAACCCAAAGTGTCAGTAACTAAAATATCCCAATAAACATTGTTTATATCTCATTCTTAACTCCAATACTAACCATTTCAATCAATATTTAGTGCAATGATGTTCTTTACCTCTCATAGATCATGATTTAATGAGGATAATTCACTCATTTTTCATGAAAAATAATTTTTTCGGTATGAAACTTCTTCTGCTTGGCTTAATAAGTGTCATCACCATATAAAATGAAAATGGTTTATTTCATTTGCAACCCTATTTATATAACATGGCAGTCAAAGTGGAGGCTCATAGGGGTCAGAAGTGTCATAGACTATTTGTTTCTTTGTAACTGTGAGACACATTTCACCCCAATCACACACACACACACACACGAACACACACACACACATGCACACACACGAACACACACACACACACACACACACACACACACACACACACACACACACACACACACACACACGTACCCTCTCCCTATTCTCTTGACCCCATCTCTAAAGTGGAGAATGCAGGTGTGGTTCCAAAAGTCCCTTTTGAATGTGTTACTTGGAGGAATAGGAATATCAGTTTATGCATTTTGTTCATCATCAGAATCATCAGAGGCTGAACCTCTTCTGTTTCCGTGGGCAAACTCTGAAACTCATCTTTGATCACGAGAATGAAATAGCAGAAGATGAAGACCATCTTGAGGTCAATTCTGAGTCTGGTGATTCTGATGATGAACAAAATGAAGAAACTGCTATTCCTGTACCTCCAAGCAACACATTTAAAAGTGACTTTTTGCTGGAACCACACCTGCATTCTCGCACTTTACAGATGGGGTCAAGAGAATAGGGAGAGGGTGTGTGTGTGTGTGTGTGTGTGTGTGTGTGTGTGTGTGTAGGTGTGCGTGTGTATGCGTGTGTGTGTGTGTGTGTGTGTGTGTGTGTGTGTGCACGCGTGTGTGTGTGTGTGTGTGATTGGGGTGAAATACGTCTCAAGGTAGCAAAGAAACAAGTAGTACATGACACGTCTGACCCCTTTTTGTCTCCATTTGACATAACAGAAGGGTTAACAATAACAATAACAATAACAATAACAATAACAATAATCAAGGTCTTTCAGTTGGCCTTCTTTAAGATCTTGTCCAGCGCCCGCCTTTCTCTCTCAGGGACGATCTTTTTCCACAGGTTTGTAAAGTCCTTGTGGAGGGCAAGTTCATGGAGCATCGTTTGTCCATGTTGCCTGTGGAGGAACGTGTTTTTCATTTAGCTCAATGTTCAGAAAAATAAACCATCGAGAGCTACATATCACAAGATTGGGCAAAATTGTGCACTAAATTTATAGAACTCGATAACCCACCTTACTTCCGGAGCAGCATCCACGGACATTTTGGAGACAGCAGTAAGGAAGCGCGCAGTGAAGGTCCTCCCTGCTGTCACAATGTGAGCCGCACCTAGGCTGTCAGCCAGCAGGTGCAGGTGTTGTGCTGTGCTCCGTCTTACTGCAACACAACGGTGGCTGAGGGAGGACAAAGACAGGGGAGTATGAGACAAACAAGTCAAGTATGTTTCATGTCAGTTTACGTTACTTTGTTTTAACAGTATATTATAAAATGAAATCTCTTCACTTACCTCAGTCCTGCGTTCAACAGAGCGCTCACAACCCGACCATGGCTGCAGTTCTGCACCATGGCATCGAGTGCAAGATTAGCCTGCTGATGAATAAAGGTGTTGGTGGTCTGCGCCAGTTTCAACAGCAGAGCTCGACCTGTCCTTTCTGCCTCTGGGTCCATGGCCTTCTGCAAATGAACATGAAGCTGAGCTACGGTGTTCATAGCTGCACATGACACTGCCGACCGTAGGTTTTTCACCTGTACAGTGAGAATAAACATCATCAGTCAAGACTGCAGTGTGCTCAGCAAATGAGAATGTATTAAAAACAAAGAGGAAAACAAAGGTTTAAAGAGGAAAGTGTGTACAATACCTCCTGAGTGACAACCAGACACACTTCATGAAGTTTGGTCTTCAAGGTCTCTGAGTGGTGCTGCGCCAGAGCTTGCATTGTTTTCAAGCCGTTTATTTTCTTCATCCTGTATGTTTATGCGACAAGAATGCATTAACCACACTGTGCAACACTTCAGGAAGAACACAAATAGTCCTAACACGCATGCACTTTAAACTGCTACTGCAAATGTCCCCCAGTGTAAATCTAAAGCATAATAAAGTACAATTTTTTTGCTACACTAAGATGTTACACCAACTGACATAAGTTACAGTTCACAATATATTCACTGGAGTGTAAAATATCTTTTGGAAGGGTGTGTTGGTGTAAAACTGATGTGTATGGTGTCAAACTAACTAGCTGTAACTCCCTGACTCAAGATCAAGTGTTCACTAAGCTGGTAGTCCTCTAGTGTCAGTGTCTTACCAGTCATCTGAAGAGAGCAGCTGGAAGAAGAGTGACAGGCTTTGCAGAGGGTTGGTCAATGGCTGCAGCTCAACCTTTTTTTTATTTGCTGTCTGCGGCCTGCAGTCACTGGCTGTCTTCTTGCCTGGTAAACGACAAAATACTCTTAAGTCACCTTTATTTCATTCAAAGCATTGTGACTTAGCGTAGCTATTATAAGTCTTTACAAAACCTATGAAAAAGTAGTAACTACTATCATTCATGATGGGTACAGAAGTACTCACTGGCAGCTTTTGCAGGGCGTAGCAACATCCCAGGTCTAGTTACTCTTCTCTTAGTTTGAGAAACGTCTGGAGGGATTGGGGCCAAAGGCGTTACTACAGGGGTCCTCTTGGCAGCCGTTGGGGGTCGAGGGGAAGGGACAGAGTTGAGCCAGAATTTCACTGTAGCCTCAACATGATTCTGAACCAACTGGAGCTTATATCCATCGACCTTCTTTTCTGCTGAGATTAATGGCAAAATAGGCATCAATTTTTACTGTACTTTTGCTAAAATTAAGTTCAATGGTTTGCGACTCCAACAGACCCAAAAACCCAAAAGAAGCAGTAGGAGTCCCCACAAAAGAAATCCGTCCCCATTCAACAGTAGGTCTTTAAAGAAACTTACCTGCTACTCTGAGTTTAGCAGACAACACAGGTAGACGAGACACTCTACTCCTGTGTAGTGGAACTGCTTGAGGAGGAGGAGTTGGCTTCAGTGTTGGAAACTCAACAGGGTTTCCAATCAGAGAAATGGCCCTCAGCTCTCTGGGTGTGTCAGTTTCGACAGAGCTCCACACAGAAGTGACGGAAGATGTTGGGCTCCGGTCTCTGTCTGCAATCTGGGCCTCCTTACATGCCTGTGCTGCCACCTGACTGCCAAGACGAACCTTGTCCCAGAAGGAGTCGTTGTCCTCTTTTGAAAGTTCAGGACTGTTCTGCTTTTGGTTGATGTCCTTTACAACCAAGAGAGGCCCATCTAAAATGGGGCAGAACCTCCTTCCTTGCCGATATCGCAGGGATTGCACAGGGGACTTTGCACTTTGTCTGGGAACAGGTGGCGGATGAAGTGAATGCCGGGCGACATCCTGAACAGAGAGTCCCAGTCTGTCCAGAACAGCTTTACTTTGGGCTTGTCGCACAGCAAACAGACTTTCTGCGCCTTGACTTAACGCAGCCTTCTGCATCTCCAGGATCTTGGACTCGCTGGTGAAGAAGCCATCAGGGTTCTTCCGGCTTACAGTTTGCTGTGGACAAGTACAACAAAATAACTGAGTAACTTATAATACCTATGACTCTTCTAAGATGTCAGAGAAGTTTTTATAGCAATCAACTGCTCTGTATGTGTCTGTGAAAGACCTTTAGACATGAACACAAGGAAAGTAAGAGATCAGTAGAGTTGGTTACTTACATCACCGTCGTCACACTGGGCCTGCTTCCAGAGTCGAGGGAAGACGTTAAATTTCTTTTGCTTATCCATAACTTTGAGAATAACACTACTAAATTGTTCACACAGGGAAACAACTTTGTTTTCACACTGACTGTCTCTCAGATCAGATCGATATGTGACTGACTGGTGCAGGGTTCTACAGTTAGTACAGGGACATCTAGAATGGAACCAAAGAACCCAGGATCATTCCATACTGAATTCTGTATTCTGTATTCCGTGTGTGTCACTGATGACATATATATACATTCATCAATATTATATTTGGAGAATGCGTCTTATATTTTATCTCAAAAAGCGGTTCAAATTGAAAAACAGGAGCAATCCTGATCCAGTCTCACTTCCCACTCTCCTCTGCATATATTCAACTCTCACATTCATTTCCCCTCTCTCTTCACCTGATCCCTCTGGAAATCCTCGAGTATGTCATCCCCAATCTTGATTCTGATGACTGTTTAACCACATTTGATTAGTTTGAATCTGACATTTATTTATTTATTTTTCTGGTAGAAAATGTATTCCTATACTTAACATGAGCTCTCTCACTGTAATGGGGCCTTAATGAGTTATATTTCTGCTACTACAGAAAACCACTGCTGCTGCCAGAAGTACTTTACTTCCCTTATCCCCAGTTATCAGTCATAACAAAGTACTGTGGGTATTTCATGTCTGGAAGCAGCAAACACTTTGAAATCAGACAATTGCTGCCAAAGTCAGTGATCAACAATATTGTCTTCACTCTACATCCCTCCACAGTACATCATTCAGCATCCCTTCACACTGATAACGACACCTATTTTCAAAAGTGCAGTTATCAGCATGAAAAGTCACTGAATACTATATGTATACTAAATAAACATAATAATAATAATAATAATAATAATAATAATGCGTTTTTGATAATATATGTATTGATTTCTACAAAATGAGTAGATATTTATGGAGGACACATTCACCAAAGGTGTCAATATAAACGGCCACGGCACACCTGTGGACACAGAAATAAACTGAAATTTCAGCTAAAGCAAAATAATCGTCTGTCAACAAACAACAGCTCTCAACCCTCCACAGATACAGAACATCAGGATCATTGCGCTGGGTGCAAGAAAAACATAACTCCAAAATAATATATTAGTCATTTTAGTCCTCTCTGCAGTGGCCCAGGGTTCCACTCTGACCTGTGTCCCTTTGCTGCGTGTCAGCATTAGCTTGTTAGAATATATGGGCGATTACAAAATGTTGTGATGATCTAACCAGCAGATAAAAGTGATGTTGGTCAGAGAAACAAACCATCATTATGATTCTCTTTGTAAAGAGCCCATTGTATGCTGCTCTAGTTTGGTTGTACTCTCTGCCTTGCCTCCCTCAATGTCAGATCATGGCTGACCATCATCAGATATGGCTCTGCTTGGCCGTGCTCTTACTCTCTCTCCTATGTTGGCATCCATTGCTCCAACACAGAGCTCATCTGTGTTCAGCATTTTGAATGACAGTGTGTTCCATGTTATTGATGAAGACTGAGTTAAATGTAGAGAACTTGTGTGTAGTGTTTTGGAAAAAGTGTGATTTAGTACAAAGCAGGAAATGCGGTTGTATTTCAGCAGAACTGGTTCAGGTGGTTGGTGCATGAGTTACAGGTTGTCTCAAATATCAGTGTTAGTGTGTGAACAGTTGAGAAAAACTACATGGGAGATGGTAAAACATTAGGTACAGCTCACTAGAGGTGCTGAAATTAATCAAATAATCGATGCATCACGATGCAGACATGGACGATGCTGCATCGATGCAGTGGCCGACCATAATCGATTATAACGCAATGATGTCGCTCGTTCATTTTCCGAAAATTAAATTATGAAAAATAACATTCTCAGTAGCCTAACCCGTTTCATCTAGACCAGTACTTTAAATAGTGGGGCGCGACAGGCAGGGGGGACTGACGGGGGGGGAGATGGAGAAGTTTCTGACAGGAGTAAAAAGAAAAACGGGGGCGTCGAGAACAGCAAGTGACGGTAACCGGCATAAACCTAATAAGAGCAGGAAATACGATGAAGCCTACATAGCCTTTAAGTTTACCGTGAATACGGTTCGGGAATGAGGAAAGACCTGTGTGTGTTTTACGTTTAAAAACTCTGGCAGCGGACAGCATGAAACCAAACAAATTAAGACGGCACCTGGAGACCTTACACCCCAGTTATGTCAATAAGTCACTGGACTTCTTTCACCGGATACTCGATGAGTATGGCCAACAGGCCGGTCATTTAGTGAGCGCGGCATCAGTAAATAAAAACGCACCGTTAGCCTCGTACAAACACCGCCACATCACAAGGTGCAAAAAAACATCACACAATAGCAGAGCAGCTAATACTCTGGCAGCATTGGACATGGTCACAATCATAGGTGAGAAAAGTGCTGAGACACTGAATACTGTCCCTCTTTCCAATGACACGATCGGGAGACGTGTGTGTGTGTGTGTGTGTGTGTGTGTGCTGTCTGCTGTGTTCAGACTGTTAAATAAAAAAGATTGTTCATATCTTACTACTTATTTTTGAATGAAAACAACCATATGAAGTAATATGGAAAACTGTATTATATTGAACTATACAGTATCTTAATGCATTCCGTCAAGTCAAATATCTTATATGGCTTTAATAGAAAAATTTATTTGAAGCATCGTGATGCATCGAGGAATCGAATCGAATCGCTGATGTGATAATCGTAATCGAATCGAATCGGGAGATCAGTAACAGTTCACACCTCTACAGCTCACTGGAGTCACAACTCTGAGGTGTGGCAGTTGTTTAGTCTGTAGGGACGTGTTAAATAGACTGCAGTAGTTAGAATATAAAGGTGTACTGTTTCCACTGCCCTCTACATCCAGTAAATAAAAAAGTGCTTTCAGATATGTGGTGTGTGTGTGTGTGTGTATATATATATATATATATATATATATATATATATGATATGTTCAACAACCCCCCGCCCCCCCTTTGGTTTTTCTGTATCGGTAAGATGGATACAACCTTAGTGAGGAAGCAAAGCGGATGAAAGGAAGGAAGAGTGCGTGGGTTCCTGCTGTGACCTGACAAGATCTCAGGGTCACTGAAACAAATGAGGTGAATTGATTTTTTTTGAAGAGCCAGTACGTGTAGAACTTTCTGGTTTGATCACTTCTTGATGTGGCAGTAGCAAGTTGCAAATTTTACCATGACTGGAACAGTATCATTTTTGTTCAAACATAAATGCACTGTGTGATCAGAATAACTTAAGGGATGTTAATCACATACATTTTACAGAGTCGCACACAAATGGTATATACGAATAATAAATGCAAAAGCACAAACTGTTAAAATCTTTATTTTTCTACAAAGAAATTTCTCTCAAATAGTTTACAAATGATGCCCCGAGGCCACCGCTCTCCTTAAGGCTAAACTTATTACTGACTTCTCAAATTCAAAAACATCTTCATCTCAGTCTCTCACGGTCGCAGTCAGCTGGGATGCCAAAGAAATGCTGGAACACAAACAGCAGCTTCCTGTATGCTGAGACAGCTCAGCAGTGATATGGGACTTGTGACAAAACAAGAAGATGGCCTACGTTATAACTGGCTGAGGCAAATTTCAAAAAGGCACACACAGTTTTGTAAGACTCACATTGAGGTGCAGTATCAAAGCATCTGGCTTGTTACGCAATACAGTTCATACTAACTTGCACTTCCAATTGCTTGGCTATTAAAATATATATAAAATATATTAAGCAATTCACTGTTGGTCGAGTATATTTTGAAATATAAATAATTAATTTGATTCAAGTATTGCAGGTTTAAAGCTAAAAAGCATGACCCTAACTGAGTCGACTGAATTCTAGAGCACTACTTCGCCAGAAATCAGACCCACTTCTTAACTGAAATATCACGACATGGTTTTAGAGACATCTTAATTCTTAAAGCTGCAATCATCAATATTTTAACATTAATAATGAATACAATGCAATGTAAAAGGGGCCTCTTGTAGTCATGGCGCTACAGATGATTATACCCAACGTTGTCCTTCCACTCTACAGAGTATTTTAGCGTCTTTCAGCTCATTGTTTTGTTTTTCTAGTCTACAAACAACACTCATCAACCCTGTTCTGTCAGAAAACTGATAAATCCACTGTGTGCTGCCCACTCAGTATCACATGGCAGTCGGAAAAAGTTAGCAACTACCTGGAGAACACAGTGGATTATGTGGCACCTAAAGAACCAGTAAGTATTTCTCAGGGGTTGGTGAAGACCAAAGCAGAGCTAAAAAGGAGAGCGAATATTGGACTTGCATTTTCCAGGTTGCAAGAAAGACAACTACAAATGAATGATAGCGTTTATCTGTGACTCGGTGTGTAAATTAACTGTTTGCTACGACTTTTGCAATAACACATTTCTAAGGGGAAAATACATCAATGTGAGGTTTTCGGCTTGTTCCGCTGCCCCAAGTGCCCACAAAGTAAATGTAATTAATGCAGCTTTAAATGAAAATATGTTGTTATCCTGCAGCTGGGTTTTAGTAATCCACAGCAAAAAGCCTCTACAGCTAACTTTATAATAACTATGAGACAAAAGCAGAAGGCTCCATCATATCACTGTGGCTCATCCTAAAAAAAAAAGTCTAATTTCTGTTATGACAGATTAATGTCTCCAATCAGAAACTAATGCAGCAGAACTGAAGCTATTAACTGACATCTGACCTAAGGCACAACAACAGTTCCTAATATTGCTAAGCTCATATGCAGAAACTCCAGTGGTGATTGAAGAAGACTGACTGGTGGGCATCCATCTACACTACACTAAGACCACTGTCACTCTCTGATCCTCTGATATGCTTGGTCAGTTTAACCACACATCTGCATCCAGTGAGATGAAACATTATGGATAGTTTGTCAAAATTTACTGCTTCTCTAACCAACCACACCACGTCTCTCTGAACTAAGGCATCTGTTTAACATGCAGACTTCACACTCAAAAAATAGAAGAAAAAAAAAAAAAAGATCATGAAGCAAGAAATGTTACATAAAATTTGAAGTTTGTTGGCAGAGAAGCAACAAATTATATTCGCTAGCAGAACTGTGGATATGTAGAGAAGACAGTTCCAAATTAAAGGAGGCAAGACACTAACAGGTCTGTGCCCGGTTCCTTTACTCCTCACTGAAAATCCTCCTGATGTCCGCAGACAGACAGTTCAGTCACTTTCACTGCCTGATTCACTCAGCTGAAGGTCATTCTCTGCAAAGTAGATGGTAAAACAAACAATTCTTTTAAAGAATGATTACATTATGTATCAAATTACAATTGAGTCCCCTTTGTACAAATTCTTCATTATTTTATTGTTGTTATGTTTTACTGGGATCTCTTTATCATTTCTGTCTGTTATTTTACAGTTGGGTTTGTATAATAATACTCTGTAAAGGACTTTGTAACTTGTACAAACAGAAATACATACAGATGGGGGTTTTTAAGCTGTACCCTTAATTATATGACTATACTGTGATAAAACGCATCAATGCAGTTGTTAAAATTAACATTTTTACTAAATTTATGAAAATCTGCATTTTGTGGGTTAAAGAAGTCTCAACACGCCCTCTACTGTTTTAAATTACCCTGTTTGTTCTAAGACAAATGCTGGGATAGAGTTAACCATTTGGGCCGACTCCACGTCACAACATTTATATTAAAAAAACAGCGTTAAGAGCAGCCCACCTCACGCACCCCCACTTTTAGTCGAAGTCTGAAACAGCAGCACTCCCTTTTCAAATGTGCACTGATGGAGACGCATCATTCACAGGAGTTAATGCTAGTTTTTGCTAACCCTCTACTTTAGTTTTTTTTATTCTGGTGAGCGGTTCGGACTTGTGCTTTAGACGGCTGTAGAAACACCACCTGAATGCAGTGTTTACCTTCATCTGACACACTCTCTTCTCCTCTACCAACATCATGTCCCTCTGAACCAGGGCCTCACTCTAGCATTCTTACTGTCCAGGGAAAATGGTCATGACGCAATAACATATTCATTTGAGTGAAACAGAGTTCCTTCTGCTTTCATAGTTTTGCTGACACAGTCAAACCTATCTGTGACTTAAGAGCAACAGACTGATTTCCTCTTCTATGTAAAAATAAGAAAATATGGAGTGCTCAAAGAGAATTAAAGCTACTTTAAGTACTCAGACGCGACTGAGAACCTGAGGGCTACTCACTGAGTGTGTTCATGAGTCCTCCTCCACTCTCCTGGTGGCGACTGGTGGTGGTGGTGTTGGTGCTGGTGTTGATGATAGGCATGCTGTGGTTGGCCGGGGCGGAGGGTGGCGCAGCAGTCCGTTCGTCCTCGGAGTCACTGCTGCTGGAGCTGTCATCACTGCTAGAGGACGAGGAGCTGTTGGAGTCTGAGGAGCTGTCGCCGCTGCTCAGCTGGTCCATGACCCGCGCCTCTGCCATCAACTCTGTACACAGTTGCATATGCACAAACAGATAAAGAAATGTGTTACAATTATCAACATTTATGGAAAAGAGTGCAAATTAAATAAAACCAAGGAGTGAAATACAGTCACTGACCTGAGCAGCATAACAATTTAACCCACTTGCACTTTACCCTAACCCTAACCCTAGATATGAAGGCTTATGAAGGTCCCTATAGTTGAAGACACTGCGCCTGACACCACGTTACCTCTCTCGATGTCATCCATGGGGGATGCCGGGGCCGGGGATGTCTTCTCTTTGGGAGGGGAACTCTTGGAGCTGGCTGAGGTCTTGTTACTGCTGCTGCCGTTGTTACTCTTTATCTGCTGGCTGAGGCGACTGGTCTGTTGTTCCAGGCGAGAATGGATCTTACTGCTGCCTTCAGCCCTGGAAATGCACATGTACAATACAAGAAAAAAAATGTAGAATGTTTCTGTTAAAATGTGGCCCATGTTTAAAACAAACTTCTGAAATATCTGTAAAATAAAATGTGAACTGGAGCATGTTTATATTAGTTCCCTTTAAAATAATATATATATATATATATATATATATATATATATATATATATATATATGTTGCAGAACAATTTTTAATGGCATAACTGCAGATTAAAACAAGCATATATATACATTTGATGAAGAAATATGGAACAAAAAGAATAACAGTAACATTATTTGATGGCCATTTTTCTACCCACCTGGTCTTCTTCACAGCTATATTGCTGTTGAGTTTTTCCAGTCGGTACTCTCCTGTGTCATGGTTCACAATGAGGATGCACTCTTTCATGTACGGCCTCTTGGATCCCTTGAAGACTGTTACTGGAGCGCTTGAGCCCTAAAATACGAATTAAATTTAAAAAATAAATAAAAACAAAACAGACCACACAAGCAGGAGCCACAATAGTGTGGACATGAGCCCCCCTCCCCCCAGAGAGTTTCGACCAGACAATAAAGTTTTAATACATGGATTTTTCAATACCATTATTGACTGTTAACTGGTCAATCAAACAGTCTGCTCATTACAAGCTGTTTGTGGCGCCTTTCTCGCTGGAGGAATAAAATTCTGGTTGGAAAATAATCAATAATTTCTTTATTTACTCACAAACCAAAAAGTAGTCAAATAAAGTTTAAAACAATACTTCAATCGGTCCATCAGAGTAGTCAGACCCAAAAAGATGTATATTATTCACCAAAAACACATTTCTGGTAACTTAGAGATAAGCTTTGGATCATCAAACACTAACCTCTAAGTTGGGTAAAGTAATAGTGACTTGCTCTCCTTTGCCCACTTCAAGCTCTCCTTCACACGTTGTATCAATGGAGGCTGGTTTGAAGTCATCTGTGACAAAAAAATATATGTATATTTGCACATATTATACACATATAAATATATATTATACGCTCAATATTAACCAGACAGTATCATTATACTTAAATATTAAACAAACAGGACGAGGGTTGGTCCCTCAGAGCTGCAGTAGTCTGCCGGTACCACCAGGTGGTGGTAGTGAGCAGATTGATGCAATGCTAACATTAGCCAACATTTTGACAGCTGGAGCATCAATGGTTTCTAATAGTTCAGAGTTAACGAAGTTACGGAAACGACAAAGAACATAGAGTACATTCAAAGCACTAAAACATCTCAACAGCAGGCGGATACAAATTGACTGGCGATGCGGCTAACCTGTCTAAATGTCAAACAGCTGCCTTCGGGTGTTTAGCTGTAAAGCTAACTAGCATGCTACTGTTAGCTCCTGTAAAAGCCAGACGTAGCCTAGTGATTCACAATCCCACTTACATCGCACTGTGTGGTAGGCACTTCTAGGGTGTTTCTCAAACGTCTCTCCCAATTTCAGGACATGTTCTTGATTGTCAAAGTTGGAATAAGCTGTCCCATTCATTCTGATAGTTTCATGTAAACTTTCTGCTGTTCCTTTTCATCCGATAACCATGTATGGCAGAGCCCTGAACATTGGTACCGTTAAGTGCCGCCTTCCCTTCGTTGTGATTGGTCGAGAGGACTGGGCCCCTATCTGATTGATTCAACGGCTGTCAATCAGGATTACGTCATTTTCAGGGCATCTGTCCCATGGTTTCTGCTATAGTCAGTATTTTATGACCTGTGCTGTTTGATGTTGTGCTGTACATCCAGTTTATAGTATTGAATTGAATTGAGCCAAACTTTTTTTTATAGTTACTTATTTTTAAGAAAAACTTTAAATAAAAAACGATTTAAATTAATATTATAATAATGATAAGAATATATAAATTCATATTTAAAGTTTTTTTGAATCCTATTTTTAGTCCCTGTTAAACATCTGGCCAGTGTCAACAGATGTAAATGAGCCATAGGCCATCTCATTTATGTTTCTTTTTTGGTATCTTTTCTGTATTTGCGTTGAAATTTGTAATATACTTTTAATTGTTTTATTTTTTTTTATATGATATTTCTTATGTGCTCATTATTACTCACACTTTAGGGCTAGTATTGTTGTTTTTAATGTTTGCTGTTTTCACTTTGTATAGCCCTTTTTTAAAGAAGGGTGCTGCTGTTTAATACAATTTGTTCTGTCTATCATTGAACATATTCCTTCATAAATAAGATAATAAAATCTGAATTAATATCAGTGTCCAGAGCAATATTAGAACGTCCACCCACAGGTCGTAACATTGAGTGACTACCTTATATACTAATATACTGGGCTGAGTTGTAAACCTAATTACTGAATTAGCTAGGGTATCTCGTGTGTAGGTCTTGAAGGTCTGGCAGTGAGAGACTAATCAACTGCTGCAGTAACACTTACTGACTGCAGTTTCAAGCCCCACTAGCTGCAGGGGCTCTGAGCTCCATGAGCCTGGTGGCAGTGAAAATAATCTCTTTTCCTTTCTTTAAACTGTTAATGATTCCTAAGCCTTAAATTCCTGCCCCGTCTGCACTTTACTGCGGCCATATGCTCTGCTGCCTTCAAACATTAAAGGATCAACATCCAAGACAAGTAGAATGTCGAGATTACACGAGTGTATTATCGCCACTTTGTCACAACATGATCTTCCCGTCCACTTACACCGCATGAGGAGATGGTGTGTATATGTGCATGTGTGCAGGTGGGTGGGAGAGTGGTCAGGCATGGAAGAAAAGTGGTTTTAGAAATATTGGGGATCATCTGGAATAGAAACGAAAGAACAGTAATGAACAGACAGTGGGGCTGTGTAACCTTTGACCTCTAGTTTATATAGTGTAATATTCTGAGTAAGGTTCATCAGCTGCAAGAAAATTCAGAGTATAAAGATGTATGAACGTCTTAGAAGAGGACAGCAAAAATTGATAAAACATGACTGGATTATTTCAGGCAATCTTCCTGATTTTAATTGCTGTTTATTCTATGTTAAAGATGCCACTGCCGTGTTAAAAAACAACCAGGATAGATTGCAAAAGGACAGGAATCCTCTTTCACACTATACATATCCCTTGTGAAAAGAAAGCAGCAGGGGTCCGTTTCCATGGATGGAGGTAAACAGTGGCTGTCCTCTGGTGATATCAGTTACTGTGGTTGCCCTTGGACCGTGGGAGGTAAGGTTTACTGTTTCCAAGCAACTATCCGCAAGTTCACAATACTGTGGTCCAGCCACAATAGAGAATTCCCAGGTTGTAAGGTACAGTAGCAGTGGCGAAACAGACAGCCCCTGGTCTGCAGAGAGGAAGTCTGCTCAGTCTATACTCAGCCAAAGTAGACATAACAGCTTGCTAACAATTACAGTTTTATTTGTGAAGTGTGCAAGCTAATAACCACACTACAGATATAATGCTACAGAATGAATTACGTTTTTATGTTTTTTTTGTTACTTTGTCATGCTTTAAATAACATTTGCAATCAGACTTTCAGACCTTCATACCCACAGCAACTAAAGATCTTTGGCTTTAAACTAAGCGAGATGTAACATATGCCTCTGGTTTAATATGCAAATGTATCCTAAATTTAGTTTTTGAGAACATATTTTCAAAACTTTGATAAAAGCTGAATCTTTAAAAAAAAAAAAAAAACTTTTTGGGCTTGTATTGCCTTTAATCAATAGTCATTGCTGAAGAGTGACATGAGAGGTGGGACAGTGAAGGGATGACACGCAACAAAGGGCCACAGGTCAGAGCTGAACCCCTGGCCAGGGACTGAGCCTTACATTGGGGTGCCAGCTCTACCAGGTGAGCTGTCTGGAGTTTCATCACAAACTACTCTAACATGTTCTATAGTTCACCTATATCCTTTCAAATTGTCTTGAATCCACTACTTATAACAGTCTGGTCAAAGTCTTTATTTGCAGTAAGCAGTGTGTACTTTGTGATGCTTTAACTGCGCTCTATCGAACAGTGTTAATATTTTGTCCACAGCATTAAGCTATATGGAAGACCCTTCCAGCAAACATATACAGTATAGTCTCACCCTACAGCCTAATGCAGTCCAATGCAACACCACACATTTAAGCCTTGAGACCAATAGAGTAAAAGCAGCTCCTCTTAAAAATGACGTGATTTACACAAATGGGATTTGTGAAAGAACTGTTTTATTGGATTGGATTAAATAGTGTGGAATATTCTTGGTACATTATTGTAATTATGACAATTTCACAAAGGTATGCTATGCAACTACTAGTCATATAGTCAATATAGTTAAACATTTGTTTCATGGCTTATGTGACTTGGTTGTATAACACTGCCATTTCCTGGTAGCATTACTATAATAAAGTACTACATCACAATGTACAGAGGTTCCTAATTCTGGACACTTTGTGAAGAAAAGAAGATCAGCCAGCAGCTGTAGATGTACACACACACACACACACACACACACACACACACACACACACAGGGCTCAGACTGAATGATGGAGACAGAACACCACCATGATCCGGGATCTCCGCCTTTTGAGGAGGGGGACATATGGGCTGAGTGTGGCCACACACAGCTTTTTTCATCTGAGCCAATCAGGAGCAGAGTAAGAGCGTTTGTCATATGGTTAGTGCTGCCTTCACTTGCTGTCGGAAATAGAAAAACCTCAATGTGAATGTCCCACGAACAATTCAACAACGTGTTGTTGGGTTAAAAGTATATTATGGATCCCTTACAGTCACCCCCACCAAACTGCAATCTTTCACCATAAGACATCAGCAGTGTCCAATTTGTGAACTGTGCATGTAGCTACAGCGTTCTCTTAACATCTGTACAGTAGGCCCATAACTGCTCATCATACCACACGTACATGATAGACACCATTTCATACATTTTAAAGCCTATGTCTTAAATGCAAAATTTTGCCTTTCTGCATATATTCTGAATGAAATTAGACTTTGCTGCACATTTATTTACACGCAAAACTATATGAGCACGGTGATAATCTGGGGCCCTGAGCTGCTGTACTGTACTTGCACTGTGGATAATCCTAACAAGCGACACAATAATGCTTAGGATGATTGCAGATTTAAAAGGTGTATTAGTGTATTAGTTGAATGAGTTTGTTTGGTATTCCCAAAAATAATGGTTTTTACTATGCATTTTGCTTATATAACATCCAGTAGGCAAGTAATCCTCTTTATAGGCCCACAGAGGCAGCTGAAAGGGAATTTGAGCCTTTCATTAATAAAAATGTTTGTCATAGGACCTATTTAACACCCTGGGTAAGACATTTAATCACTTGTTTTCTGGTAAATTTGGATTTCTTTCTTATTTATTTCTGATCAACAAAGGCAGGTTAATGAACATTGGGAAAAAAAACACCCCACACAAGTTACAGAAAATGTTTCTGTATTTGTTCCAATTTAATTCCCACCGCTATCACGATATTATGAGGCTATACGATGAAGAAAGAAGACACGTTTGTCCAAATTTAAAAAAAATATGTGATTTTTACGAGCAGCGCGTGAAGGCAGCACAGTTCCCAAGGAGAACCACGCAAAGGAACGAGGTCGTGAATCCGGGATCCTCCGGTAAAATTCCTCAAAGGGAAGGACAGATGCTAAATGAATGAGCAGCCAGTGTGTGGGTGTCTCTCAGTGCCGTTACCGTCCGACCTGCACGGGTCCCGGTCTGCAAGCTCACATCAGATCCTTCAGTCTGAGGAGCATCGAGCGCTCAACCTGCTGTCTGAGTCTGAATCTGAATCCAGACAGAAACGGGACTTCTTCTCTCTGATGGGATGGAGGTGAAATCGCCCTGAAAGCAACTCTGAGTAAGTATCCTGCTCAGAAACCGAATTCTATTTAGTTCTGAAACTAAAAGACGGATAACGGTGCCTGGTTGATGCAGCCAGTGTTTCTGCTCCGCCAGTCAATGTGAATTATTCCTGCATGCATTTGTGTGTTTGTGGTCCTCAACTGCGATTTTACACTGACCTTCACTTGCTAAACGTCACCAGAGCAGTCTTTATACATAGGATACATGTATGGCAGCTTGGTTCAAAGCATCTCTATCACTTTCCTTTAACATTTCCACACAGAGTTTGACCATATATTTGCATCGTCTGCAACCTGGCATAGTTTTACTCTGTTTTGGCTCCTGATGTGGATTGGTTTGTTTTTAATTAGAGGTGCAAATATCATTGTTTTTCATCACAAAGTAGGCCTTATTCATTTATATTTTATAAACTGATAAACAACTTCTCTTGAAGTCCAAGGCGATGTCTTAAAATCTCCTATTTTATCTGACAAACAATCCAGTAACATCAAATATATTGTGATATATTGGTTATAGAAGATGATATATTGCCATTATTATGGATCTGTGAAATACATTGTCAATCAGCCGACTGTTTTGAAGCTCAAGAATGAACCTTCAGTACCAACTTTTAAGCCAACGCTGACAAGATGTCATTAAAGTGCTCAAAAAATGTATATTTGAACATTTACAGTTCCACACTATCTACTAAGAAGGGTCGTGTGTTAAGATTATAAACTCCATAACAGCTACTCAGTGGAACTGGGGTGGGATTATTTTGTCAACCTCAGATTTACAATGATATGAAATGGGGAAAAGCAGCAAATTGTCTCATTTGAGAAACTCTGACTTGCAACTATTTAGATATTCTAGTCTATAAAAGACTAAAATTATAATTTTATTATTGATTCAATTTCTTTAATCAAATCACTGTCTAATACTAATGAGGAGCAGTCTTAATTGTTTGCTTTCTGTAGTGCAGAGCTCAGGCTGCACCAGGAATAATGACGGTCTGACTCCCACACTAAATAACTTAACGTCATTACCTGAATCAAAGGAGGGAAACAGCTGCCAGGTTGAACTGGCCTCACCTATGAGAATTTTCTCAACAGCCTGAATTCTGTCGTCAGTGTCAAACAGTCCAATAGGACGGCATAACTGTGGGGCCTGTTGGTTTCTTTTAAAAACAAACGCAGTTTAGGAGATTTTTTTTGGTCGATAGGATTTTTACCCAAGATGGCAGACCAAGCAAGTAAGATTACAGTCTTTATTTTCTGTCCTCTCTATGTGATGCCATTTAGTAAATGAAAAAATAAGGCAGTGTAGCTACTCCATATTTCCCTTGGGGAGTCCCGGGAATCTCTCAGACTCTCCCGGGAGTCCTTCAGTGCAACGTTTTGGGGATGACCGGGCTACAGTAAACAGGTGCATCCAAGCCATGACTGGAAATGCCTCTAGGGCTGATGGGAGTGCTGGCTGACTTCCAGACTGCAATCAGATAATGTTAATGAATACGGTAAAATTGTCTTATTTGCATTAGCAGCAGTTTCCTTGTATTCTGGGAATGGAAAATACTGTATAATGAACCTCAGTCTTGCTACACATAAATAGTTGATGAAAACTGACTTTTTTCCAAGATGAGGGTCACATGACTGGAAAACCATTTGAATGTTCATGGTTGCTCTCACAAAGGCATTCCCCACAGGCCATACTAGTGCACCTTGAATCATGTTACTGCTTAGCTTGCATCGGGTTTGGCTTGTGTGTTTTAAGCACTAATGATTGGCTCACTAAGAGCAAGGAATCACATTCTTGATTTATGGATTAGTTTTGCTAGTAAACACTAACTGTGGTCTTTTCTTCTCGATCATGTGTGGAGGAATTTTGCCAAGGCCTTTTCTCGTGTCTCTGTTTTTATAAAATTAACTCATCATCAGTATGCTGGAATGTGATGCATTCATGGACAAGCAATTTCATACTATTCTCAGGGATATTTGGGACATGGTAACATGATTGTAGCTGTACCATTGAAGTTATGTCATTGGTATTGTTTCTGGGAATTTGGGGGTTTTAACAACCTGCTTGGGGTTCCATTTGTATTCATTAATCCGTTTCTACGTTTGTGTGTAAATTATTCCCTAATTAGTAGCTAGTTTCAAAATCAGTGATGTGCTAAAGCTTGTTGCGCCATTAAAGCTGAAGAAATGTCTTCTAGTTATAAGAACTTAGTAATGTGTGAACCTGAAGTCAATGCTGCATAACAAGTCTTTGTAAATGTGTGTGTCACTTTGTTTTATTTCTATATGTAAACAGAAATAAACATGTGTTTCAGAGCATGAGGGAGAACTGTCTGATTTAGTTAATCTAATTGGTGTTATTTGGTCATTCAGGTCAACATAATTTTCGTTGTAATATATGTTCTTTCACTTTGTAACTGAACGTGACGACAGATTAATGTTCAACTCCACACTGTATCTCATAGATTTTCCTCCCCTGAGTGTTGCTTTGTTGCTCCCTACCTGAGCTCTACATGGACTTAATCAGTGAGGCGATGTGTAATAAAAGGTCAAGTGGACCTACTTCCTGCTAGCTGCAGACACACACACACACACACACACACACACACACACACACACACACACACACAGCTAAACAGGAGTCAATAACACTAGATTTAATGAGACAGGTCGATCTATCAGGCTAAGCCAGCATAAATGGGTGGCAGGTACACTCAGGGCCCCCGGGCCCTCTAATGCTAATGTGTACACTTGCGACAGGCATCGTAATGTACTGGTTTTGCTTTGGAGCAAGATCAGCTTGGCTGGACAGAGTATAATTACTTTCCATTAACTTATTGGCTGAGATCAGGTGTTTTTTTAGTCCATTGACTTCCAATTACTTAGATACACTAATATAAAGTAGTTCTTACGGTGGTCATTAAAGGTTAAGGTTATGAGTTACAAATGAATAGACAATAACAGCACTTTATGACTGCAGTGTAGACTTCAATACGATTACTGTTGGATTTCTTTGAATGTTTGTAGTACCGATATTCTATCAAAACCAAAAAAAGAAGAGTCTGAGAGAATTTAATAGTTTGTGGACAGATTTGTTTTCTTTCATCACCAACACTGCTAGCTTGATCTGCGGCGAGAAACTAGCATTGTAAGGCTCAAATATGGTTTGCGGTGCCAGACAAAAATGGCTCTTCTTATAGTAAAGGTTACTGACCCCTGCTCTGATTGAATCTGAGTGTGAATGGTCGTCTGTGTCGGCTCTGTGATAGACTACCAATCTGTCCAGGGTGTACTCCGCCTCTCATCTGGTGTAAGGTGGGATAGGCTTCAGCCCCTGTGACCTTCCACGGGATAAGTGAGTATAGATAATGGAAGGATGATTTCGACCATATAACACCGGCCCTATCATGTACAGTTCCAACGGTTTTTATTGACTTGTGTCTCCTCTTGGCTTGAATTTGTTACTTCAGACTTCTCTAGCTGCAGCCTTTTCACATGAAGGGAAAAGAACATTTTAAAAATAGAACAAAGCAGAATAGAGTCTTGACGAATGTCTGTAAAAGTCCTCTACTTTGCTGTTGACGTCAGTAAAAAAGGCACTCAGCCCTCTCAGCCTTGATGAGAGGAATGCCACCTTGATTCAAGAGCTCAGTGATTACACAAAAACTGAGGGAATTTTCAAAGATTCGGCCAAAATGATGATGTCTGATGTTAAGGTTGTTGGAGACTTAATTGAATTTATATTTCTGAATTCAAGTCAAAAACAATAACGTAAGCTGATAGCAATGATGATTGGAGTGTGTTTGAGGCAGCAGATCAGCACCGAACCTCATACATTGAACCCATTGTCCCCTGAGACCCTCCTTTGTTCTTGCATCCTGCCTGCAGGATGAACTGTAACACATCCCCTTGTGTCCCGTTAGAACATCAGTCACAGCTGCATGCACAGCCACATGAAGGCAGCATGACCGACGGTGTGTGTGAGTGAGTATCCGTGTGTGTGTCCCATCACCCGTCCTCCCCCTTTACCCAACGAACACAATCAACAAAGGCCATTGTGGGTGGATGACAGTCAGGAGTCCCTATCCCAATTATGGACAACCACTAATTACCAGTGGAGTAATTAAGAATCAGGCAGCTGTGGCAACAATAAACTGCCTCTGGGAGACCATTGAGAGAAGCTGCTGCTGGAGGTGAAACAGTTAATTATGCCCTTTTTGCTGAAGGTACATGCACCCTTAAAATATACTCTCAGATGCAGTAAATATTGTTGAAAGTGAGACTGATCTGTCCCAGTCCAACAGTTCTGAGTGATGCTGTGCAGTTTGTGGTCATACAGGGCTACTTATTTTGTCTTTACAGGGGGAAAGTGAAGGCTGGAGTGAAAAAGAAAACAGTTTTTAAATAGACAGACTGGAGAGCAGGAAGGTCACTTGATAAAATGCTAATACAAGCGCTTAACATCCATGCTCTGTCAGTCTGACAAGGCTGGCTGGGCTGGTTGGCTGAGAGATCTCTTCAAAGAAACACACATGCAGTACAACTCTTATACACGCACACTGCTGCTGCTGTGAAGGACATGGGTGGTGCACCAGACTCCTTCCCCACAAACAGAGCAGATTCTAACCATGAGTTTTTCGACCTTGGGGTTGATATGCCTCGCAGGGTTGTTTGATATGCAGACAGAGTCGCCAGAGATTAATAAGCGTTGATATTTGGGTGATATAATCAGTTTGGATTTGCATGGTCCTGAAAATAAACAATAAACTCTCAGCAACTCTAGATTGTACACTTGATAATTATACAATAAAAATTGCTGTCCTGGCTATTTGGTTATGTTTTGTTTTATGGTCAGTGGTTGAAAGCACATTTGCTCAAGTACTGTACTCAAATGCAATTATGAGGGACTATACTTTGCTTGAGAAAACCCATTTTCTGCTACTTTATACCTCCACTTTACTACATTTAGGCAAATATTGTACTTTTCACTCCACTTCAT